AGACCCCTCTCTCTCCCCACATTTTTATACCCAATGGTTCTTAAATTATATAAATTGCATTTGACATGTTATCATCTCCACCTTTAAATCTGAATATATAAAAGACGATTTTATGAAGCACAGAGGGACATGTGATGATTCACTGGCAACAATTGAAAAAGATCCGAAACATGAAGACAAATCCTGGGACGAGAAAGGTTATAGATTTTATTTTTATGTCTGATATATGGCATGATTTTACCCTCTTATTTTATGATTTATTGATTTCCAAACATTCATAATTAATAACCGGGGATGAAGTACCGGACAATATCCAGTCTACATCCAGTCTAAAGACAATTAAAATACGTCAATTTAACCAGTGCATGTGAACATAAACATATAAAAATGTTATCTATCTGGATTTTGTTATTACTACCACAACTTTGTCGTGGTAGAAATGGAATGTTTTCTGATGTTCAAAGTGTTTATCTTGAGAAATTGGATCAAAGCTCGAAACTTTTGGATATACGACCAATCTCTGATATGTACACGTTGACAATGGTATTTAATTTATTCATTATCCAAGACTTTGAAATTCAAAGCATAGAAAACAAAATGAAAGTAAACGCATTGTTTTTGCAAAACTGGAATGATAACAGAATTGCTTGGAATACTACCCAGTTTCCACTAGAATTCGTCTTCATGAGAGAGAAGAAGCTTTCAATATGGACACCAACCATCTTGCTGCGAAACTCAATTGGACAAAAATCAAACATTGACACCTCTTCACACATTATTGGGCAAGCATTTTATGAATCAGGGGATATTTATCTATATGGCAAGAAGGTGTTTAAATCTCAATGCTTTATTGATATGACTTACTTTCCTTTTGACACCCAAGAGTGTTCGTTTGAAATTACCAGCAATCCAAATGAGGTGTATTTACATGGTGAATGCGCCTATGAAAATGCAAATACTGAATGGACCAATGTGCAGGTGACTACAGAGGTCAGGGCCGTGTCATCAGAGATGAAGTGCACAATTAAAGCCAGAAGGAAATCTAAGTTTCTTGTATTCAATCTCCTGATACCAACTGTTCTGATAGGATTTTTAAATGTGTTTGTTTTTATTATTCCCGCCAACGCCGGCGAGAAGCTGCAATATTCCGTAGCCATTCTCCTGTCCTTCAACGTATACCTTGGAATTCTTGTAGACAAAGTACCTGCAAACTCGGACAAAATGTCCATCTTGAGCTACTACATCATTTATCAATATGTATTTGGAGTCATTGCCATACTCTGTACGGTAGTCCTGTTGAGAACTATTCACGTTAATAACAGGAAGGAGGTACCCGACCATCTTGTCAGGATGGTAAAAATTGTACGCATTTTGAACTGTAAGAAAAAATGTTGGCGAAATGTGCCACATGACGATAACCAGCTCAGTTCTGAAGAAAAAACGTTTAAACACTTTGTCAGCTGGAAGTCTGTCTGTGCAACGTTTGATTTTCTGTTGTTCTGGGTATTTTTGCTCATTCAGATCATCGGAAATATGTACTTCTTTCTTTCAATACGATGAGAGTTAACTTATGTTATATTTAAAGGGGATTGGAGCCTTGGACACAGATGGATTGCTGTTTATGTTTATGGATTTTTATTTCTGTTTACACTTAAGAAATAACCCAATTTCTTTGTTCTCGCGTAAAATGCTATTTCACGACCCCTACGCAACACAACGGGGGGGTTTGCCACTTTTTGGCCAACCTTTCTTATCAGGAAATGTTAATTGAAAGATTGGTTCCCCCCCCCCCCACTTTTAGTGATGTCCGAAAAACGTATGTTGCTAAAAGTAGTTGACACAGTCAATAAATGTATATATTTAGAATTTCTTAATCTATTTTTCATGTGATGTAAGAAAAAACTCAGCCCCCCCACTTCCAAAAACATGTACGCATCTTGATTTTGCAAACCGTTTGCAAAGTTTTCTGTGCATGTTGCCTTCGAACACAGTCAATAAATGTGTGTGTGTGAGACATGTAGCATCGATTTTGAAGTGTGTTTTCTGTGTAGGTGTTTGTGTGTATGGGGGGGTATTGAACGAGAGGAAATCGAAAACTAGCCGGAAACATTTAAACTAGAATCCAAATGCATAAGAATTCTCCAAATAATAATCAGTAAGGTTGGGTATTCATGTAGTTTTGACTATACATGATTGTTTAAAAAAGTAGGGGAGGGGCAACCAGACATAAAAATCAACACTTTAATGGACAAAATGTTGTTTTGGCCAACTTTGGAGGTTTATTGTAAAGTTGTAAATAATATATGTTAGGTATAAAATACAAATTTGAAAAATTTAGAAATATATACGATAGGAAACAACAAATAAAGTTTAATTTTTAAATTTCACTTTTTCCGGGAAATTATTCTCTCCTATAGGTCAATTCTTTTGTCAAAGTGAATACATCCTTTAGGCAATTAGAGGACCCTTCCCTACACACGTTTTCTGAATGCAGTATTCTTTTAATTAATTGATGTTTATTGAATGCATGTATTTTGGCCTAAAAGTCCTTCAGGGCAGGCCTGCCCCTTAATAAAACTATGATATTTTGATAGGTTGGGATGTAAAGAATAATTTAAAATAGGATTTTTGGGGGCACCCCTGCCCTAGGGTCGAAATTCACAAAAAATCTACAAAAACTAAGAAAACCTGATTTTGATAATCTACTTAAAATTTATGCTATAATGTGTTATAGTCAGACTAGCTCAGTTGATATACGTGTTGACTATTACACTACTAATAATTTCTTTTTAAAGTCGAGGATTCGAATCCACCGGGTACCACACTTTTAAAGTTTTAATTTTTCGCCTTTTCAAAAATTATTTAAATTTTTTTTTATAGATTTGTACATTTTCTTTCAATTATCTATCCTTTATGCATTGTGGCAACACACTTTGGAAAAATTACGCACTTTGAAAAATTTTTTCAAAGTGCGTTAAAATTGGGACAAAATCAACGCACTTTGAAAAAAAAAATTCATAGTGCGTTAAGAGTGTACATCAACATTTTATACTATAGGGACTTTTAACGCACTTTGAAAAAAATATGTATAAAAAAAAAATTAGATCGTAGTGATTGAGAGAATCATTTTGTAATAATTGATCTTTCAAAAGAAAACCTTTTTTATTTTCATGTATTGATTTACCCTAATTGAGAACAAGATGAAGACGAGTAGAGGGACTATATATACTCTCAACCTAACTCTATTTTTCTTATACACTGTACATAGCTGTAGGTGGCAAATTGAAAGTGGAACCCAATTTTCAATGCCTATAATATGTAAACGTATATCTTTAAATGCAAAACATGCATTTGTGTGCGTAACCCTCCACCCCTCCCCCCGCCTGTACCGATACTTATGCTACAACCAAATATATGTATTATTTTGCATAACTACTATGACGTTGAAAACTTTCAATAAATTTTAGTTGACAAAAAATGTATGCAAACTGAAAAATTTAAGTACAGTAAAACATTTAAGAGAGAAATAATTTTCAAAGTATATAGAAAAATCAAAATCACTCTCTTTCACATCCTGGAGTGACCCTATTACCAAAAAGTTATCCAAAAGGTTCAATTATTTATCATATCTAAGATTTGGAAAAATATTGACCAAGCCATACATTTTGGCATGCATGTTGTACGCATGTTGTGCGTTAATATCGACCATATTAATGCACTTTGAAAAGAAATTTTATTTTTTCAAAGTGCTTTGAAATTGCTGAATTCAATAAATTGTACGAGAAATATAAGTTAACAGAAAATATTATAGGGGTGTATTCACAAGTTTTTATGACGTCACAAACTAGATTTTATATCCTTTTTCAGAAAGAGGACAAAATGGACAAAATTTCAACAATTTAACTTTTAACCTTTCATGTGTGTTCCTGACATATTTCATTGATATTATCATTCTACACATTATATCAAAATATTAATCCTAAACACTCATGCGCTCTGACTTTTATTTAAAATATCGACGAAATATGTACATTTTTCTGCAAAATTCATAAAAAAGGAAATCGTACATATGACATTACTTATGAAATTATGTGTCAATACTGTTTAATGCAGTTTATTTTAATGTTATAAAACTACAGTTGAAGTTCTGCATCTCATTCTGTAATATGGTGTAAATTGAAAAGACTTGAAAGTCACAATAATTTTCATATTATGCAATTTCCCCTAATATTTTGAATAACTGGATACCTCAATTTTTCAACACTAGGTTTGAAATAACAAGGTTTGACTTTTAATTTTTATTCTTTAAAAATACTTTGCAGATATTAGACTTTGCTCAAACTTCATCTGGTATTTGTAGGGGAACACAAATCTCTCATGTTTATACATGTAACTCTGTTTAATTTGATTAAAAAAATATCTTTTATAAAATCATTTTGAAAGCTATTATTACTTTCAGGCAATTAAGACAAATGCGTGCGATAATTTTCACATCTTGCCAAAAAAAAAAACCAGTATCACTCAGTCTCAAAAATAAATCAAGCAAAATGTAACTGATATACAATATATGAATTGAATACACATCTATGTTTTAGAGACAATTTAAAACAATTCAAGCTTTCTGTCTATAAAAGAATGTCACATTCAAATATATAACGGCTGAATCATTATCAGCCAATATCATGTATTCTGCAAGAGACAGTACAATTGTTCATGTCATATCTACTGATGATGTATCTCATAAACAATGGCAAGCTTGTAGTCTAAACAAGAAATGTTCCCTCATAGTGACACCCCCCCCCCCCCCCCCCCCCCCCCAAGAAATAACTGTAATAATGTAGCCTTCTTTATTTTTTTAACGGATGATTTTTTAAAGAGAGCCAGGGTTTCCTGACCAAAACAGACAAAAAATAAAAAAAAACCCTCTCCAAAATAAAAACTCATTAACTAGATAGGGGTACATTATTGATCCACAAGTAAAATACAAGAAAACAAACCTAGTCGATTTTCATGCTACTACCCCAACTTATCTTTTGTTTATGCCCATACCACTGGAAGGGAAACCTCTTATTATTGATCTTTTTTTTTAAATTTAAAAAAATCTGTGATAACAGCCAGCCTTGCAACCATTTCTTCAGAATCAAGTGAGTCATTTCTCAGCATGATTAACAAATTGAGCAACTCTGGTTAAAAATATATGTCTGACACGTCCACATGGGGTCTTGGATGTCGCCTCGAGTTTCTCCCGAAGAGGAGGAAGTAGAGATATCTTCATCTGCTGATGGAAATCATACTGCAAAAAAAGAGAGAAAAAATGAAGTGACACTGTCTATGTGGAGGACAGCATTATTGATGTTGTTAAAAGCCTTATAGTTAATACAATCAAAATCCTGTGACAGTAAATAGAAAACCAGTCTTTAAAAATTTTATTTTTCAAATACAATTGAACTTCGTTAATATTATCTCAAAAATAAATATGAACGTGTCAAAGTGACTTGGCCGTCCAAACAAATTTTTTGTTTTACCTTTTCATTAACCTTAGAAATGTTATCTCAAATCCTTCGATTTTTATTTTAAATATGTTTCAAATTTTTATCTTTGTCCTGTTGTGTTTTAGATAAACAGGTTTGACTGTACAAATAAATGTTACACTGATGTTTTTAAATTAAAAATACTTCAACATGCCTTAACCTCTTTTATGAAATTTACTTGAGATTTTGATAAATTTATATTAAATCTATTGTTTCAAAATCTATGTTGCTTAAAAAGAAAATTTAATCAATTTAAAATTTAGTGGAGTCACTTACTTCTTTAAAGGCTAAATAAGCAGCTTTAAATGCAGGTTGTTCATCATTCTGCATTGCTCGTCGATTACCATGAAGTACATATGCCCCACTTCGTTCTGCGCCCGTACACACACTCATGTACATACAGTGGTCAGGTCTGTAGTTCCATTCACATGGATAAACATAAAGCTCATCTGTGAGAAGAAAATTGTTGACATCACCATGCTATTAGAAAACAGAGATATATGTATGTGTGATCTTTGCATAAGTGAACTTTACATATTCTTTAATTTTTTTTTTTTTTTTTTTTGCATTTGTCAGACCATGTAAGGTCTAGATTTATTAAACTAATTACATTGAGACATTATCGGTGCTTCTTGAACTTCATAATTATTTATTTATACTTTGGCTAACACTCACAGTTCATGCTTGTACATATACATTTTGCTTCATGGGAAACCTTAAATATTTAAGGAGGCTGGGGGGTCAACAAATTAACCACCAGATTTAACTTATCTTTTTAGATACGGTATCTTAAGCTGTCAACTATTATTTGGCAAAGAAAAAAATCATACAATTTAGTTTTAAAATTTGATCATTTTTGTATACATGTATCTTTACATGGAGTTCTTCTTTTAAAGGAGATCGAAATAGCCTGAAAATGGCTGCCACCCCCCAGCCTCTTTAAAGGCCTTTGTTTCCATTTGCATTTCATTCTTCTTAAAAGTATAATGTACGAACACAGAGGATAACCCCAAAAATATCTAACCCCCCCCCCCCCCCCAAAAAAAAGAATCTGCAAGTCGTGTGACAAAAAAGGGTTAGGGTTTGGTATGCGTACCCATCTGAAAAAATTAGTGTGAAATGAGTAAAATGAGTGGTGAAATGATATAGATTTTCAAATTCAACAATCATTTCTGAGATTCACCCTCACCTGGATGAAAGTGAAAGTAGATGTTAATGAGATCCTGATCTCCCCAGGTTATTTTCAGTTTGTATTCTTTGTAGTAGTTCACAATGGATGGAAGCCAAGTTGAGTTTCGAAGCCTTGTTAAATTCATCAATATTACACCGGAATTGACCCCTGAAAAAAGTGAGGAAAGAATATTATTTATAAAGCATTGTACGACTTCATGACACAATTTATTGATCGACATATTTCAAACTCACTGGTACTTGTGTTTTGACATTAGTTGCAGACTTTTGAAAAATTGCTGCTGAAGATAGGTGATTCAATTCAACTTTTACATTAAAGTTCAAACTACTGATCATATAATCAATTGTATGCTACCGGCCAATTCAATTTGATAATTGATAGTAAAAATGATCTGATCTGAATACTAGCACTTGAACATGAAATAGAGATCTGTACCAAATTCTCCATAATATGGGTGCCTGGCAAATCTATTGTACCAGCCAGTATGTCTGTCTTCACTATCTGGAGCCAAAGCTACCAGCTGTGTACTGTTGAACCGGGTAAAATGAAACCAGATTTCCTCCAGAGGAGACAGAAATAAAATATCTGTATCAACATACAGCACAGCATTTACATTGGTTAAGAGTGACTGGAAAAGAAATACTGTTAGTTTTAAATACCTATTTGTACTCATTTAAGTTCAGTTCAGTTATGTTTACAAAATATTCAAAGAGGCAAATTAAACAAAGAATCACTTTTTTTATTTATTTATTCTATTGGACCCCCTTAAACTTGATTAAACATAAAGGAAAATAAAACCCAGACACTTTTTACTTTCCATATATTTATATGGTTTATGAAATTGTTGACATAAATTTCATTCAGCTATAACAAGATACCAGGGTAATTACTGACTGGTTATTCTGTGAAGAAAAGCAGCGTTCACTTAGCAAGATAATCTTTGCTGAGATTCCACTTGTCTGGATATTTCTATCGATGCCTTCTCTGTGAAGTTTGAAGGCAAAATATCAAGCAGAATTGAAACTCAACCCAGATCCCATGCATAAAACCTTCTAAACACAGAGAAAGTATAACTACTGGTACGTGTATCTATTCTCTTTCAATTATTTCTTTCAATTATATACTTACTGGAATGAAAAGTCGTTGAGAGGCACAAGGTTTAAAAAGTTTCTTCCATTCATTATTTGGGTCGGGAAAGATTATACTATACAAGTGGTATTCAAATTTGCTTCTAGCTGTACTTGGCCATGATGCAAGCTGTATAAAGAAATCCGTTAAAAATTCCAAAATATACATTTTTCAAAGAATAAAATAAGGGGGATCCCATAATATTGGAAAATTAAATATAATTTTTTGATTTCAAAACTACACAGGGATAGAGACATTAAACAGTTTGTGTCACTTTCTAATTTTAAGAATATTTTGTTATAGAAGTATATGTATGTGAATATATACTGTATATAACTTTCTATCTCAATTTCAAAATATGCTATAACATGTTTGTTCATATGGGAAAAAAAACGATAAAGTGAAAGAACAAATTATAAAATAAATGAAAGTTACTGTTAATTTGAAAAATCAGCACCGACCTGTTGTTGTAATGAGGAATGAAGATCATCTTCAGCGAAGATGTGGATGATGATGTAGCTTTTTGTGAAGAGGATGGCAGACTTGATGAGAATGATGGACTCGTTACCACGGTCACCACAAACAACAATAGAAAGGTGGATGCTCTCTCTCCATCTCTTGGCTTTTCTGTAAAAAAAATATCTAATTTTTGCGGTTTGGAATCATTGAAAAAAGTATGTGGAAGCATCTATTGTTTCTATATATAAAATTGGTAATTATTGATGCATGGAAAATATACAAAATTACATGTCCATTTCCTGGTTATGGAAACAATCTTAGTTTATTGGACAGTGAATACACGTTCATTAAAATACCATTATCGATTAGACTTGCAACTAAATAATTGTTTATGTTTATTGTCTGATTTAAAATTTGGAACTAAATGAATATAAAAAATATACAATTTTAGGCTCAAAAGTAAAGAAGTGATTTATGATTAAATGTTCAGAGTTACAGACACACTGGTATGGATGCATTGCCCAGACTATTCAACAGGTTGGGACCAATCGCCCAAATGGGATATATTAGTCCGTTCATAATAATAATAATAAGTGTATATTTTTCTGATCTTTCCAATGATATCAAACTCAATTATTTCCGTGAAACGGTTACTTTTTTATTCAGCAGTTCTCAGAACTTTTGAAATGTCACTCGTATTATATCATCAGAAGGAGTAAACGCAGATCCAAAGAAAGTAGAGGGGCTGTGCGCAACTTTCCAATACCAACTTCCATAAGAAGAATCAAGAGCATTCCTTGGACTGGCTTCATATTACCGCAAATTCATTCCTAACTTTGCGAAGATTGCAGATCCATTAAATAAACTTTTACATAAGGAGACATTATTTTCATGGGATCAATGTAATGAGGCTTTTCAAAAATTGAAAGAGTTGATGACTATTGCTGCAGTGTGATGTTTTCCTGATTTTGAAAAACCACTTAAACTCAGTATTGATGCCAGTGATCAAGGTTTAGGAGTAATTCTTTCACAAGAAACGGATGTTTGAGAGCGTCCTATTGCATATGCAAGTAGAAGTTTGAAGAAAAGTGAATCTATCCTACCATTTAAAAGGAAGCTTTAGCTGTTAGGTGGGGAATTGGAATATTTGACAGTATTTGTTTGGACATAAATTCACTGTCATTACAAATCATAATCCATTGCGTTGGTTTATGGGGATAAAGAATCCAAGTGGACGATTAGCAAGATGGGCTTTAACTTTTAAGGAGTATGATTTTGAAATTCAGTATAAACCTAGTCAGAAACATGGAAATGCTGGTGGATTGTCCAGATGTGGGAGTGATGGACCAAGTGTAATGTTCTTAGGAGAGATACTTCAATCAAAGAGTATAAATGAAATGCAAATGAAGGATCCAAAGTTACGAGATATTATTGACTACCTGAAAGATAATAAACACTCAACAGACGAGGAGAGAGCTAGACGAGTTATGACTTCTGTTTCATTTTATGAGCTAGTGGATGATGTGCTTGGTCATATTTGGGCACCAGATGTTAAAGGAAAGCGTAAAGACATTAGAAGGAGATCAGTTATTCCAAGGACATTGATTGATGAAGTTTTAATGTGGTGTCACAATGACCATACAGCAGGACACCTGGTTTCATAAAACCTATTATAAAATTCGATCGAGATTCTTCTGGGAAGGAATGTATAAAGACATAGATTTCTGGTGCAAATCCTGCTTAAATTGTGCAAGTAGAAAAACACCTAAGGGGAGAAAACGAGCTCCAATGTTACCATACCTATAGACGGACCATTTGACAGAGTAGCGGTTGATGTTTTGAACCATTACCACCAAGTTTGAAAGGCAATAGTTATATAGTAGTGTTTTCAGATTACTTGACAAGATGTGTGGAAGCACTCCCAGTATCAAATGCCGATGCAAAACCACAGCAAAAACTGTTCGTAGAAAAATTATTTGTCGACATTCAGCTCCTCGTACATTGCTTTCTGACAGAGGACGAAATTCACGAGTTTGATGAAGGAATTATGTGATATAGTGAATACAAAGAAGACATTTACAACTGCATACCATCCTCAGTGCAATGGATTGGTAGAGAAATTCAATGACACTTTAACAATTATGCTGTCAATGTTTGTGAATGATCTCAGCGAGACTGGGATGATTTTATTTCATATGTGTTATTTGCCTATAGGACAAGTATACAGGAAACTATTCAGGAAACACCATTTTATTTAATTTATGGAAGGTGTGCGCGACTATCATTTGATGTGGCATTATCTGAACCAACTCGTAGATATGCTGATGTGGACGACCACAAATATGTTATATTATTTCGATTAAATGAGGCCTTCGCCAATTGTGAAAAAGAACATAAAAGTTGCTCAATAAAAACAAAAACTACATCAGAACAAGAATGCAAAGGAGCCATAGTTTAGTATTAGAGAGTATGGATTTACTTGCCTGTGACAAAACAAGGTCCTACTCACAAACTAATTCATCCATGGAATGGACCATATCGCATAGTAGAGAAAACCTCCCCTGTTAATTTTAAAGTTTTAAAGTTGAAAGTTGTGATTACAAAAGGAGACAACAGAATGTGCATGCAAATAGAATGCAGGCATTTGTTGATCCTGAAGATTTACCGCCCAATTTACGATTGAATGAGGACCAATCTGACAATGAAAGAGAATCTGGAGATGAAAATGAAGAGCAGTATCCAGGAGATAAAAACAATTCAGAATTCGAAAATGCACAAAGAACGGTGTTAGAACCTGAAATAGTAGAAGTTTGTGATAAGTTATGGTCCAGGAATGATAAAGGGAGAATATAAGAATGAGGTAAAAGAAAGTGCATGGATGGATTCTTCACTTGTTCCAGGAAATTCTATTGAGGAATTTGAAAGAAACTACAAAGGTCGAGGTGCTGCATACAGACAAAGAAGAAAATGAATTAGTGACATAGTGAAGAAGAAGTGTAAGAATTGCTAGGATTGTGGTTTTCGTGTGAAATTATGAATATTGTTAGTTCGGAAGATGGAGATAATGGGGATTTAGATAAATTTTACAGGGACCGTGAATTGCGTAATGTACATTAAGATGACTAGTGCTCCAAAAACATGTGAATTGCTCCAACTTTTATTGTGAAGTGCTCCCCAAAAACATAAATTTTGGAATTTAACATTTGTCAGTTTATGTCTATATATTGGACATTACTGTAGATCACTAAATTTTCGCGACACCTTATTTTCGCGAGATTGTCACTGACTCTTGATTAGCGAGATAAAATTTTCATGAATTCTGGTTATTGCTCTATATAATCTTAAGGAATACTATTATACGCGAGAATTTAATTTTCCGCGAGGACACTGTCTCGCGTAATTACGCGAAAATAAAGTTCTCGCGAATAAAAAGTGATTTACAGTATACCAACTATGAAGAAGAAGATTTGTCTGATCTTGAAAACCCTGAAAGTCCAGATGACTTTGAGCTGGAAGAAGAAGCAGAGGGAACCAATGATGACTTAATCGCCACAAAGAAAGTGGAATGAATGTGCATAAACTTAACGTTAAAACGCCATCAACATACTTATGTAGATGGACATCAATCTATTGAGAGAGAGACTGGAATTAGTTATAGAGAAGGATTAATACCAGAAGAAATAGACTTTTCCGAAATTGCAACGAACATTTGAACAATTTGAGAAATCGTTTCGTGTTCGCTAAAATCTTGTAAATTCGCTCGTACTTCGTGTTGATGTACGTTTGGGCTATATAACTTATTTTGGACTATATAAACCATTTGCTTTGGATTAATGTTTTCACTAAACAATTAAACTTGTAATTTGTGTTACTATGGACAGCTAAATAACATTTTTATGAACAGTTAATAACTTTTTTAAAAAAGTGGTCACTAAATGATAATATTCACTTTTCTAGTACAGCCTTTCTTAATTTTTCTTCAGCACTGATCTCTGCAGTTTTTCCTGGCTGATTTCCAACAATGCTGTCATTTTCTGAGAACTGATCTGGGATAAGTTCATCATTCTGTTGATGGATCAGATAGAACATACAAACAGCGATGACAACGATGACAGTCAGACCAAACTTAAAGATCATCCTACGCCTCATCCAGCATTGCTTAGTGGTGCCTTCTAGTAAAATCGGTGAACCTGTGAATAAAAAAATATATAAAAGATGAGTGCACTTAAGCTGTGAGAGTTGGGTCCCGGTGTTTTGCCTAAAATAAAATCCCGAATGTCATTAAATTTATGTTTTATAGCACAGGCCTTTAGATCGCTTAGAAAAAGAAATTGAGTTGTAAAAAAAAAAAAAATAAAGGTATGGAACTCTTTTCATAGGGTATTTACTTTCGCCAATAAAGTTCTTTTAAATCAAACGCTTTACAATATTTTACTTTCTATCCATATTTATTCATATATAAACAATCTTCATTACTACCAAAGTTCATTCCGTAATTCCGTAAACTTCTCGAGATATTCTGAAATCAATCCCAAAATTGACCTTAATTTTCTTTACTCGACATCAGCTACACTAATTGTTAAGCGGGAACGACGGGACAAATTTTCCACGGAATTCACTAACAACATTTCAGCTGTCTAATTGTTTTTAAATCCGAAAGGTATATTATACATTACGGGAAAAATTCGTTCAACCATAGCTTCTTTTACATTCATAATCAACATCGCGATGCAGTTGTTGATGTAGACGTTTTCAAATTAATTCCTCGCTAAAGGAATTATTACGGACTTAATCTTACAATCTGGAGTAAGAAATCAATTTTAAAATGTTGAAAGATTTTGCAAATATACTATGCAACCCTTCGCTGCACTTAAAAATACAGTCTGTTTACATGTGAATGACCAGGGGCCCAAGCTAATTTTGAGTAAAAAAAGTAGGTCATTTTTGGAATTGGTATCAGAATATCTCGAATATATCAATCACACGATCGGCTGTCTCCAAAAGCTCTGACGATCTCCGTTACGTCATGTGACGTCACAGCTATTCGAGATGTCTTATGCAACTTGATGTTTGAAGTGGCTGGTCAAAGTTTCAACAATCAGATTGGATGTTTCAAGTGTGTTTTGATGGTGCAACTGCACTCACCTAGGTAGACCCAACGATCACACCGTAGACATATTACAATCCAAGTTAAGATTAAACATATATTTTTTTTAAAAACCCGGAAAAATAAATTAATAAAATATCTATTGAATTGAATTACTGCTGAACTCCCAACTTCAATTTGGCACTAAAATGGAAGATGGTTTTGTGAAACATTTGGGTTTTAAAAAAATGATTTTATTTTTTTTTTTAATTTGGCGATTGGAACAGTAGTGGGGTGCACGTATATAGGCAGCATTTGAATTTTTGGTCACGTGACCCTACATTGGAAGGCGGGAAAACCGCGATTTTTTAATCACCCATGTTTAGCCCTGGGGTCAAGTGCAAAATGAAAAAGCCTAATGGTCTTGACGAGGAAAGTTCAGCCAGGGGTGTTCCGGGATCATCAAGTGCAAAAATCAAAAAGTTGTCAGAAGGGTGTCGTGTGACATAGCAAATGGAAGGTCTCGACGAGTAGAATTCAGCCCAAGGGTGTTCCGGGGTCACTGAGTGCAAAATGAAAAAGTTACCCAAAAGGTATTTTGTGGTATATCAAATGAAAGGTCTCAACGAGTAGGGTTCAGCCCGGGGGTGTTCTGGGGTCATCAAGTGAAAATCAAAAAGTTACTTAAAGAGTATCGTGTGACATATCAAATGGAAGGTCTCCAAGAGTTAAGTTCAGTCCGGGGGTGTTCTGGGGTCATTGAGTGCAAAAATTTACCTGAAGTGTTGGATGTGATATATCAAATAAAAGTTCTCGACGAGTAGAGTTTAGCCAAAGTGTGTTCTGGGGTCATCAAGCGCAAATTCAAAAAGTTACCTTATGGAAGCGTGTGTCCTACCTAATGGACGAGTCCGGGTCATTGCTGCAATATTAAGAATTTCCTAATAGTATAAATGCTCTGAACGCTCGTAAATCTCTTCATTATCAAACAGAATGGCAACGACGCTAGTCCTTCGATCCTCCGAAGGCAAACACCTGTTCCCAAGCAACAAACCTTATGGTTTCACCGTCACATTGCCAAAAACGTTGGTGTTTATGGAACACTGGACACTAGAATTAAGTGAATTTTATATCACAACCCCTGTCAAGACCACAAAGAAGGAGCTTTTCATCTACTGTGACGCATGCGACACCTTTTGTGGTGGGTGAACAATACAGACCATTGCTGAGGTGTGTCGTTTTGGAGTCCAACAAGAATCAAATCTTCACGAGACCGTACCCAGTTCTGATGCGAATCCAAGAGTTGAAAAAGATACGCATGGAAATAAGAGATAAAGATTATGAGTATGCCACGTTCTTGAATGGCGAGATTAGCCTGACTCTGATATTTCGACCCGCAGCCATGACCAGTTCCTCTGCCAAAAAACTATTTTAAAAAAAGTTATTCAAGCATAAATTGGTCACATTTCGAGAGAGTCTGCGGAAGAGTCAACATGCATAAAGTCCAGAGCGACGACTGCCGAAGCTGGTTTTCCCGAAAGGATGTCTTAAAGCCGCGTCAGTGAAATGTACACGGAAAGATGGGAATGCCGCCGCCGAAGGCGGTAGCAAAGGCGTCGATGCCGCCGCCGCCACCACCACCATCGCCGCCACCGCAGGTGATCACGCCGCCGACGCTGAAATTCACGCCGCCGCCATTCAAGCCACCGCCGTCGCCGCTGCCGCTGGAGTGCATGCCGCCGCAACTCAAGCCACCGCCGCCGCTGCCATCAGCGACTCTTCCTTCACAGCAACGACACCAGGACTTTGTCTTCAGGTATCCCTTTACAGCAAATATTTCGGGCCACGTGTTGTTGCAAGACGTATTTCTGTAAAATGCTCTTGCAACACCGCCTCCTCCCGAGAGAATCATGGCTCTACAAACATATGATGTCATTCAGAGTACCGTTTATCCCAAGGTTTAATTTATTCAAGGAATACCTTTGGATCTGGATCAAGATTCCTTTAAACATCCCAGAACAAGAAATCTCGTGATTTTGGACGATCTAATGTCTACGCCTTCCAAAGATTCCAGAATCAACGAAATGTTTACGGAGGGCAGTCATCACAGAAATCTATCGGCCGTGGCTATCAATCAAAATGTGTACTATAACAAAGATCCCACCCAAAGACGAAATTGTCACTACCTGGTCCTGTTTAACAATCCGGTGGACAGACAGCAAGTCATGACCTTGGCTCGACAGATATATCCCGAAAATCCTCAACACCTGCTGAGACATTTTAAAGACGCTACTTCCAAACCGTATGGATACCTGTTAGTGGATTTGAAGCCAACTACACCCGAACACCTGCGTATGCGCAGTGACGTCTTGAATCATAAAACAGCAAGAAGCAGAGAATTTCCCTCATTCTCCGACAGCTATTCCTGCCGATGGGACGTACCACGTGTCTGTTCCTTCAACCTACTAATCCATCAGGTCGGATTTTCAACACATCACTCTTACAGAAGATATGCCTTCCTGTGATGATTGTGGTCTGGTATTTGAAAACGTCCACGACCTTTAAAGACATGTGAAAAGATGGTGTCCAGAAAACGGACAAAGGAAAGATCCGAAAGATAATGTTGCCCCCATGGAGGTGGATGAAAGCGAAGACGAAGAGGACGAAGAGAAAGAGGATGACGACAACGATATTGATGAAAAGGATAGTGATGAATCCTAAGAGGCCTACTTAATATTTTGAGACTATTCCCAATCATTATTTGAAGAATGGACTATTACTTGTACATTGTTGCATTTACTTGAAAAAAAAACAGTGGGAAAAAGCGTTGTTCTTTATGCCACTACAGGTCACGTGATCAGGTATTATATGAGGAGGTGGGAAACATTTCAGCTTCATTTTAGCGTTGTCTATGCCATAAGAAACATTTCTTGGGAGTATTACTGCAAATGTATTATATTTAGCGCGTACGATATTTGACGGAAATGGAGTTTTGAATGAGTTAGCATAGATTTGATTTAGCGCAAATGGTTACAGAGACAGGAACCAGAGACAGTCTACAACGACCCTTGAGACGACATTATCGTCGCAATCAGGTGGTCGTCGCTGGCATTGATGATCAATGGGATGCCGATCTCATGGACATGACAAAATTCAGCAAAGAAAATGACGGTGTCCGGTTCGTACTCTTGGTCATTGATATCTTCTCCAAGTACCTGTGGATGCAACCTTTAAAGGATAAGAAAGGGCCAACCGCAGCCCGGGCACTCGAAGACATATTGCGTGAAGGGAGACAACCAACGAAGCTACGCACGGACAAAGGACAAGAATTTCGATCAAAAGCCTTGAACAATGTATTAGCGGATCACAACATACAACATTTTTATTCTCAAAACACCGAAGTAAAGGCCAGCTATGCAGAAAGAGCCATCAAGACGATCAAAACTAAAATGTATCGTTATATGACATTCAAAAAATACCAACGATACTTTGATCGTCTTCAGAATTCGTTCGGAATTAGAACAAGATGTACCACCGCATTATTGACACCGAACCTGAACTGGCTAGACCAAACAACGACGAAGTGCGCGTATCTATATTTCTGTTGCGAGAGGAGATCCCGCGCAAGCAAACAAAGCGGAATTTCGAGAATATCATCCATTTTTGACAGGATTTTCACCGTGTTGCGACGTTTCCTGAGGAACGGCATTCCAGTGTACTCAAGGACTACAATGACGAAGCCATTACGGAGACATTCTATCAACCGGAACTCCAAAAAGTGGATGTTACTGTTGTTAGAGACAAGGATACGTTTAAGATTGAAAAGATCCTGAAGACCCATGGAAGAGGACCAAGCATGCAACATTTTGTGAAATGGCTGCATTGGCCAAAGAAATTCAATCCTTGGATAAATGCTGATGACATGGCTGCATAATTGTGTGCAATTATCTTTGTTTATCTTGAAATTAAATGTATTCAGATTTATGTAGAAAATATTGCTCTTCATGTCTTGTAATAAAATATGAACAAAAACGATGTTGTTTTGATCAATCCCGGGCTTACCTCTACTCTTGGGGATCTTCCATTTGATCGGTCACACCATACTCTTGGGTAATTTTTTGAATTTGCACTTGATGACCCCAGAACACCCCCGGGCTTAACCGTACTCGTTGAGATCTTTCATTTGATATACCACAAAATACCTTTTGGGTAACTTTTTCATTTTTGCACTCAATGATCCCGAAACACCCCTGGGCTGAACTCTACTCTTCTACTTTTCGAGGCCTTCCATTTGATATGTCACACGATACCATATGGAAAACTTTATTAATTTGCACTTGATGACCCCGGATCACTACCAGGCTGACCTCTACTCATCGAGACCTTTCATTTGCTATGTCACACGACACTTCTGAGAACTTTTTTATTTTTACACTTGATGACCCCAGAACACCCCCGGGCTGACCTCTACTCGTCGAGACCTTTCATTTTGCACTTGACTCAAGGGCAAAACATAGATGATTCAAAAATTGCGGTTTTCCGGCCTTCCAGTGTAGGGTCACGTGACCAAAAATTCAAATACTGCCTTCTGATTGGTTCAAAGTTTGGTGACGTCATTCCGCTCGAAATTCAAACCGTGATCTATGTAAGCCCACCCCACTACTTCAAACAATCACATTTAATATGGAGTTAAAACATGAGATTATGCTGGCCAATTCTAAAATGTTTTTTTAATGATGCCATTATTCCGCCCCCCCCCCTCCTCCCTTGCTTTTTGCTTGCGATTTATGTGCTTTTAAATAATGATACTATATACGAAAGAGCTTATTTTCTTATTATATGAAATTAAATTTTGTAAAAGAGGAAAATATAGAGGAAAAGGCTTTACAGATGGCAGGTTGAATAAAAACTTGGATAAATCCGAGACTTTACACCTAAAAATATTTTCTATATTCGGTACGTGCAAGTATCATTTCGCCAAAATATTTCGAGAAAATAAAGAAAGAAATTTTACTTGGAAATAAGATATTTAATGAACCTAAGCTGTCTGCTCTCAGATATGCATGCACAAATATTTTTTTTGAATATCGAGTATCAAGAAATCAAACAGATGTGTAGTTTTTTTTACGTTTAATTTTCATGTACGCAAAAGACATTAGTGATTTAAATATATACATTTGAATCAATAGATACATTCATTCAAAAACAGTTGACTGATTGAAAGGAAGTAAGAGACAGGCATATTTTTCTGGTAAATTAAAATGAGTGTGTGTGTGTGTGTGTGTGTGTGTGTGTGTTTTTCTTAATAATATAAAAAACTTTACGTGTTATTTTTCTTGTAGGAAAAAAGGGGGATATAAAAAGAAGGGGAAAAAAACAATCCAAAGTTTAGTCATGACTGATATTTCTAAGGAACCGGACGGGCCTCCTCGTCACCCCCACTATGCTCTACTCTTAAATAGAGAAGCTACATTTGAGAATGGCTGGCCCGAATCTTTAGAAGAGTTAATACCCAATTTGACCAAAACCGGATTTTACTACAGGAGAGTGAGAGATAGTACTACCTGCCTGTTTTCATTGTGGTTTAAATTTAACCCAATGGGATCCTGACGATGATCCCTATGTAGAACATGCTTATTGGAACCTTAATTGTCCTTACATCATCAATACTATTAGAGGAAGAGGGTGGCGATGAATGTGGTCATTATTTCTTTAGATCAGTTGGGATATAAAACTTTACCTGAAATAAAACCTCTACTCACCCCCACCGAGATCCAGGCTCGAGGAAGATGTCACATATGTTTAGACGAAGAATTACAAATTGCTTTTATTCTTTCTGGACACGTATGTTGCTATGCCTTATATGCCCCTTCCTTCCAGTTTTGCCCCATCTGTCGAGCTGTCAGACGTAAAGAGAACCCAGCGTCTATTTCTGTGTTAGCTATAAATAAAAGACTGAAACCACAGTTTAAAAAGTTTTGTGTTCTCTAGTGCTAAGCAATCTCACAACAACCCAGTTTTTTGCTTAAGTTGTGCAAATCAAATAATAAAAAAACTTTCATAGACTGAGATAAATTATGTTATTTATTCAAATGACGATATAAATGTTAATAATTTAACACACAAGAAGGGGATCAGACTCACAAGCTCTGATTATAATGAAAGAACTGAAACCACATTTTAAAAAGTTTTTTAAAGATTTGGTTTTTTTTGAAAAAGATTAATAAACTGAAAGCCTTAAAGTCTAAAAGATTGAAAGTCTGAGTGAAAGTATAAAAAGCCTGAAAATATATATAAAAGCCTAAAAGTTTAAAAGACCGAAAGTTTTAGAAAATGATAAGGTTTGAAAGACTGAAAGTCTGAAAGCCCATAAGTCTGAATCTCAAAATTCAATACAGAATGTGTTTTGAAAGAATGAAAGTCAGTATATGATTTTGCTTGTAATTTTTCTTTTAAATAAAAGAGCACTGTTACAACGCACTTTGAATTTTTTTTTTTCAAAGTGCATTAAATTTGGGACCAAATCAACGCACTTTGAAAAAATATAATTTCTTTTCAAAGTGCCTTATTATCGTCAATATTAACGCACTTTAAAAAAATGTGTATGGCTGGGTCAATATTCTTGCAAATCTTAGGTATGATAAATAATTGAACCTGTTTGATAACTCTTCCGTGATGAGGTCACTTCAGGATGTGAAAGTGAGCGATTTTGATTTTTCCATGTTCTGACAATTCTTTCTCTCTTAAATGTTTTACTGTACTTATTTTTTTTTCCAGTTTGCATGCATTTTATGTAAACTAAAATTTATTGAAAGTTTTCAACGTCACGCCAGTTATGCAAATACATATATTTGGTGTAGCATAGCCATCGGTACCTGAAGAAGAGAGCTTAGTCACAAAAATGTTTTGCAAAGATATACATAATATAGACATTGAAAATCGGAGCTTAACTTGAGGGGGGGGGGGGCACTTTCAATTTGCTACCAATGGTTATGTACTGTGTATAAGAACAAGAGGCCCATGGGCCTTATAGGTCACCTGAGCATCATGCAACAACTCTCAAATAATTGAATTTGGTTTATGTTTTAAGCTAGATGCTATGGCATTCACAATTCTGAAAGAGGCATCATTGCTAATCATGAGTATACACTTAGCAATTGCTTAGTTTTGTTATTTAATACCCATAGACAGGGTAGGGGGAAAATGCGTTTCAACCAATCAGTAATATTCAGCAATAATCAAAAGTGCCCCTACCACAAATGAACCCCTGACCCTAGGTCCACACATTGCACTATTTTTGAGAAGGCACACTTACTAATCAATAATGTTTGATTAATACTAAGGAGCAGATTTCAAACAATTCATTTTCAGTATATACGCCGAGCCCCCCCCCCCCGGTACCCCTGGCCCAGGGACCTTGAAATTCACAATTCTGGAAGAAGATTCCTTGCTCATCATAGCTATATAAGGTAGTTTATCTGTTTATTACCCAGAAGCAAAGAAGAAGATTTTCAAAGATATAATGTATTTTACTATATAATCATTATAGAGCCCCATCCTAACACTAGAACCCCTGACCCGGGGGCCATAAAATTCACAATTGTGGTAGAGGCACTCTTGCTCATCATAACTATGTACTTACTTAGTTTATTTAATACCCAGAAGCAGAGAAGAAGATTTTCAAAGAATGAATGCATTTTCACTATATACTCAATAGAGCCCCAACCTAACACCAGAACCCCTGACCCTGGGGCCATAAAATTCGCGATTTTGGTAGAGGCACTCTTGCTCATCATAACTATGTACTTAGTAAGTTTATTTAATACCTAGGAGCAGAGAAGAAGATTTTCAAAGAAATAATGCATTTTCACTATAAAGTCAATAGAGCCCCACCCTAGCACTAGAACACCTGACCCTGGGGCCATGAATTTCACAATTTTGGTAGAAGACTCAATGCTTATTACATTCATGCCAACAGTTTGACTGCTTGATGTCCAGGAGTAAAGAAGAAGATTTTTAAAAATTTCATTAATTTTAGTGGTTTTGGCTCCATCCCTCAGGCCCCAAGGGGGCGGGGACCATGAAATTCAAAATTTTTGTTCCCCTTCACCCATAGATGCTGTATACCAAATTTGGTTGAAATTGGTTCAGTGGTTTTAGAGAAGAAGCTGAAAATGTTCAGATGTTAACACATGACACACCACACAAGACACACGACGAAAACGGATAGCAATAGGTCACCTGAGTAACTCAGGTGACCTAAAAACAAGATGTGTTTGTGAAACACTGATGCCCCCATATGGCAACATAGCAAAGCTTAAGCTTTCTCAAATGCAGATCAAATATGTTGGTACCTAAAGTAAGGCCTTTTCACAAGAAATACAAATGTGAAATATGAAACCTTGGCACCACCTTTTCAAAGGTTATGACCAAGATTAAGGTTTTTAAATGTAGGACAAACTCCGGGGTCAAGGTCAAAGGGTCAAGGTTGTTGGTTTCTAAAGAAAGGCTTTGTCTCAAAGATTACATATGGGAAGTATAAAATTGCTGGCCCTTATCGTTCACAGGTTATGGTCAAGATTAAAGTTTGTAAAAAGTAGGTCAAATTGCAAGGTCAAGATCAAAGGGTCAAGGTTCTTAATATCAAATGAAAGGTATTGTCACAAGGATTAAATAAGTGAAGTATGAAAGCCCTAGTCCTAACCCTTCGAAAATTATGGTCAAGGTTGTATTTTAAAGTAGGTCAAACTCCAAGGTCAAGGTCAAATTTAAGGGTCAAAGTTCTCGGTATCCAATGATGCGTCTTCTCACAAGGATTACATATGTGAAGTATGAAAACAATAGCCATTACCTAAATAAGAGTTCTTTCTATTTGTAATTAAAGTATCCTTTATCAACTGTGTCATACAATGATCAAGATCTGAAAATAATAGAAAACTATAATAACAACTGTAGTAACTAACTACTGATAAACTATAATAAACTGTAACATTATCCTATATCTCCCCCCAAGTCTTTTGGTAGGAAGTGTCCATTTAGTTTATAAATGAATGAACTGAATGAAAAAGACTGATATTTAACACATGATAATATTAATGGCTAATGATTTGTCAATTATTGGCTGGAATTCACTGTTGAAAGTCTTCATTTATTCACTCCATACACTGATTGTAAAGTTCATGGTGTGTGAGTTTATTCACAAACAAAGTCTTTTTGCCATTCTGGAGCATGTCTGATGCGGCTGGTACGTCGTGGCAGGGTAGGTGTGGACTCAATCGTTGGTGGTGGAGCAACCGTTGCTTCTGCACAAGGTGGTTCTCTGGCAACATCTGGTGGTGAGCTGGCATCTTGAGTCCTTGGCTCAGTGTATGTGAGCGGATGGCATGGTTTTTGCACCTTGATAGGAGTGGGTGTCTCAGATGGGGGTTCCGTGGCAGGCACGGGTGACTGTTCCTGCATTGTGACTGTTTTCATCGGTGTTGTTGATCCAGGCTTCACTGTTGTGTCCATGGTGAGAGCAGGGGATGTGACAGGCCTCAACAGGGAAGACAATGGTGGATGTGCCCTACAATCAGTTTCTATGGTAAGTCGCTTTGGTGGCAACTGAACTGGAATATATTTGCGAAGAAATTTCCTGTTCCGTAAGGTGACACGTCTAGAGCCATCAATGCGCACGACATACTGGCGCACCTCAATGACTACTCCTGTCTTATCCCACTTGCGAGGGAAAAGTCCAATTTGGTTCTGCATACGAACATGGTCTCCAACTGAAAGAGGTGGTAGTCTTTGTGTATGTTCCGATAGTCTTTCTGCACATTGCATATGCCTGTTGCGCAATGCCTCTTCACGGGCAAGAGATGTGCTTTGCCATGTTGGATAAGGCTTGTATTTCCCAGGTGGGATTGGGATGAAGTCTCTTATTGGTCGACCAAATATGCATATGGCTGGAGAGAGCTTCGTGTCTCTGTCTGGTGTATTTCTGTATTGTAGCATGGCTCGCTGGAAAGCGTCTGTGTCAATGTCACCAGAAGAGCTAGTATTGTCCATTAGAAGGCGCTTGACTGTCTTGAACCCAATCTCTGCTCTGCAGTTACTGTGGGGGAAGGCTACTGAGGATAATCTATGATGCACACCCCAGTCACTGAGGAATTGCCTTGTAGCCGTAGCTGTGAACTCTGGTCCCCCGTCAGATGCAAGTTCGTCAGGTATCAGGTATGTGACAAAGATGCATCTGAGACAAGTTATCAGTCCTTGAGCTCCAACGGCTGACTGCTCTACGATGGACCAGTTTGAGTAGTCCACAACCACCAGGTAATGGTTACCTTTGTAAGTAAAGTAATCAGCACAGATGCACTGGAAGGGATACTCCGGGCTCATTGGTGGAACTGGTGGAGCACTCGGGTTGGACGGTGCATTGCGGTTGCATTGTTGGCAGTTTGCATGAAGAGCGTATATGTCCGGCGTTATCCCTGGCCAAAAAACAGATGTCTCAGCTCTAGCTATCATGGACGTAACTCCTTGATGGGCTGAATGTAAGGCATCTAGGACTTCCTTCCTTAGTGATTGCGGGATAACTATGCGGTCCTTGTACAGAATGACCCCATCAGTGGTCGACAAGCCTTCACGGTATTGGAAATACTGTCGTAGAGATTCTGGTACTTCATGACAGTGCTGTGGCATTCCACCTTCTATGATCTCACTCAGTAGTAGCATATCTTGGTCACTGGCTGTAGCTACACGAACTCTGTCCCAGGTCACCGACTTCAGGCCAAGGGCATTCAGTGATGCAACAGCAGTTGATCTCATGAGTTCATCTCTGCCACTTCTCCGGATGTAGTTAGTATATGAATTTTCCAGATGAAGGTTCTCTAAAAGTCTGTGATAGGTTACTTGCGCAACATCATCAGGTAAGATAAGTTTCTCCGCATCACTAATAGGATGGCGTGAAAGACAGTCTGTAGCACGGTGTTTGACACCAGGGATATGGACCATACGGAATCTGTATCGGAGTGTTTTCTCCTTTAAGTTTCTCAGACGATTGTTTGAAATGTCTTCAAGAGATCGGTCACCGAAGATCTTGAGAAGTGGTTTATGGTCAACTGCAATGGTTAGGTCCTTGCATGTCTTCAAGAGATCGGTCACCGAAGATCTTGAGAAGTGGTTTATGGTCAACTGCAATGGTTAGGTCCTTGCATCCTAATATGAAGTATCTGGCCTTGTCCAGGGAATCTGCAACTGCTAGTGCCTCACCCTCAATAGGTGCATAGCGAGACTCTGATGGATGAGTGAATCTGCTACCGACAAGTGTGATCTTCCATCCAGATGGACAGCAAAAAGGTTCTGTCTTCTCACATGTACAGTGTTTCTGTAGGAGCCAGAACCCGATACCTGATTTGGACCCGTCAGTTGTCAAACATGTGGGTCTGTCAGGGTCAAAGATGCGAACACCATCTTCTATTTCTCTTACAATCTGTGCTTTTGACTCCTCAAATAATGTCTGCAGGTGTTCATTCCACTGGAAAGCAGTTCCTGGCTTCAAGAGATCCCGAAATGATAACATGCGCTTAGCCATACTGAAGGCGTATGAAACCTGATTCACAAGGCCAAACCAAGAACGCACATCCGTGATGTCTTTTGGTGTGGGAAAGTCTATGATAGCTTGCAGGTATCTCCGACAGGGTCTGACTTCATCAAGGGTGATTTCAAAGCCGGCAAACTCAACCTCATCTGCTCCGAAGACAAATTTTCTGGGTTGAGTGTTATTCCATTCTTTCCACAGACATCAAGCCAATGCACTGCCTGGAAAAAACTTTCTTCTAGGTCATCAGCCCAGAGTAAGGCATCATCAACACACTTGGTTTTGTTTGGAATGTCTGTAACTATCTCGTCGTAGTGTCTCGTGTAACCATCGCCTGAGGCAATGTAGCCTTGTGGAGCGGTCTTGTATCGGTATCTTCCCCATGGCGTGATGAATGTTGTCAGATGCCGGTCTTCTTCATAGAGTGGGACACTGTGATAGCCGTTCCATGCATCAAACACCGTCTTTTTCTTCCCATTAGGAACCGATCGCGCTTGAAGGAATGGGGACGGTGTGTGATGTGTCTCACGTGTGGCATGTGCATTGAGAGCCTGGAAGTCAACCGTTCGTCTGGGCTTTCCATTTTTCTTAGCACATATGACCATCCGATGGCACCATGTGACGGGTTCTCCAATGGGAACTGGTTCTAGCACGCCTAACCGTACATCTTGATCAAGGCCTTCTTTTACTGCTGCTCGCCAGTGTATTGGAACAGGTACCGGTGTGTGGTAGGCCAGTGGTTCAGCATTTGGATCCACCATAAGCTTCATAGGTGGGCCATCCATTAGAGGCAGAGGCTGATGTTCACATGTGTTGAACGTGCTGGATCTATATAAATCAAGGAGATACTCCTGTAGTTTTGAGCGGTTTTCTTCTGTAGGTGAAAATGGCAAAACACTTGGTGGCGGAGGTGGAGATTGGCGTTTAGGACATCCACATGGTGCAGTGTTCTCTTCATGGACAGCTGCGGTACCGGTTTGTGAAGGCTGTACCTCTGGAAACCTATCGCTGATGATACCTAGCTGTACGCATGCCTCTCTGCTCAGGAACAGTTTGTCCGAGGAGTCTGTAACATATGTCATCTGCCTCGTTTCCACCACTCTACCACTACTGTCTTTGCTTGAGAACCGTTGTAATGAGGCTCCAAGTATCTTGATGCCGTCATTGTTAGCTGTGTGCATGTGCATTGTCACAGGGATAAGGTCAGATTCAGATAGTCCTATGCGATGAATCACTCTAAGACCGGCAAGGCAGCTCTGACAACCGGTGTCAGCCATAGCCGGAATAATGGTGGGCGCTGACGGTGTTGACAGGTCAACTCCAAAGGCTGAGTAATCTTCTGGAAGAGCTCGCACAGTAATGTTCACAAATGGCTGAGGCTTTGAGTTTCTGCAAAACCATGTGTCTGTCATGCTGTCGTAGATATGATGATCTAGAGGAATACTTTGCCGTTGTCCCTTCATATTGATGGGTTGAATGGTGTTTAGGTTGTCATGCTGTGGTTGAGGGGAGTACAGTGTACACAAAGTGTTAAACACAGCACTTTCTTTGTCATAGTTGTGTTGCCTAGACTGTGTTTGGCGTTTTGGATTGTCCTTGCTGCGGCAGACACTCTCGAAATGGTGATCTCGATGACAAAGTTCACACCTGTGGCCATATGCAGGACACTGAGTCTTACGTAGTTGTGCCACACTTTTCTTGCCATGGCCACGTTTCCCATCTTGATTTTCTTTGCAATAAGAACACAGATCTTGATTTTCTTTGCTCGGCACTTGCTTGGACCTTTTGTAGGAGCTGGCTGCCTCAACCGAATGAGAATCTAGAAGCCTTGAGGCTGATCTTTTCCCTGCTTCTTTCGCTTCAACGAATTGAAATACTTCCTCCAAAGTCATATTTTGATTCTTATCGCCGAGTAAGTCTAACTGAATGTCAGGGTCGACAACGCCTCGTGTGAGGACATCGCGCATAATGGCATCTGTGTAGTTGACTTTGGTGTTACAGTTAGGACAGTCAATCACGAATTTGCAAATGTCAGCTTGTCCTCTGAGTGCACCAAAGTTTCTGACTGACTCATCACGGTCTTGCCTCATGTTATGCAATGTCACACGGGCTACCATTGTGTTTTCTTCACGAACAGCAAGTTTACGGATGGCAGCTAATACGTTATCTACTGTTTTTTCAGTTAATTTGCCACCTGTTGTTCGTGTCAGGTCTCTGCGAAGGGGTTCATCACAACACTCGAGCAACTGAATGACTTTGTCTTTACCGTCCAGTTTCGTTGCAGCCACATAATCTGTCCAGCGTGACATAAAGTAGGCCCAATCCTCGCTGGTTCCAGCGGCGGTTATGGTAGGCCGCTTCACTTTCTCTACTTTTGCTGTCAAGACGGGTCCAGTTGTGTGTACAGCGCTGTGGACTGTGATGAGGGCCGCGACGATTGCTGCATCTAGGTCGTCGGTGGTATAGTCACAGCCAGGAAACGGACACTGTACTACAAGCATTATTGCGTCACTATCTTGATCATAAATAAGAGTTCTTTCTATTTGTAATTTTAGTATCCTTTATCAACTGTGTCATACAATGATCAAGATCTGAAAATAATAGAAAACTATAATAACAACTGTAGTAACTAACTACTGATAAACTATAATAAACTGTAACATACAGAAATCTCCAAAGTTATTGGTATACAATAAAAGGTCTTTCCACAAAGAATAGATATATGAAGTATAAAAGTCCTGGTATCTACCTTTCAAAAGATATGGCCAAAGTAAAAGATTAGAATATTTATGTAAAAGTGGGTCAAATTCCAAGGTCAAGGTCAAAAGGTCAAATTAGGTGGTATCCAAAGAAAGGCCTTGTCCTAAGGAATACACATGTGAAATATGAAAGCCATAGCTCCACAAATCAAAAGTTATGGGCAAGGTTAAAATTTTTGCAGACAGACAGACAGAGAGACAGACAGAAACGACAAAAACTATATACCCCCGAAACTTCGTTTATGGGGGCATAAAAAGAGAATTAAGCTGAGAAACCTTCTGCTTGTCTTCTCTTTGTTCCCAATGAGGTTAAATGAGAACATGTAAATTAAAAGGTTTTTCGAAAGATATGGTTATTACAATTTGATTCTCTCAATTAATAAAATCTAAGTCTAGGATTTCTTTGTTTTATACATATTTTTTTTTCAAAGGCGGTTAAATGTTCCCGTGGTAAAAAATGTACATGTACACTCCTAACACACTTTGAAAAAAAATTTCAAAGCGCGTTGAGTGTGTCCCAAATTTAATGCACTTTGAAAATGTTTTCAAAGTGTGTTGATTTTGTCCTAATTTTAACGCACTTTGAAATTTTTTTTCAAAGTGTGTAATTTTTTTAAAGTGCGATGCCACAGTGGTTAGATTCCATAGGGGTGCAGCTTTGCTCAGGCAATACTGATGATCTGCTTTTGACCTTTCAGTCCTGATATGGTGGTTTCTTTACACCAAGGAAATCTTTCTGATATTACATGGTCAAACATGCATTATAATGGTATCAAACTACAATTGAACTTCTGCATCTCATTCTGTAATATGGTGTAAATTGAAAAGACTTGAAAGTTAAAACGATTTTCATTTTATGCCCTTTCCCTTAATATTTTAATTAACTGGATATCTCATTTTTTCCATTCCCAAGGGGTTTGTAAATAACAAGGTTTGGCTTGAAATTTTTGTTGTCTAAAGAAACTTGACATAAAATAGACTTTTTGTTCATACTTTATCTGGTATTTGTAGGGGAACACAAATCACTTTTGTTTATAACTCTGTTTAATTTCATTAACAAAATATCTTTATAAAGTCATTTTCAAAGCTATTTTTACTTTCAGGCAAGCAATGGAGTCAACTGAATGTAATGATTTTCATATCTTGCAAAAAAAAAAAAAAATATATATATAAAAATACAGTATCAATCTGTCCCAAAAATAATCATGCAAAATGTTAATGATATACAGTAAATGAAACGAATACATAGCTATGTTTCAGAGACAATTCAAAACAATTCAAGCAATCTGTCTATAAAAGAATATCACATTCAAATATAAGGCTGAATCACTATCAGCCAATCACATGTAATCTGCAAGAGACAATACAATTTTCCATGTCATATCTTCTGATGATGTATCTCATAAATAAAGGCAAGCTTGTAGTCTAAATAAAAAATGTTCCCTCATAGTAAATTGACACCCCCCCCCCACCAACCCAAGAAATAGCTGTAATAATGTAGCCTTCTTTATATTTTTAACAGATGATTTTTTAAAGAGAGGGTTTCCTGACCAAAACAGATAAAAAATACAAAAAGAACCCCCCTCCAAAAAGAACTCATTAATAACTAGATAGGGCTACATTATTGAGCCACAAGAAAAATACAATGAAAACAAACCTAGTTGATTTTCATGCTACTACCCCCAACTTATTTTTTATTTATGCCCATACCACTGGAAGGGAAACCTCATATCATTGAATCTTTTTTTTCAAAATTTAAAAAATCTGTGATAACAGCCAGCCTTGCAACCATTTCTTCAGAATCAAGTGAGTCATTTTTCAGCATGATTAACAAATTGAGCAACTCGGGTTGAAAATATATGTCTGACACGTCCACATGGCGTCTTGGATGTCGCCTCTAGTTTCTCTTGAAGAGGGGGAAGGAGGAATGTCTTCATCTTCTGATGGAAATCATACTGTAAAAAAGAGAAAAAATGACAGTCTATGTGGAGGAAAGAATTATTGATGTTGTTACAAGCATAACAGTGGAATTATTCACAAATATTTTCTGCATAATACAATCAAAATCCTGTGACAGTAAAAAGAAACCAGTCTTTAAGAATTGTATTTTCCAAATACAGTTGAACTTCATTATCTCAAAAACAAGAGGCCCAGGGGCCACAGCGCTCACCTGAGCACATCGGGCTTGAATTTATCCCCCCCCCTCCAGGCGTTCATCATTTGAACAAATTAGAATCTACACTACCTGAGGATGATTTCATATAAATATCACTAATCATAGCTTTGAAGTACTTGAAAAGAAGATCTTAAAAGTTTTCCCTATATATTCCTATGTAAAACTTGGGTTGGCCATTTTGGCCCCACCCTTGCCCCGGGGGTCATGATTTGAACAAACTTGAATCTACACTACCTGAGGATGATTCCACATGAGTTTCATCTTTCCTGGCCCAGTGGTTCTGGAGAAGAAGATTTTTAAAGATTTTTCCTATATATTCCTATGTAAAACTTGGGTCGGCCATTTTGGCCCCACCCTTGCCCCGGGGGTCATGATTTGAAAAAACTTGAATCTACACTACCTGAGGATGATTCCACATGAGTTTCATCTTTCCAGGCCCAGTGGTTGTGGAGAAGAAGATTTTTAAAGATTTTTCCTATATATTCCTATGTAAAACTTGGGTCGGCCATTTTGGCCCCACCCTTGGCCCGGGGGTCATGATTTGAACAAACTTGAATCTACACTACCTGAGGATGCTTCCACATGAGTTTCATCTATCCTGGCCCAGCGGTTCTGGAGAAGAAGATTTTTTAAAAATGCCATTAATTTTTAACAAATTCATGATTATCTCCCCTTGGAAAAGGGCGTGGCCCTTCATTTGAACAAACTTGAATCCCCTTCACCCAAGGACACTCTGTGCCAAGTTTGGTTGAAATTGGCTCAGTGGTTCTTGAGAAGAAGATGAAAATGTGAAAAGTTAACGACAACAACGACAACGACGACGACAGACAACGGACAAATTTTGATCAGAAAAGCTCACTTGAGCCTTCGGCTCAGGTGAGCTAAAAAAAAAAAACATCAATGTGTCAAAGTGACATGGCTGACCCCAGCCTCTTTTTTGTTTTACCTTTTTGTTAACCTTGTTATTTCAAATCCTTGGATATTTTAAAATCTATTATCTTTGTCCTGTGGTGTTTGAGATAATGAGGTTTAACTGTACAAATATATGTTACACTGATGTTTTAAATTAAAAATACTTCAACATATCTTTAATTCTTTTATGAAATTTACTTCAGATATAATAAATTTATGTTATATGCAGTGTTTCAAAATCAATGTCACTTTTTTTTATCTCAGTGGAGTCACTTACTTCTTTAAAGGCTAAATAAGCAGCTTTAAATGCAGGTTGTTTATCATTCTGCATTGCTCGTCGATTACCGTGAAGTACATATGCCCCACTTCGTTCTGCGCCAGTACACACACTCATATACATACAGTGATCAGGTCTGTAATTCCATTCACATGGATAAACATAAAGCTCATCTGTGAAAAGAAAATTGTTCACATCACCATACTATTAGAAAACAGAGATATATGTATGTGTGATCTTTGCATAAGTAAACTAATATTCTATAATTTTTATGCACCCAGATTGATAGATCCGGGCATATATTGTTTTTGTCCTGTCTGTCTGTCTGTTTGTCTGCAAACTTTAACCTTCCCAATAACTTTTGAACCATGAAAGATAGAGACTTCATATTTAAAATGCATACTCCACTAATGAAGCTCTTTTAAATAACACCAAGGTCAATGACCTTGTGACCTTGATTGTGACCTTTATGCTAAAAATAGCTTTTTTGAACCTTATCCATAACTTTTGAACCATGAGAGATAGAGACTACTAATCAAGTTCTTTCAAATGACACCTAGTTCAAAGTAATTACTTTGAGATTCTATGGGTGCTTCTTGAACTTCATACTTATGTATTTATACTTTGGCTCACACTTGCAGTACATGCTGTACAGGTACATTGTTAAATTATTTCTGAGATTCACCCTGACCTGGATGAAAGTGAAAGTAGATGTTAATGAGATCCTGATCTCCCCAGGTTATTTTCAGTTTGTATTCTTTGTAGTAATTCACAATGGATGGAAGCCAAGTTGAGTTTCTAAGTCTTGTTAAATTCATCAACATCACACCAGAATTGACCCCTGAAAAAGTGGTGAAAGAATACTTGTCTAGTATTATTTTAAAGCAGTGTTCTATTTTGGGGTACGTTTATTAACATATTTGAAACTCGACTGAATTTGGCCTTAACATGAAGATTGATTTTTTTACCTAATTCTCCATAATATGGATGCCTAGCAAATCTATTGTACCAGCCAGTCTGTCTGTCTTCACTCTCTGGAGCCAAGGCAACCAGCTGGGTACTGTTGAACCGGGTAAAATGAAACCATATTTCCTCCAGAGGAGACAGAAATAAGATATCTGTATCAACATACAGTACAGAATCCACATTGGTTAAGAGTGACTGGAAAAGAAATACTTAAGTATTAAATATACATTTTTGTACCACTTTAACTTCAAGTACAATTATGTTTACATAACATACAGAAAGGCATAAAAATCAAGTTTTTGCTTGATCTTTAACGCACATCATCCCCCCCCCCCCCCCTTAACCTCACACAAAATTTAAGGGGAAAAAACACATTTTACTTGCCTTAAATTAATTAAATTGTCAAGAAAAATCCAATTTAGCTATAACAAGTTAATTACTAATTATTCTATGAAGGAAAAAGAGGTCACTGTGCAAGATAATCAACTAAGAAACAGATTGGCAGGATACATATTTATTGATGCCTTATCTATGAAGGCAAAATGTCAAGCAGAACTGACATAGAAAATTTTAACTACAGGTATGCATCATTCTCAAACTGGAATTGATTCTTACAATTATTTCTTTACAACTGATATACTTACTGGAATGAAGAGTCGTTGAGAGGCACAAGGTTTAAAAAGTTTCTTCCACTCATTATTTGAGTCAGGGAAGGTTATACCATACAAGTGGTATTCAAATTTGCTTTTAGCTATACTTGGCCATGATGCAAGCTGTAAAAAGATATCTTATTAAACAATCCAAAATATAAAACCTCATTTTTCAAAAGAATAAGATAAGGGGGATCCCATAATATGGAAAAATTAAATGTCATTTTATAATTTCAAAACTACAGAGGAGTACAGACATAATGAGTTTGTGTACTTTTCTAATTCGAAGAATTTTTTGGTTATAACAGTATATATGTATATGAATACATGTATATAACTTTCTATCTTAATTTCCAAATATGCTACAACATGTTTGTTCTTATGGAAAAAAAATAATAAAATGAATAAATAAATTACAAGATTCATGAAAGTTACAATAAATTTAAAAAATCAGCACCAACCTGTTGCTGCAGTGAGGAATGAAGATCATCTTCAGCGAAGATGTGGATGATGATGTAGCTTTTGGTGAAGAGGATGGCAGACTTGATGAGAATGATGGACTCATTACCACGGTCACCACAAACAACAATAGAAAGGTGGATACTCTCTCTCCATCTCTTGGCTTTCCTGTAAATTTTTTTTCTAATTTTAGGGGGTTGGAACCATTGAAAAAAGTAGGTGGAAACATCAATCGTTTCTATATAAAATTGGTAATTATTGATACATGGAAAGTATAACAACATACATGACAAATTTTCTGATTATGCAGTCAGTCTTAGTTTATAGGACAGTGGATAAAAATATATACAGAAAAAAATCCATTTAACTAATTGTAATTAAAAAAAAAATGTCCTCTAAAATTAGTGAACTTTTGAAAAAAAATTTTTTTTTAAAGTGGTCATTAATTGATAATTAATGCTCACTTTTCTAGTTCAGCCTTTCTTAATTTTTCTTCAGCACTGATCTCTGCGGTTTTTTTCGACTGATTTCCAACAATGCTGTCATTTTCTGGGGACTGCTCTAGGTTAGGTTCATCATTCTGTTGATGAATCAAATAGAACATACAAACAGCGATGACAACAATGACAGTCAGACCAAACTTAAAGATCATCCTCCGCCTCATCCAGCATCGCTTAGTGGCGCCTACTCCTCAAAATTGGTTAACCTATGAAAAAAATGTTATATAAATTTATATGGTTTAGTTTACGTTACTTGGTATGCAGTACGTTTATCATTTTTAGATTGGGCATGTTGGGTACAGCTTTTCCCCCTAATCCGAGATTCCTCTGACTCTAACCCCCGCTTTTATATTGTGACTTGTGCGGGGGAGATTTTGTACCTGTGGTTAGGCTATTTGCACTTCAAAGTTAAACATTAAACTGACGATAATTTACGAAACTGATTATACCTCTATCAAGTTCCACTATTATACAGTCCCCGATTGATTCTGCTACTGCATAATTAACACAAGACACACGATATAAATAGATTTTATAGACATTTTTATGATTTTGGTTTACAGTGTCCTAAAAAAACTCAAAACTGGAAATGATTGATGGAGACTAAAAAAGAAAAACCCAGATTCCGGAATGTGGAATCGATAAGCCTGGGGCAAAATAAAGTTCTAAAAGGAATATTTTGTGTTAATTTTAGATAACGTTGATTTTCAATTGCATACAAAATTGATTATGCATCAGCCATTCCAATTTTTTTTCTAAGTTCAGCGTCCACGTGTGCCTTGGTTTTTGACACTCAATCGAGTCAATGCCAGCAGAGACGTATAATATGTCTCTGATGCCAGAAAGGAAAAAAAAGTCAAAATGCCAAAAACATATACAAGAAACATATATTGACGCAAGCGTCAAAAACCGGCTGCAAACCAATTGTATTGGTCCTTTCAATGAAACAGTTAGAAACTGGAATGCTAGATCTGTTATTAAGGTAGGTCCCTAGTACTGGACCTACTTGTGATTTTTCAAAAAATTGTTCTCAAATGTTTAGATTGTTCATACTAAGGTATGATGAATTGGAAAAAAGAAGGGGTTGTCAGTATTATTATTGAGAGAGAGTTTCTCAAACATAGGTACCCCCATTTTTCAATTGACGATATGAGATTCCAATAAAGGTTTCACATAATTTGTACATAAAAACACTAATTTTGATGCTATTGAATGATTTTTCCTATTTAAATCAAAGAAATATATCCAATTAAACAAATTACAGTAAAATTTTATTCTTATTATATTTTCCTTGGTTTTTGGGGACTAAATTGAACAAAATACAACCCTCGACCAGCCCCAAAACTTGGAAGTACAACACTATTAAAATTATTGTAAAAAAAAATTGACTTGTGATTTTTCAGTCAAATTCTCAAATTATGTTCATCTATGACTATTTGTTAAAATTAAATTAAAAAAACAGCACATTGCCAGCATATATTTTTTCTCAGCACCACCATTTATTTATACGTTTTTTGTCCAAATTGAGATTTTTGATAAGGAATTTCAAATGATGGAAGATAAAAAATACAAAGCTATTGATGACTTTTATTTCATTTCATAGATGCATAACTGCAAAAGAATAACAACATTCTTTAGAATATAATATAATTTTAAAACCTATAATACTTCTGTGTGCCATTAATTACAGATATATTTCACATATTATACATGTACATGTATCTGTTTTTCAAGTAAATGAAATGAAAATCCACAGTCTAATCAGTCATCAATTTTGAAGCATTACTCTTTCCACTACATTGAGTCAAAATACATCCAATTATGTGTTCAACAGTATACACAAAAAATTAGTATACAACAGAATATTAACAGTCAGCATAAAAAAAATACAGTCTAACGTTAGGTTGAGTGTTGACTGAAATCTCCCATACAAGTTTTTAGACCTTTATTTTACACACTGTTTGTCTAAATTAAAATACATACAAACAGTAATCATTCACAGCTATTCAAATATTCAACCAATTTGTTGATTACATTAGATGACTTGGATATTCTAGGCTGCTTTGAACCTGATAATGGTTCACTAAAAACATTTCGTAACCCATTATGTGGATCCCTCTTGTGGATTAGCACCAACTTAGACAAACTAAGAGAATTTGCAATCAACTTCTTCGAAATCATGGAAGATACAATCTTTGCCTTAACAAGGGGCTCTAAAGACTTCTTTATGGTATAATAATTCAATGTGAACACATCATTAGCTGAACACAGAGCCAACAACTTCATTTCAAAAAGTTCCCTCAATGCCTTCACATCAGCAATAGCATTATGAGCTTCATAATCTTTTCCAATGAAAGTATTTACAAGAGTGACTTGTTTAAAATCTTTAACATCATCTTTGCTGAAAGATTTCCTAGACACTTGTAAGGTATCTATAAAACCAGTGACAGTGCTAGCAAAACTGTCAAGTAATTTACATTTGACTAGCTGATTCATTAACACTGGTAGGTCAAAACATTGTATATTGTGCCCAACCAAAATAGGTTTACAATCAACAGTCTTCAAAAATTCAACAAACTGCTGAAGTCCTTCAAAGGGCTCTTTATGGTCCACCTTCTTGCCATTATGCTTCAGCACACCACCAACAAAAGTAAGGCCAGTTGCTGCAGATGCATCAAGACTAATTGGGGACTGCGGTGTCAAGTACATGTTGAACTCTCTCTCTCCACATACAGCTGCAATCTGAACAATGTCTGATGTCCTGGCTGAAATAAATAAAAATAAATATTGAAACTCCCATAGTGTATACTTCTAAGTCAAGTGCAACACAATTCTCTTAACCTTATATAATATATTCCTTAGCTATTTCTACAAAGAAAAAAACAAGTTCACAAACCTAAACCAGTAGTCTCTAGGTCAAATACCATGTAAGATTTGTTGGTACTTGGTAGTTGATCTAATTTATTCAAAGAAATGTCCTCCAAATCAGCTTCATCACTCAAACCAATTTTGCTGCTGTATGTATCCGCTGCAATAGAAATGTTCAGAAAAAATGATAGGTAAAAACAAACAAACATCACACATATAAATTAAGTTTCAGATAAATAGTATTTATCTGACTTACCTTCAAGAACAGATTGTGATGCATCTTTTGCAGACCGCTCTGTCTTCAGCTCTAAGCGCCTCCGCTTTGTGCTCCGCTTTGCTTGTTGTAATCGCTTCAGCTTCAGTCTGCTTTGTAGGATCCTGGAATGCTTGAGGGTGTATCTTCCAGGAGACATTGTCAGTCTTTTATTCATCTGAGAAAAATAGAAAATATGAAATTGAAAACTTTTTCTGGAAAAGAAAAAAAAGAAGAATCAACAGATCCTTATCAATATGTAAAACATGTAATTTTTTTTTCAAGTAAAGAGATTATATATTTTATGGAGTAAAAAATCTAATGTGTCTGCATTAAAATGTATTACAGCAAAACTCGGTTATAACGAAGTCACCGGGACCTATAAAATTACTTTACTATATCCGCAATTCTTTATATCCATATAAGAAGTTCATTAAATTTATATAGATGGGGATCCAAGATGACTTCGCTATATCCGTGAATTTGCAATATCCATGTTCGTACTAAACAAGTTTTACTGTAACAATAAATTCACACATTTTATAGATATAATTCTCGAAGAACTTTCAAAACCCTTAAAAATTAATCATGCATTAAAAATGATTTCAACTGCGTCAAGTAAATAAAAAAATGTAAACAAGACAAGAACAAAAACTACACAAACAAGTTTAGGCTATGTAATGGTATTTTTGATGTTTCCCTTTAAATACTTTACTTTATAGACATTGCCTAAACTGCCATGTGTGAACATCAAAAGAACATCAAAGAACATTTTTTTTCATTTGTATACCTCAGTTATATAATTATACCCCTCATTTTTCTGACAGACAGTTGCAGATACTCTACTATGCAGACTGTCTGAACCTCCATAAAACCTATGAACAGTTTAGGTGACATAGTCTAATTAATAAAAGGTACATGTTTTATCTATGTGCATGGTTTTTATCATTTCATAAATTTGAAAATTAAAAATTCTTACATTCTTTTAGGCGCTTTGCTAGAGACCATGTGGTTAAAATTTTCATTCACTTGAGTGGATCCCATCGACACCAACTCAGTTGCCCGGTCTGCATACTTCTCAAACAGTTTTTCTAGAGCTGATCTCAGAGGCTCACTTGTAAGAGGTTTCCCATATGGCAAGTTTTTTGGTTTGTAACCAGTCTGTTCACTCCTGCACCATGTGCCACACATGGAATGGTCCCCTTTTAAGATTAAATACACTAATACAAATACAGCATTCATACATTATCATGAACTCAGACCAATTTCTAAAAATAATTAGAAAACAAAATTATTTTTCTTGCCAGTGTCAAACTTAAATATATGTTCATTCTTTTTGCAAGTAGTATTCTTACCATATAAATGAGGAACAATTTTCCCCAGATCATTAGCTAACTTTTCTGGATCTTCAGATGCCTGATGAACACAATATGTAAAGCATCTCTCAATGTGTGTTCTAACTTTAACATTTTTCAATACTTTATGGGTATTGCTGATTTCCACAAGACTTCCAGTAAACCCCTTTTTCATGTGATTGCTGTCCACCTTTTTCTTTATATCTGGATCAACAGTTGCTCTCAATCTTGCTATTGTTGTAGAATCGTTGTCCATTACTAACGTGGTAACCTAACAACATTTTATAATTATAAGCAAAATAAAAAACAGTAATGCATTAGCACTTTCATTTACAATCTTCACATATATATAAATATTTAATAAAGATTTCATGGAAGGTGGCATTTTAATTCATAGCGCTTTCACCTCTTAGCTCTTCATGGATTTTGAATATTGATTGTACACAGATATATTGATATAAAATTGAACATATCTATACATTTCATACCTTTTCACCTTGATCTTTTATGCTCTGCACCATCTCGCAAGCCATAGCAGGTTCCATAGATTTGGCTGACCCTGACCAGTTTCGACTGCATTTGTGCTTCCTCACAGGAACATCCTTCCGTTTTGCCAAGTCACATATTCTGCATTTTTTAGATTTTACAGCATAACCAACACATTTCTTGGTTTTTTCTCCGATCAAACTTGCATGTCCTTCAAACATAAAGAAAATTGTTCAATAGCAGTAAATACTTTGTATTATTTTAGTAATCAGTGAAAAGTCAAAGCATCCAATTCAAATTACTAATTAGGATAATTGATGACTTTTTTAAACCATCAAAAAATACCTGTAAGGCTATTGTAGGCACGCCCAGTACCCCGTTTTTGCCAGGCACCATCGAAGCTGACAGTGAGATTACCATCACTCCTGAAGAAAAATCCAATAATTATCATGCATGAAATTTTTTTTTTTTTTTTTTCAATAATTCAAATTATTTTGACAAATACCAATAAACGTACTTTTCAACTTCCTCTAATAGACTGGTTCGACAACTTTCTTCTGCCATTTTACTCAGTGTACTGCCAACTTCCCTTTCCCTTTCCTTTAGACCTCCCTTTGAAATTCCTGGAATGTTTAGTACTGCTAAGAAGGCATTTAAATGAGACTCTCCAAAGCCACCATTGATCATTCCTAAAATATTACAAACACAATTATTTAAAACAATAATCAAAGATTAAAACAGGGGTGTGCAATCACCATCGCCCGACACCCGGGGCTACCAATTTAAGAGGTCAGCTATCTAAATCTATACTGCGTTAGCCCGTCGGGCTAGTAAATCTAAAACAAAAGTAAACATATATTTACCTCGACTGAATTTAGGTACGAATTAACTTTTCTGAAAAATCAAAATCTTGAATTCGTTTTAACCTATATGCATTGTGTGTTCCTATCGCCAGTCATCTCACTGACAATTATAGTCGATATAAATAGGGGGAAGTACCTGACAATTACAAAGTGCAAACCATTATTTGTTTATTTCAACTTCAATATTTTTTTTAACCTTTATGTTATACTTATACATGTATTGTTTTCGGTAGTTAATGGGCTAGTCACTAGCGCAACGGGCTAGTAATTTATTTTTGTAATATCTATTGCACACCCCTGATTAAAAACACCAATGTACACAATTTTATCCAAGTTTATTTCATACTTATTATACACTTACCTACTGCTACTTTCGTATTAATATCCCATGCTTTTCCTCCCTTTTCTGTTAGATGTTTTTTGCCTGTTGGGACATCATTAAGTAGCCTACACTCCTGGTATCTACACTGCACTTGGAGAATTTGAGCGAGTCCGAATCTAGTCTCTCCAACACAATCGGATAAATGCAAAGGTTGCCCACATCTCTTGCACTCCTTTAAATTATTTGCAAGGATACCAAGTTCGATTATACGTCTACCTTCGCTCCAATCATTTTTACCTGTTGGCTCAACAATTTCCTCTCTAGCAACACGGACATCGCTAGCAAGAGGGTCAACACAGTGATACACATGGTCTTCGTTCGTAACTGGAGTGATTACTGGTGTTTCAACATTTTCTTTGGAAGTATTATCATCACTGCGGTCCCAATATTTTACACACTCTCTCCTCAGGACTTCATTTTGCTTTATACGAGAGGATTTCACGAATTTCCCCTTCTTATTTCTTGCCGCCATTACTGCGGGATGTTATCGATAAATAATAGTGTTAAAAACCTATCCGGGAGTCCGATCCGGTTATGACGTCACACGACTAGACCCCTACTTTAAAATATCTTATATTTATCTGTTAATTAATATATCTCTGTGACATTGAACATTTGCATGCGACATAACAGGATTTTCTTCAATACATAATTTACATGTACATTACTACATGTATAAGCAAACTACTTTTAGTACCCTGCGTCTCCGTACAAAGTTTGGTACAAACGAACTCTTGTGAAAGTTTGATGTTTTTAAAGTAGTTTACATTTAAAGATTAAAACTAAAGTTTAAATTTATCTTAACCATAGAGATATATAGTTTTACTTTAATAAAAACGCAACAAATATGTGGGGCTCTTCGCTCGCTCTCAGAGGATGTTAACCCCCCCAACTCCCTCTAGATCCGCCACTACATTTCTCCTCTTTGATTGCGAGAAGTGGCGGGAAAAGACTTGGCATACTATAAAATGCGCTTTATCCTTGTCTGTTGGAGTAAAATCTCGTAATATTCTGTCTGATGATAAATTGTCATTTAATCATTTGGAAATTTTCTTTCGGAAATGTTAAAATATATTCAACAAATCCTGTTTAAATAGAGAAAGTAAAATTGATTATACTTCTATACTAGTACTGTAACGCGGTCTTTGATTTAGACCATGTCCAACACGTGTGCTTTTGTCTCCGAACCTCAGTTATGTCAGAGTTTGTCAATCAGGATTGGTTGAAACATTTACCCCATATTTACAAAATTTTAATTTTATGATTATTGTGCGTATCTTGCTTAACATTTAAACCCTCTGTTTTAATATTGTATTATTTGAATGTTAAATATTTTTTATTTAAATTGTTTTAATAACTCCGCAGAAACCCACGACGACTTCAAACTTTCATATCAAATAACTGACCGCCTCCTGGCTACCGGTAATTATTCTGATTGAAATCTTTGAATTCTGTCATTATTTCTAAATATTTGTCTAGAATACGTCATACAAGGTAAATCGTACGTATTGAATTTGATTTTGCGATGGAATTTATCTTTCTGCAAGTAAAAATGAAATCAAATCCTTTGAATGACCTATGAATGAGGCAGATTGTGTGGAGAGAGACTCGGGGCAGGGAGAGTGTGGGGAGAGAGAGTGTGTGGAGGAAAGTGTGGAGGGAGAGAGAAGAGAGATTAGACAGGGAGTGTGTGGACAGAGAGGGAGTGAGAATATGGGGTGAGAGAGGGTAGTGAGAGTGTGGGAAGAGAGAGAGTGGACAGAAGTTGTGGGAAGGGAGAGAGTGGGGAGAGATTGTGGGGAGAAAGAGTGGGGAGGGAGAGAGAAGGGAAAGAGTGGGGAGGGAGAGAGAAGGGAGCGAGAGTGTGGGGAAAGAGAGGGGAGTGAGAGTGGGGTGAGAGCCGGGGAGTGAGAGGGGAGAAAGAAGGTAGTGGGGGAGAGATTGTGGGGAGATAGAGAGAGAGTGGGGAGGGAGAGTGTGGGGAGAGAAGGGAGCGAGAGTTTGGGGAGAGAGAGAGTGTAGTGAGAGTGTGATGAGAGAGAGGGAGTGAGAATGTGGGGAGAGAGAGTGTGATGAGAGAGAGGGAATGAGAGTGTGGGGAGAGAGAGGGTAGTGAGAGAGTGATGAGAGAGAGGGAGTGGGAGTTTGGGGAGAGAGAGTGGACAGAGGTTGTGGGGAAGGAGAGAGAGGGAGTGAGAGGGTGGGGAGCGAGAGGGTGGAGAGAGAGTGTGGGGAGATAAAGTGGAGAGCAAGAGTGGGAGGAGAGTGAGAAAGTGGAGAGAGAGGTAAAGGAGATTGTCTGGGGAGAAAGTGGAGAGCGACAGTTGGAAGAGGGCTGGAGAGAGATGGGGATGGAGAGGGACTGGGCTGTAAAGAGAGGGGGTGTTATTTAATCATTTTAGAAGCTATACCTCACCTGTAGTTGTTGATACTGTATTAATGAACCGAGTCACCTGAAATCAGAGATGGCAATTTTCATTCTTTTTGTCCCCCGCTTTCATTGAAAGAGGGGAATATTCCGGCATTTCCGTCTTTTGTTTCAACACGGTATCCCGAAAATCCTTTTGATCATTCGAAATGAAATTTTACACAATTCCATATGGCCTAAGGAAGACCCTATTGGTTTTTTTTTAAGGTAAAAAGGTTACAGGTCAACGTCATAAAATAATTCTGTCTGTTTTAATATTTTCGTATCCGCGCAATATCTCGAAAAGCTTTTGAGCCTTTTTAATTAAATTTCATACCACATACTCCTATGGCCTAAAAAAGAACCCTTTTTATTTTGAGGTAAAAAGGTCACAGATCAATGTCGAAACGTGCTTATTTCCAGCGATTTTTAAAAATAATTTTTGTTTAAAAAAAAATTAATTAATGTATTCATACACACCTAGAAAATACATAATTCACAAAAACACCTTGCATCCTGAAACCTAGCGCCTAACCCCCCCCCCCCCCCAAAAAAAAAGCTTTTTACATAAGAATGACTTTTCCAAAAATTATTTCCACAGACACGTAATTATAGAAAACTTGCAAATAATACCACGAATTCGAAAGAAAATAAATACGATTAATTTTTTTTATTAAAATAAAGTTTTTAGAATCACTTGAATCTTTCTGATAATTGTTAGAGTCGGTTTGTCTCGTGTTGATACAACAGCAATGCATTTCACATTTGAAGGAATCGTGTAGCCCTGTATTTCTGAATCGAATTCGCCTTCAGACAACCTCCCCACCAAATGAGGGACCAAACATTGCTCTTCTGGATATTGAATACCCACTCCTACTTTTACAACACCCCATTTCAAAATCCCGGTTCTCAGAATTGGGTGTCCTGTAGATACAACGATTCTACTAATGTTGATTGGTTCGGGGAACACTACTTTATACAGATGGTTAGCTTTTAAGCTCACGACAGAAAAGAATGGATCCCCATCAGTTCTTTGGTAAGCATTTTCCGGAAAAGATCCAAATGTTGCTTCCATGTTTGTAAATATTTCTGCTTGTGGATTTTCTCCTGGAATATCAAAAGTACTGTAGTTGAACGAGTCCTTAAAGGTAAAATCTGTTATAGGTGTAAGTTTTCCCCTTAATGACGATATTTTTCCAATATGCTGAAACAGACCTTTTGGGGTTTGAATGGTGGAAACTTGATCATGTAGGACTCTGAAATTGTTTAGTAGGATATCACAGGGTAGCACATTAAACATAGCCAACAAGTATGTTGCAAAACGTGACAAATTCTTAGACCGAAATAATTTTCCAATAAACCCTAGCCGAGAAAATTCTAATGTTATCCAACGAATCTTATGATTTCGCTCGATAAATTTTTTAATGTCAGCAAAGAAGTCATTGGCTGCAATCACATCGTCTTCAAGTTGTATATAAAATTGTGAAAGCCGTTTGCCATACCACATCAAATATGCAAAATCTATGTTTTGTTTGGATCGCCATATCGTCCTGTCTTTGGAGTCATCGTTGAAATTGGCATTTTTATCTAATTCTGGATAAATGTCTAATGGACTGTGAATCACTTGGAGGAACCCTGTCTTGATATATGTCGAAAACGTCTCACTAATACGCCGACTTGTATCAAGGTTCCAAGTTTTATCAAAATCCGATAAGAAAATAACCAGAGTTATATTTTCTTTTTGACTGTCTGTTGTCGCCTTTATGATGGATGTTATAGTTGAGTAGACATATAGCGCTCCCTCTAGCTTTCTTTTTACCACTGGTATGCCAATAGTTAAATAACCTGGAATACATAAATGAATAAAAATATTGTGGATTACAATCTTTTGATTTCAGTCACTATATAAGTATGTTATTAAAAGATACAAAAGCAGCAATGATTATAACCCCCTAGCCAGATTGCTGCTTTTGTATCTGATGACGTCTTTTGACTATGCTTCATATCCTCGCCATACTATTAAAATATCAATCGAACGCATCACTGTGGATAAACTTTCAATCAATATTTTAAAAAAAAACAAAACTTTTATTATTTTAACGATATTGCACGTACCAATTGAACTCTTTGGCTGCCCAAAGAGCACTGTATTTGATGACCACTCCGCATTGTTCATGAAGATAAAATTTTCTGGGCCTTCCTGTAACATTGGAGGTAAACCAGTGTCCTTCTGAAATTGACATATACACATATAAAATGTCAAGGTCATAAATTTTAAAAAATCTGTCTGTTTTAACACTTCGTTTCCGCGCGATATCTGGAGAAGTCTTGAGCTTTTGCAGTGGAATTTTATATCACAGCTTCCTATGGCTGAAAGACCCTTATTGATTTCGAAGTCAAAAGGTCAAATGTCAAGGTCGTTAATTCATATTTTCTTTCTGTGCGTAAACCTTTCATTTTCGGGCGAAATCTCACGAAGCTTACGAGTTTTCGAAGTTAATTTTTACACAATAACTCCTTTTGGCCCCGACTGCCCTTTATTTGCTTCAGTACAAACATTTAATAATTCTGCAAATCTGGAGAATGGGAGGGGGGTCGAGCCCCCAATCTAAGCATCCTCCTCTTTTTTCCTTAATTAAGCGAGGGACATACCCAGTAAATTCTCTGAATTAGCTTGTTTTTTTACGTCGCACAAAAAACATCAATAGAGCACAGGTACTCGTGGACAGGAACTTGTGAATATCGAGGGGGGGTCCTGTTCACTAGTACCTGTGCAATAGTAAATATATTTTAAGGAAGCTCTGAAGAAGTACATACATGTACACTGTATATTGTAATACATATATCACATTAGACCTGCATGTCGACTAAAATACTGATCACTTATTCAGGAAAAAAAAATTACCATAAAAGTAGAAGTTAATTTAGAGCTGTCCCTCCTTGTTGTTCCATTGACTAGTAACATAGAGGGCGCTGCTTGATGAGGGACTCCCAGCTGATTCTGTGGTGTAGAGGTTAGGTATGAACAACGGGAACTGGTGTCTGAAATGTTGTGCATTGGCTTTAAAAAGAATCTTGTGTTTAGATCTATAAAATCCTTAACATGCAGTCATGTCTTAAAATATTATCCAAAGACCCAAAATTTAACAAATTCTCTACGTAATTATATGTCATTTGATATTTCAACATACTAGTTTCCATGCAAGTGCCTCTTTTAAAGTCCCCAATGCATAATGACATTATATTACGCTTATGTTCTTTTAGCAATTTAATTTATGATAAAGACAATTTCAAGAAATCTTTTACATGAAGAGAATGAAATACCCCACACATATACATACCAGAAGAAGAGAGGAAAAGATGTACAACAAAACAACACATGATGAGAACACAGACGAGGACCACGGACTGCACTCTAGTTCGGTAACATCGGAAAGAGGACTTCATTACTGAAACTGAAATCAAGTTCAAGTGCAAATGATGGAGTTGTTCATAACATGCTCACCCATTACAACATATAACATAATCCAAATCATTTAAATAACAATATATCCTCTGGGTTTATAGAGGGTGAAACAAGGTTAATCTTCTTAAATCTGTGCATGTTAATAATGATCGGTGTTTTTAAATTAAACATTCATGTTCTCTTTGATTAGTTAAAGATTACACAGGCCTGTTGCCCCCCCCCCCCCCTCCCCATTCAATCCTACCTCCAGAAATGCCTATCGTTTTTTTTTGTTTTGGTAAGAATTTGAAATTTTTCAATTATGTTGCCCATAAAAAGACGAGCAGTAATGCTCTCATCGTTTCAAACCACGGTTTGGAGTCCGCATAAGGGAAACTCTCTCCAGAATTGGAGCGGATCGTACATTTTGGCTATGGCTTGTGACGATGCAATTAATGCTCCCAGATTTCCAAAACTTAAACTTCCCTCAACTAGATATGCATTAAGATACCAAACATCGGCTGCTCTAAATTATCCAAAAAAAAAAAAAAATCCCCACTGCCCCTTGTATCCCTTAAAATTTGGTTCTCAATTCAACATTGAAAATCTTTCTATGTACATGTACAAGTAATTCAGATGGTTATTGCTGTTTTCCCTGCTTAAATTTGTTCCTCAAACTTTATGAAATTGTTCTCAGAGTTTTTTTTTGTAAGCGATAGTATAATTAATTTAATAGATAAATATTAAAGATACCTGCTTACTGAAGACAACAAATATTTATTGTATATAATTTACACTTTTCGATCATTCCATTTCGATCGTTGAAAAAAAACCCAGACCCTAACTATAGTCTTACCTTAGTGTTATGAAATGAAATGATTGCTTATATGCATGTACAGTACACATGATTTTAAATTCAAAACAAAACAAATTGTTTGGAACAAAAACCTGTATCAGTTGGCATTTAAAATTATTTATCCAAATTCAATACTAAGTAATGAGCCAGTACGAACACAAGTGTCAATCTGGTGACCTTTTTTTAAGGTACGCCTTGAACTCCAAAATCAAGAAGAGACCTTGAATAACCAAATGATTATCAACACAAATAAAGCTTCAATAATACAATATAACCTTTTCATCTTAAACTGAAGTTTTTCTGTCAATCGCCAAGTGCTACCAGGTTCCTAAAATGACATATCTAAGCTGTAGGTTCGGGAGACATCTTTGTTTGAAAACAAAGCATAGGGCGGTAACAAATGTCGTCTACAGGACGTTTTGTGTCACAGTCTGACCTATTGAACCTGTAACTGTTATGTTCATCGTTAAAAGTCCTATGGAGTATAGTGTAACGATTCCCTTAAAATAGCTGTGGATAGACATTTAGAAAGATTGATTGATTGTATGTTGTTTTGCGTCCCATTCAAGAATTTTTCATTCAGTATGAGACGTCGCCATACACTGGTGAAGGGCATCAAATTTCGATCTTAATGCCAAAATGCAAATGAGTTCATGTAAATGTTGTTTGAAAATCGAAATTCAAAAGCCTTATTATACATATAGAGGACACTCCTAAGTTCATTTTCAATATGAATTATCTATTGCAATGAATGAAAGAGTTCAGGAAACCGGGTTTTGCGGAAAAACGACGCTTTTTGATACCCCCCCCCCCCAATGCCCTTATAAATATCGGAATTACAAAAACTTGTTGCATTGTATAGAACAACACTTAATATATTTCAAAAGATTAGTTGGCTACTGAAAAAGAGGAATTCAGGGGTTCTGGCCTTTGCAAAAAAAATGTTTCTACTTCTATATTCGCCACAGATCAGAGAGCTTATGCAGTAGTAAGGTGTCCATCCATCTGCCTCTAAACATTTTTTTTCTTCAAAAAAGCAGTTTTTGTCTGATTTCACTATAACCTGGCACACAAGTAGACTACACAAAAATACATAATTCTGTTTAACAGTTTTTTAATTTTGATGAAATTTATTGTCATGTTTACTAAAAAATAGAAATTTCTGTGAAATACATTCAAAAATGCTACTCAAAAAATTAGAGTTTCAGTCTGATTTCAATGTAACTTTGGTAACTTATCACAAATAGACTACACTTTAAAATTTTAAATAACAACTCCATATAACATTCTAGTATGGAAAACCCCTAATTATTTTATTTTTAGGTCAAAAGGTCAAAGGAAAAAGTAATAAATTCATAAAATCTGTCTATTTGAACATGTTTCCAAGCAATATTGAGAAGCCTTTGAGCTTTTTTGCAATGAAATTTTATACCACAACTCCATATGGCCCAAGTTTGATGATTGTCAGTCCAAATTGATTTTGAGGACAAAACCATAAAATAAAAAGGAAAAAAGGTGTGTTAAAACTATAAAGAAACTATGAAAATACCAGGTGCACAACCATATGTTATTCAATGTATAAATTTTCAGACAAATTTATTTTTTACATGTAATTATAACCTTACCGATAGCAACAAGAAAAATTCCACCATCTACACCTGAATTTACAAAAACATATGAACATCATGCATATTATTATGAAAGTTTCACCAAAATTCTGTAAATGTATATAGCATAATCTCAGACTTCCATGCTTCAAATATTTGGCTAACCATAAACAAAGATGGAGAAAGATACATTGTAAATTCAAAAGTCATTCACAGATGTCAGCTATTGCCTGTTTACTTTAATGAGGCTCTTTTTTCCTGTATTTTAACAGCTGCTTTCTTCTTCATCATCTGCAGCCTTTTCTCTGCATTGACAACAGATGTGCTTCCTCCTGAGGCCTGCTTACTAGATCCGGGACCTTTTGACTTGGGAACCTCAAAAGGTGAACTTGGAGATTTCAATTTTGATGATTCTCCTGCGGCAGCCTTTGCCTTAAAGGCCTCTATTTTAGCAGGATCCACCATAGATTTAGATTTTCCTGACTCTGATGTCTTCGACTTTGTCATCTCTGATGATAATTTTGATTTAGACTCCTCACCTTTAGAACTAAGCTTGGACGATGAGCTTGATTTTGACATTCCACCTGACTTTTCTGATATCTGTTCTGCCCTCTGCTTTCCAGTGTCTGGTTTTGAAGAAACTGAATTAGATCTCTGTATATCTGACCTGCTTGATCGTGATTGGTCAGATTTTCCAGAAGTGGGCTTTGATTGGTCAGATTTTGGAGATTTTCCAGGTTCTGATTTGGTTAGTTTTGTTTGTTCTGTCTTTCCAGATAAATTTGCTGCTAAACTTGCAAGTCCACTCATAGGTTTAGCAGAGAGACCACTCAATCCAGTTGCAGGTTTGGCTGCTAAACTAGCTAAGCCACTCATAGGTTTAGCTCCTGAGTTGTTCGAATTATTACTTGAAGTGGAAACCTAGAAAAAGTCATTGTTGAGAATAAACTAATCATTTTACAAAGTAAAATGTGAAAGATCTGATACCAGATTTTCCTGACCACTATGTGATCTTCAGTTATATGACAGTCAAATGAATAAGCCTGGTAAAACATAAGTTTATCTCAAGCAAAAGAAATTTCATTCAACAAAAGAAATTTCCTTCAAACATAACTTAACAAATTCCATTATAATACTGTATTACATTACAGCCATATTTACCTTCCTAAAGTTGAAGAGTCCTGCTGGATCACTTTTACCAGACTTGACAGAACCCGAGGAGGAGCGGACCTTTTCCTTAGATTCCTCAGGTTTATTCTTACTTGGTTTATTTACCTATCAAAATAAATACCATGTAATTTAAAGTAGAAATATACACATCTCAATGTGCTCTTTCCAACATATAAAATACATGTCAATTTTCATGATATGCAGTGTGTTTTTCAATTCAGTGTAATGTGATTATTATTATCTGGACATTAATTTAATACAAAACAAATGATTGGTATGACCTCGAAGTCATACTAGTACGTTTTTTATACATACCATTTTCTTGAGACTCTTGGTACATTTGTAACAATACCAGACAAACCGGGGATCATGGACATCTTGTTCTGTCACTGGAGGCTTGTGGCATTCCTAGAAATTTGTCAAAGTTTAGTACAAATAACACCAATGTCTCAGGCATTTTTTTCCTTTTTGACTATGTTTTGTGTTTTCCCCAAAAATAATTAGATCAAGAAAAGGATGGCACTGCTTCATAATCATCAATTAAGTCATAAACCAGAAGCTAGTCTTCAAAAATGTTTAGGATAAACATGTGCTTTAAAGTTACATGTAAGCATTTAGGCAGTTTTAGTGACGAGCAAATATAAGACCTGATGATAAAGATGATGACACTCCTGACATTCTACCAGCTGATTTCCAGTCTTCACATCAAAAGATCTAAAGAACAAAGTATTTGTGTTCAAAAGTAGTTAAAATTGGCAAGAAATAATTAAAATATCGGTTATCAATGATTAATATTTTCTTACTTGCAAACAACACATGCTATATCAAGTCCAAAGGCAAAATCATTGAAATCCTCATCACTATCCCCTGACCCTTTGTTTTCTTCTTTCACTTTCACTTTGTCCTCCCTTTCTAGTTTCACTTTCTTTTCCTCATCTTTTCTGGACCTCTCTTTCTCTTCCTTGTCTTTACTCTGTGGTTTCTCCACAACCTCTTGTTTGATGTCTTTGACTTTCATCTCTTCTTCACTTGAGGGACTAATGGGGCGTTTTGGGGATTCTTTCCTCGATTTTTTGGATGGAATTTCATCAGGAACCTCCAGGTTTTCTTGCTTCACCTGTGTAAGGAAAGAGTTCAATGGTCATTAAAGAATTGTGTGTAAACATGCATTTCTGTATTTTCATTGAGTATCATGAGTATTCCAACATTTTCAATATTATGACAATCAACCGTACATCACTTAGAATACCTTTGAACTGCTTATAATATGAAGATTAAAGGCGTAATGAGAAAGGAGAAAAATGCAGGGGACCAGACCGAGATTTGAACCAGCTTTCTGGCCACCAGTGATTGAATCTGTCTGACTGTTATAAAGATCTAGTTTTTTATCACTTATAAACACCAATGTGTTTGAGAAACTAAAGAATATCTCTCACATATTCATTTCTTTTCATTTACATGTACAGTGTACTTGCTGTAATAGATTTTAATTTTCATGTTAGCCCTATTTTAGACCTTTCCCCCAAAACAGAGACAAAAATTTTACAAATCTAGTGTAGGGACATTCCTTATTATTATGATTATCATCAATAACTTGTTTCCCTTTTGTTGCACTTTTTGTACTTATGTCATTCATGAAAATGTCCCAGACAAAAATGGACAGGTTATAACCTTGTCAATGCTCCGTTTTTCAGCTTCACGTTTCTTAGACTTGCTGTCATCTTTTTCTTTTTGTGATGATTTAGATGATCTGGAATCAGAACTTGATCCTCCCTGAAAATAAATAATTACAAATTTTAAGTAAGCAATCTACCAGTCATTTTCCAAAAGCAACTTTTGACTCTTTAAAATTACTTGTGACATGACCCAGCGACTTTTCCTTTGAAGTCAAGCATTCTGTAACTGCGATACAGAACACTTTTTGTGGGCGTTTCTTATGATGGTAGAAATATGTATCTGCAAAATATCAATAATAATTTTTCATGACGGAAAGCTGTATCTGTATATACAGACACAAAATCGTTCAACTAGCATGATACATGTAGCACTGTTAGTATTTACTCAAAATTTGAGGTGAATTAAGAATAAAATTTTACAACGTAAATTTATTCGTGTCGGATTCAAAAATTTAAGAAAAGAGGGAGTGGGGCAGTTCACAAATGACTACTTTGAACCCCTCCCCCTTAAAAAAAATCATAGGAAAATCATATTGTTTAGATTTATATCCAACCAAAACACTATGTGCGTGATATCGTTATTTGTTGATAAATTAAATACAAGTTTACCAAATATCATTTACGAAAGCCAAAGAGAAAAAAAATATGGGAGGGGGGCACCAGTGATTGCTCAACATGAAGTTAAATATGGGTGGCACCCCTTCCTTTCATCTGTTTATTTCAGTTTTGTATATGACGACTTAGAGGATATATTTCTATAGAAAACATTTTTAACGTTCTACATTTTTGTATCAAAAATAGATTCTGATATATCAAAATGTTTTGCATTTATTAAATCGAGGCTTAAATTAAAAAAAATGTCAACAATAGCCGATTAGAGCAAAAAGCACTAAGTAATAAAATCTAAATTTAATTTTTTTGGAAAACAAATTTTATTATACATCCCCTAAATATTTTTTTTTAAATAATAAATACCTGCACGTCCACCTCACCCGGCACTTCAGTTGCGAATGCTTAAAATTTAAAACAGCTTTCTGCAAAATCATATATATGGTTGAGTGATTGGTACCCAAATACGCATGTAAATTAGTGAGGTGATATCACAAGTCATTTATCCTATCAATTCAGAAAGTTATCGCTCTTAAACTAACATTTTATAAAAATACTTGTGACATACCCCGGCGAGTTTTCTTTTGAAGTCAAGCGTACTGTAACTGCGATACAAAACTTTTTGTGGGCATTTCTTATGCAAATAACTGTACCGTATTGCAAAATATCAACGATACAGTACGTTTTATTTTTAGCGATGACGGAAAGCTGAATCTGTATACAGACATACGAATCGTTCAATTCCCATGAAAGCACTGTTAGTATTTACTCAAAATTTGAGGTGAATAAAGAATAAAATTTTACAACGTAACGTTATGAGTGTCGGATTCAAAAATTTTAGACAGTTCACAAATAATTACTTTGACCCCCCCCCCCAAAAAGTGGAAACTCGTATATTTCGGGGGGGGGGGGGGGGGGGGGTTAGATTTATAACCAACCAAGACACTTTGTGGTGCTATTCTTTCTTGTTGATAAATCAAAAAGCGTATGTATACAAGTTTAGCAAAATTCATTTACGAAATAGAAAAAAAAACTCACAGGAGGGTTGAGTTGGGGGGGGGGGGGGCAGCCTGGGGTCCCCTTTGGTTACTCTACATTTTATTAAAAACCAAGTAAAATACCCCCCCCCCCCCCCCCCCCCCCCCCCGCTTTCCTTTCATCTGTTTTTTATATTACGACTACCTTTCTCTCCAGACGGAAATTCAAAAACATTTGATTCTTATATATTAAAATGTTTTGCATTAAATCGTGCTTAAATTTTTTAAAAATGTCGGCAACACATAGAGAAAAAAAAACCTTTGATCAAATCTAAATTTATTTTTTTGGAAAACAAATTATATAATGCATCCCCTAAATAATTATTTTAAAATGATAAATAAACCTCTCTCGGCATTTCAGTTGCGAATGCTTAAAATGGGCTACGAAATCAACTTTCTGCAAAATCATCTGATTGGTTGAGAGATATGTACCCAAATACGCATGTAAATTAGTGAGGTCATTAGAAAGGTCATGTCACAAGCCATTTAGAATGAGAGTACCTGTATCGGAGATCCCCGGATGAGCTATCGCTCTCGCCACAAGCCCCGCCCTGTTGTTTGTGGCTAAATATAACAAATTGGTTTAACAAAATACTGCATTAACAATTTAACAGTTAATAATGGTATCAATATGGATCAAAATAATTTTTCTGAGCATTGATTTTATCATAATTAACTAGCTATACAATACTACCTTTTGTCCCTTCTTTGTATGAAGCACATCATCCAGTAATTGTTTGAGTTGATCAGCTGAGTCCTTGCTTTTAGAATGAAGCAATCTCAAAGCTTTGACAAAGATTGGGTCCAAGTCTGTCATCGTCATTATTCTTCCTTAGGGATATATTTCTATAGAAAATTAATTTTTAATACATGTTAGTTGCATGGATTTAGTATCAACTTTATAATTTCCACATTCTGTCCACAGGTGCTTGAGGACAGGACACCCACCTCTGATATATAGACCCCCTGGCCTTTTAGACTTTTTTCACAAGAATTATATATGGGTGACACATTTGTGATATAATCTATCCTATCAATTCAGAAAGTTTGCTTAAACTAACATCTTATAAAAATTTCTACCCCACTCTGATTGACTCTAGATTTTATAAAACGTCTGTTTTATGTAATTTTTCGATTTGTTGGTATAGATCTTATCACAAATATGTCAATGAAAGATAATTTATTTTATAAGGGGGCGCTTGTGATTTCTGTCAAGTTTCAAATCCTCCACATTTTAGTTTACACCAAGCCTTGAACCTATGCAGAGGAAATTCAAATTGAAAATGTCACAGATGCAAGTAGTTAGTACATATTTGAAAAACTTATTGGCAGTTAATGCTCTTTTTAAGATAAAAACTTAGTTTAATGTCACCATTTGAAACCCAAAACAGTGTCCTAGTACCAGTGATACTACCTAAGATTTTTACCAGCTATCTTGGTCTTTCCGTAGTATTCCGGAACAATAACAAAAGTGAAAAACCAAATCGTAAATCTAGCCCGATGCGTAAATATCTTTTTTAATTTTGACTCTGTTTTTCAATTTGAGATTTTTAGTATGTTTGTTTATACTAGATCGCTGTTTCTAACTCTTTTAAATGTTATAAGTGTGCTGTTTCATGTCATTTTCTTTTCTTAAATATAATAACATCGGGATCAAGATTTGTTAAAAAATGTAAACAGAAAATGGGAGGGAAAAATGCAAGATGATCAGAAAATATACATACCCTTAGATAATATTAGCTTCCATGGTATTTTATGTAACGGATATTTTTTATTAAAGGATATTTGATTTTAAAAAAAAGCTAAGACTATTTTGAGGAAGTTATTAAATGACAGAAATTGTAATCAACTTAATTTTTCTCAAAGCATGGCATTTATTTCAGAACTTTACGACTGGTCAAGACCAGAGGAGAAATATCAGTGTTTACAGAGGACGGTCCAATTAAGACCAGGTCTGAAGAGACAGAACAGTAAAACAGGGACCCTTGTATCATGTAACGAACAGCAGATTGCCATCTTTAGGTACCATAACAAGGTGTATGCCATCAAGGAGAAATGTCCACATTTAGGTATTAAATTGCCATGATTAACAAAAATTGCTTCTAGATAGCAGCAGTTCTAACTGTCAATTATTTCTTACAGAACTAATATGTTGACGGTGCAACCATTAGGGCCAGCACAGATACTTGTATTATTTTAATTTAGACAGGGTTCATCAAACTGCACGACATTTGGTGCATATAGACTCTGATGTCGTATGTAAGTTACCTTACCAAAAAGAAGCCTGAACAGTGCTGCAAGTAAATGAGGAACGTTTCATTTACTATTTATCTTCAATATTTATCCATTAAATCAGAGCGTGTTAACTTTTAGTTGAACTATTCTCGCGAGAACGTAGCTTTAACAAGTGATGAATTGTGGGTCCAGAGTTACTGAGGAAAAAAATTCTGATGAATGAATGTGCAGTAGTCTGAATTTTCCTTTGTCCAAGCGTTGCTTTAAGAGCTTGCAGCGACAAACGTCGATTTGCGATGCTCGCTGCGCTCGCTATTAAATACTTGTGCTATACTAATGCTGTTCAACATTAGCCCTTAACATGCTTAAGAAATATTCATTTCATTAGATATTCAGGTTTGTTCATTAATTAGATAAATAAGTTGCAAGCAGTAAGATACTCCAGCTCAAATTATAGTATGATAAGCATATAAAGTGGCAGAATAGTTGTCTGTTAAGACTTGTGTTGATTACTACATGGTAATACTTGAATTCTGCTTTATTATAGGTGGTCCTCTCCATTTAGGGGACATAGAGGAACTCCCTGGGAATTCCCTGTGTGTGAGGTGTCCTTGGCACAGCTGGAGGTTTGACCTTGACACAGGACAGTTAAAGCAACCTAAGCGGCCAGGTGTTTGTTCCGTTGTCTACCCTGTGATTGTTAAAGAAGATGGGGGACTCTTGGTTGGATTTGATCAATTTGATCCAAAATATTTCTCAATGGATTCATCATTTTGAAATTAAAGGGGGTGGAGGTTAGAGACTCTAGATTTATTCATTGTTGTACATCAAGATGTATTGGTATTGTTGATGTTTGAATAGGATAATTGATGATATAAATTACTTCTGACCCAGTTTACACTGATAAGACAGTATTTTTTTTATGTTCAAAACTTGTGGAAACACTTTTTTAAAAGTGCATAAAATTTATTTATAGTTTTCAAAATACAAGAGGTGTATTATGTTTATAAAGATTTCTATTCAAAATTTTTATGTGTTAAGTCACTTTTTGTCATTTTTATGCCCCCTTTCGAAGAAGGGAGGGCATATTGCTTTGCTGCTATCTGTCGGTCCACTTAGTTTCCATTCATTTTCTTCACAATCGTTGCACATACTGAAATAAAATTTAGTATACAGATTTATCAGGTGAATATCTAGGTCAAGTTCTGTTTCGGGTACGATCGCGCCATTTTTGACAGAGTTATGCCCCTTGGACTTGGAAAAAAATCCAATTGTTTGCAGTTTCCATTCATTTTCTTTGCAGAGGTTGCACATACTGAAATGAAATTCAGTATACAGATTTATCAGATAAATATCTAGGTTAAATTCTGTTTTGGGTACGTTCGCGCCATTTTTGACAGTTATGCCCTTTTTGACTTAGAAAAATTTCAGTTTGGGGGAGGGGGGCATAAGTGTTTACAAACATCTCTTGTTTTTGTTTGTTTTTTGTTCATACCGGTAAGCACTGTTAAAATGGCTTTTTTAATACATGTACTTGTTTTTCTGTTAATGGTGTTTTTAAATGATTTTTGTATTATACTGGACAGTTTTACAGCCAGTGTGTTTTATTTTATGTAAAAAAAAACTTTTTTTATTATTTGCACTTCATTTTAATTTCATCAAATATTTTGATAAACAAATCACAAATTAAACTTTCCACCATCATTTTATATGGCTTTGAAAAATTTGTTACTGTGTGTTTTAAAGTTAATTATAAATATAATAACTCCATATAAATACACTGTGCAGTGTTTTTTTTTTTTAACAAATATTATTTAAGGTCATATTATTTTATTTTGATTTTTACAGCAAAACAAAATCATTTGATATTAAATACCAGTATTGATTTTAATCTTTTGACATTTGCCATGATGGTCTTCAGACTGCAGTCTGATAGTATTTGTAAAATTCAAATGAAGAAATGTGTGTATTTTTAATGTGATTTTATGTTAGATGGTTTCTTTTTATGTGTTTATATGTCAGGTGGTTGGATATTTAATAGTCAGCATTATTTACAGTGCTATATAAGGAATAGTTTATTTGTATATTATTTTATATTTCATAGTCAAAGTGATAGTTTTATTTCAAACATTGTTTTTACGTAAAGCACCTCAATAATAAGTATTGATTCAGTCATAAATATACATGTACTGGATTGCCAAACCCAACTGTATTTTTAGAACCTGACAGGGATATGGAGATGGCCTACTAATCACTATATTTTCTTTCAGTTTACCTGTTATAATTCATACTGTGAAAGTCTTACATTTGATTTTGTGTTTTCTGTTTAGCCCATTTGGAAAGCAACTTTTTGTTAAAGTCTTGTACATATACACAATAAATAAGAATGTTAGGAAATAAGCTAAATCAAATCTAAACTTACTTGTTCAGAAATAAATTTCGGTCAGATATGGTACAATTTACATAATACATTTACACTGCTTGTTATCACTACAAAGCTTGCTTCTCAAAATTCAAATTTTTCTTTTTTTCCCATGATCAATTTACAAGCACAAACATCGATTTCCTGTATACATAGGTCTTTGCAAGACCTGACTTGACAGATTTTGTTTTTATGTAGTAGTTTTTCATATTTATCAGTATTTTACTTATGGCATTATTGTTTAAGAGTTAAAAACAAAACATTCTTTAGAAATCAATAGTTGTTTATTGAAAGTTGTTTCAATTTTGAATATAGCATGAATCTGTTATCAAAGTAAGTTAAATGTTGTTCTAATAGTGCTTTATTTGAAGAAAATATTGAACCTTACCAGTTCAATTCAATCTTGGATTTGACCTCCGGGACAATTTAATGAAAAAAAAGTTTTGCAGTCTAAAAAAAGTCATAATTTGTTTCAAGCTTTGGAATATATGAAACCATAACTGTTGAAGCAGTAATAAATTGTGTTCTGCAGTTCTATGTTACATTTGTGTTTGAAACTATAATTAATTTGTACAAGGATAAAGAAAATGGGATTTAATGACAAACAAAATGCATAAAGTGCCCCACATCATAATGCAGGTCAATACTTGTATGCAGAGCAAAACATTTTGATCTGACTCTGCAGACATCTCATCTACAGATAAGTCTGAGGATGGCATGGCAAGATAAGGCTATTTGTAATCTAATAATGGAGGGGTGTTTTGACATCAACAACCAGAAGTCTCTGTCGAGACTGAAGCTCTACTGGTTTGTACTTATAACAAAGGAAGAGAAAAGTAGCATTTGGGACTTAAAACTTTACGACAGCAATAAATAGAATAATGATGCTTGATTGAGCTCTTTTTGTGGCAAGATACTGCAATAAGACAACAGCAGTAGGAGTAGCTATTAATAAACTTTTAAAGTATTTTCAATTTTAGTAACCATGGCAACATCATTCCTTGATATCAAAAATCATTACACAGAATTGTGTAACTTAGTGTAGTCTACTCGTGTGCCATGCTGTATTGAAATCAGACCAAAACTGTAGGAGGTGTAGCATTTTGAATGCATTTCAGAAAAATTTCTATTTTTAGTAACCACGGCAAAAAAATCAAAAATCGATAAACAGAATTATGTATCTAAGTGTAGTCTACTTGTGTGCTTAGTTATATTAAAATCAGACCAAAACTGTAGGAGGAGTAGCATTTTGAAAGTATTTCACAGAAATTTCTATTTTTAGTAACCACGGCAACACCATTCATCGAAATCAAAAATCGATATATAGAATTATGTATCTTGGTGTAGTCTACTTGTGTGCCAAGTTATATTAACATCAGACCAAATCTGTAGGAGGAGTAGCATTTTGAAAGTATTTCACAGAAATTTCTATTTTCAGTAACCATGGCAACACCGTTTATCGAAATCAAAAATCGATACACAGAGTTATGTATCTTAGTGTAGTCTACTTGTGTGCCAAGTTATATTGAAATCGGACCAAAACTGTAGGAGGAGTAGCATTTTGAAAGTATTTCAGAGAAATTTCTATTTTTAGTAACCACGGCAACACCGTTCATCGAAATCAAAAATTGATATACAGAATTATGTATCTTAGTGTAGTCTACTTGTGTGCCAAGTTACATTGAAATCAGACCAAAACTGTAGGAGGAGTAGCATTTTGAAAGTATTTCAGAGAAATTTCTATTTTTAGTAACCATTGCAACACTGTTCATCGAAATCAAAAATCGATACACAGAATTATGTATCTTAGTGTAGTCTACTTGTGTGCCAAGTTACATTGAAATCAGACCAAAACTGTAGGAGGAGTAGCATTTTGAAAGTATTTCAGAGAAATTTCTATTTTTAGTAACCACGGCAACACCGTTCATCGAAATCAAAAATCGATATACAGAATTATGTATCTTAGTGTAGTCTACTTGTGTGCCAAGTTATATTGAAATCAGACCAAAACTGTAGGAGAAGTAGCATTTTGAAAAATTGTTTACAGACAGACAGACAGACGGACGGTCGCTGGACGCATTACTATCGCATAAGCTCTTCTGGTCTCTGACCAGTAGAGCTAAAAATGATATTCTTCTAATCTTTTTATGCCCTCAGATCAAAAGAGTCTATGCCCCACACCAGAATTGTGTTTCCATTGGGGGCATAGTGTTTTATAAACACATCTTGTTTTCATATAAAATCAAATAGAATATCTGTTGAGGTTTTAAGAAAAGCACAAGGGTTATTCCTGGTGAATGAAAGTTCCTGACACAGGAAATGACTTTTTTATTGCTGTCTACTACCATTGAGATCCATATTTCACCTCGGTTATTACGAAGGACCTTGTACTGGTACATCTATCTTACAAAACTGAGAATACAACATCTACATGTAAGATATAAATACTGCTGGATATAGACAAAAGAATGTACTAATAGAGTTTTATTTTAATAGTATATATCCATTACACAATCAACAATAACATAAACAGTCAGTTTTCCTATGTTTATATCTGCCATTATAACGGCTGCCACTATAGTGTTACGAAAATGAGATTACTTGCTACCATCCTTGCCACCTTTTTGATTTTTTTTCTAAGCTGAGGTTCAAGGACCACTGAATTTCAGTGGATGAATATGTAATAAATGTAAGAATTTTACAGCATATGATTGCTAATTATACACCTGGTATTACAGATGGGCATCACCAAAAATTGTGTATCAATAACAATTTTCCCCCAAAATATCATGATAATATATCATGATATTTTTACAAGTTATTTGGTAAATGATTTTAAATGAATATTTTTTCTTTAAAATGTGCTGGAAAAACAAATTTCACTTCCTTTATATTTTCATTTTCCTGTAATTGCAATTCCAAAGATTGAACAAATAAATGTATTATTTCTGGACTTCATAATTCTGTAACTAAATACAGGTTTTCCAGTCTAAGTATCACAATACATATCATACAATCAAAAATCGCAATATACATGTAACTATAAAATAGGTCATCCCTATTATACATGTACTGTATATTGAAAGTATTTTAATAAAATTTGAAAACCCTGTCTAGAAAACAATGTTATAAATACTTTGCATGTTACTTTTCAAAAAAAGGGTTTACCTAGAAGAACACAGCTACCTGAGTTTAATCCTTTAGTAAGCTGACTTAGCTAAGGCATAACAGGCACAATGAAGCTGAAAACGAAAAAATCTACTCTGACTCAGCATTTTTCTTGCTCTACTAACATTCCCACAAGTTTCAATATTGACTTAATGAAGAACCCTTGCCTTGAGAAATCACACATCTATCACAAAAAATAAGGCAAATCGATTTAATGTCACAGACCAATACACTTAGCAAAACATGCTGACTGAGCAGAATATTGAATAGAGAAACATTTCAATAAAAGAAGCTAGGCAACTAAAAGGAACAAAAAAAGGTAATAGTACTATTTTACATCATGTGAAGAAAAATGCTTGATAATGTACATTTTTGAAACTGCTTTCATGTAAATTTACTTACGTAAAATCTGGAAAAAGCAACACATACTAACCCTACTAGCATTTATATAAAGTACCCGTTTTAAAGTAATAACCATATTGAAAAAAGAATCTATTAAGACTAATCACGTAAGAAAAGTGTCAAATTCCTCTGAAAGTCAAGAATACAATCTTTGGATGTTTGATATACAGCGTATGGGGTCATGATTTGCACAGTTTTGATATAATGTGCTCCTTATACCCGTGTTAATTCTAAAATAAATGCTACCTTAAATATAATAAGCAATGATTACAGAAAGACAATCGTCAATGCACATTTTAAGTTACAAAATAATATAAATTTAATTAATATGTTATATCACAAGAGATAAAGGAAGCTCTATATAACATTAAATTTCCCCACTACCAATTACTTGTATATATGCCAATATGGAATAAGGAACATCTATAAAGAAAGTGATAAAAAAATCTTGTACATTGTACAATTACTGGTAGATAACTATGAATATATAATCAGCATGACTCTTCACTGGAACTTTCATCTGAACTTTCGGAGCTTGTATCCGCCACTCTGATGGCGAAGATTCTGGCATCATACGACGGTTTTAATCGGTGTCTGTACGCGATTCTGGGCATCTCGGCAGATGCTGGACGACTGTCTTTAGTTTCATTGAAAAACTTTTCCCTTATCAGGTTAGCTGGAGCAGATGGTCTCTGGGGCAATTTTTTCTGAGCTATAAATCCATAGGGTCGAGGATTCAGGGGGTTTAAGGGAGGCTTTCCATTTCTTTGGCTTAGAGGGAGCGGGGGTTTGGGATGTGTTCTAAGAACATTTTCCCTGTTCATTTTATTTTCTGAATTGTCCTCCACTTGTTGACTAGACTTTGAACCATTCCTTATTCCATTTGACACAGAGTGATTGGCATGGGATATTTTCCCATCCTTGTATTTTAGCACCATATTGTCAGCAGTTTTACGATCAAATTTTGAATCACTGGCTGATTTTCGAATTTCAGTCACTTTCTGTTCTTTTTTATAGCTTGCCTCCTTTTCATTTACAGATTTTGCAGAGTTTGATCTCTGAAGGGGAGGGCGACTAGCACCAGCTACATTAGATTTCAAATTTCTATCAGACACGGTCCTTCGTATAGACTTTTCTTTAGCTGGCTTCCCCTTAACAGAGTCGGGTGTGTTGGATCTCGTTCGTACACTGATTTTGTCAAAGCGTGTCGCTACCTGATTGATTTCATTTGTTACTTTTGTAGCTGTTGCGTGATTCCGTGTTTTCCCTACAGCTTTCTCTGATCTGGTTGTTAGCGGTGAACTTGTGCTGTAGTTTCTTTTTCCATTCACCCCAGGCTTGCCATTCCTTTTCAGGTCAAGGTCATTTTGACTGCCACCTTTGGGGGCACTCCTAGTCACACCCAGTCCTTTCCTGTAGTTGTTATTCTTGCGGATATTTTTTGGTCTTTCGTCTTCATCGGAGGATTCAGATTCTGTCTCGGAAGCTTCTGATGAGCTTTCAGATTCTGAGCTGAATAAATCAAGTTTAGCTGGCTGCCTCCAAAGCCTTATTGGTGGATCTTTAGGGGGTGGAGGGGGTGGTCTTAGCTGCATTTCTTTCATTTTCTTTGCGTAGTCTGGCGAGCACTGAAAAAACAGAAAAACTGGTTCACATGCATTCAATGAAATAATTCTAAATCATCATAAAAAAAACAGTAGATGTAATTTTTCGAATTCCATATGTTTCCATATTGGTATGTATATTACAAAGATGTGAATAAATAGTTAACCTTATTACAGTAAACTTCTTTTACAACGTAGTCAATTATAAAGTATCTTGGATGTAAAGTAGCGATTCCAAAGTCATGGCAAAGAGTCCATATATTATTTTCATTGAAAGGAAAACCGCTTACAACATATTTTGTATATAACCTAGTATTATAGCTTAAAGAGGCTGGGTGGTCATGGCCATTTTTAGACTATTTCTATCTCCTTTAGAAGAAGAGTTCCATATAAAGATATACAAAAATGATCAAATTTTAAAAGTAAAATGTATGAAATTTTTCTTTGTCAAATGATAGTTGACAGCTAAAGATATCATATGTAAAAAATTAAGTTATATCTGGTGGGTATTTTTTTTGTTAATTTGTTGACCCCCCATCCTCCTTAAAAAGTATTAGGAATTTGGTCCTGTTGAGATACATTACATAAGATGTTTAATGTATCTTGAACTTGATGGGGCATGGAATTTTTTTTTAGATATCCAATAGTTTCAGATATCTAATATGTTAAAATACATTTAAAAACTGAGTGGGACTTCCAGCTCTCTTTGACATAACCATGGTATTTGAGATACATAAGTACACTTTACACATGTACAATCCATTGCTTTCAAAAAGCCTAAAAATGGCTGATTGAACACCTTCATTGCACATTTCTTGTACAATTTATTGATTACCATTTTCCCTGCCTATATGACAAAAGATTTTAGTAGACTTACTAAAGCAAATCTGCCCTCCTCTTTGGTTATGAGTTCCACCATTTCATCTTTCCATCCCAATAGGTCTGTGAACTTCTGAGCACTGTTAATGAGGTCACCTGAAACATTATATCACATTTTAAAATTTGTTGCAAAGGGAAATAAATCTTTTTAAAAAATTCATAAAACAGTGAAGGACCTTAAAGGTACTTTATTTGATATAGCCTTAGGAATACAATTGAATATTTTAAATCAACTACTTGGAATTTTTAACATGACTAACTGATTCCCTTGTGTTCTTAATGAGATAAATTTAAAAACTGTTTGTTTACATGGAGTTCTCTGTAATCTTCAGCTGTTTTCAAATCCTCCAGTTGGCCTTGTATATCTATGTTATATCTATGATACATGAATTTATCATGTTTGTGAATATAGTTTGCAGAGTATCATTTTTATGGTTTTGATTGTCACAATGGTACTTGCCTAAATTTGATCAAGTCAAATATTGTGGATTATACATGTAAAAAGCAGTGTAAAGCATGAAATACATGCATGTAGTTGTGTGAAAATCATGATAAAGCGTATACCCTGTGGTTTGTGGTTAACCAATGATCTGGGATAAAACACATAACTCATTGGATAAAAAAATTCATATCCAACAACAAACCATGGGAGATCCTAAATTTTTGTGTTAGCAAATGTGGTGATATCGTTCTTGAAAAGAATTTTCTGTCTAAAACCATCCTGTCTAAAAAAAACATAGGTAATCAGAGATTACAGAGCTCACCTCAACGAATGTTGTCTTTAAGTAAGGCAAAGTCACACAATTAACCAACAAAAAGTATACATTCCAAAAATGAAAAATTTAAGCAATTTTGATCTGATACTTTGAAATAGACCTACATAAAAAATTTAAACTAGTTCTTCTTCATGAAAATATAATGAAAATCCAGCATCTGAAGCAAATTTGAGAGTTTTCATCTCTTGATGCAGCATTTGTGCAAGTTTGGTTTATACAATGTTATATAAGCCTTATAGTTTTTGGAAATAGACCTGCAACCATAACTTTTACCTTGTCTATTATCTGAAAAATGTATGTAGAATTCAGCATCCGAAGCAAGTCCATTAGTGTGCATCCTTAGCTGTATCATCCATGCAAGTTTGCTCATTCTAGGGCTCATAGTGTATTGGAAATGAAACATGCATCAAAAACTAACATTTTCACTCATCCACAAAAAGTAGGTCAGATTCAGCATCCGAAGCAAGCCTGGTAGTATGCATCCTTAGATGTATCATCTATGCAAGATTGGTCATTAAAGAACTCATACTTCCTTGGAAATGAAACCTGCACCAAAAACTTTTACCTGTTCACTCAACCGGAAAATGCAGGTCAGATTCAGCATCCGAAGCAAGCCTGGTAGTGTGCATCCTTAGATGTATCATCCATGCAAGTTTGGTCAACATAGGGCTTAAAGTTACTTGCAAATGAAACCTGCACCAAAAACATTAACCTGTTAGCTCAACTGGAAAATGTAGGTCAGATTCAGCATCCGTAGCAAGCCCGGTAGTATGCATCCTTAGATGTATCATCCATGCAAGTTTGGTCAACATAGGGCTTATAGTTACTTGCAAATGAAACCTGCACCAAAAACTTTAACCTGTTCACTCAAGCGGAAAATGTAGGTCAGATTCAGCATCTGAAGCAAGCCCGGTAGTATGCATCCTTAGATGTATCATCCATGCAAGTTTGGTCAACATAGGGCTTATAGTTACTTGCAAATGAAACCTGCACCAAAAACATTAACCTGTTAGCTCAACTGGAAAATGTAGGTCAGATTCAGCATCCGTAGCAAGCCCGGTAGTATGCATCCTTAGATGTATCATCCATGCAAGTTTGGTCAACATAGGGCTTATAGTTACTTGCAAATGAAACCTGCACCAAAAACTTTAACCTGTTCACTCAACCGGAAAATGTAGGTCAGATTCAGCATCCGAAGCAAGCCCGGTAGTATGCATCCTTAGATGTATCATCCATGCAAGTTTGGTCAACATAGGGCTTATAGTTACTTGGAAATGAAACCTACACCAAAAACTGCACCAAAAATGTTAACCTGCTCCAAAAACATTAACCTGGTCATTCCTTTGCTGAAATTGCAGCATCTGAAACTCTGTCTGGTACAATGAAACACACTAGAACCATATTCCATGCATGTCTAATCAATATAGGACTCAGAAGTAATTAAAAAGAAAACTGCTCCAAAAAACTTAACCTTAACCTGGGACGCCGACGCCGACACCGACGCCGACGCCGACGGTATCACATAAGCTCCCCCCAACTTCGTTGAGGTGAGCTAAAAATTGAACCCGTTACTGTAGCCACATCTAACTTTGGTGGCAATGACTTAACTATCGCTAATTCTCAAGACAAACAATATAATGATATTTTCATTCTGCATTTTTTTCCCTGATCAAGTGATTGCTGACAATAGGATCTTTTAAACTGAACAAACCCCACCCCATCCCATTAATCCCTTTCTCCAACTCTTGTGACCATATTCTCTAGAATGGAAGGCTTTCATTTTCAAACATTCCTTCATATGAGGATGCTTTAGTTCCAGTGATCAATTAAAGGATCCTGGTTTAAGAGACTATTTTGAAGGATCCAGTGGTTCAGTTTTTAAGAGACAATAATGAAATTAATTAAAAGCGAATGACAACAGAAATGGAAATGTCTACCTGCAAATGATCAGAAAAGCTCACTTGAGCCTTTTTGCTCACATCATAAAACATTTCAATTTGTTAGTGATTTTGTTACCTGGTGAAATGAAGTCCTGAGCACGTCTCTGATATTTGAATGGTCCTACAGCATGCATATTAAATAACACTCGAGGTACTCCCCACTTTACCGAGTCAATGATCCCAGCAAAGGGCTGAACCTGAAATGGAAAACACTGTCATGGAGTCCTGAATCTTATCTAGTTATCGTTTCTCATCATCAGAATTAAGCAAAAAAATTGTATTTATAAAAAAGATCAATAAAAAATTTAATAATTTAAAAAGAAAAACCCAACATATAGTGTTCCAAAAGAATCAAACAACAGATTTTACTGTTGTATCACTAACTCCTTTGCAGGTGACAAAGGAAGAAAATTTTTTTATGTGTGGCAACTAGTCCTCAACAAACCTCTAATGATGTCCCCATGACAATGATCAGATCAGCCTGAAGCATGTCCCTCATGTAAAAATAAAATCTTTTGGGTAGGTCCTCTCCAAAAAATGTAATATCTGGTTTCACAACTCCCTGAAAATATTTACCGGTATGAACATGTGTATCTATGTACTCATGTATTCTCTGATATATGGCAATTGTGATTTCTTAAAGCTAGCAAGTTACAAAAAAAAAAACCCACATATGTATAGTTTAATTATCTTATAAAATATTATCAAAGAACATTAAAATCAGAAATACATGTGCTTTTTTAGTAACCATATAAATAAAACAATTTAATAAAACTGATAATGCATACCATACATCCTGGTTTCTTGCACTTTGGTATTTTATCAGAAAATATTGCTCCCTAAAAATATTATTAGGAGTTACTTCTTGGCATATTTTCAAAATCCATCACATACACTTCACATGTAATTTAATAATTAAATCCTTTGCACTGTACATGTATATCCATAAATTACAGTAAAACTCATTTAGTATGAACACAGATATAGCTAATTTTTATAAAATACATTGTATAGTCATGTTTTCAAGATCTCTAAGCAATATTCTTTAGAATCTTTGGTAAAATTTTACCCTTGTAATGAAACATGATAAAACAAAATGAAGAGACTTACTTTGATTTCCTCTTTGTCATGCTTCTGTCTACATATAAGGCATGTGGCCTCAGAAAATGTACCATGGGCCTCCACCATTTTCTCAGGAGGTAAACCAGCAACTGTAATACATATATATTGTTTAGAACTTAACCCATTCATTGTGGAAATTTTTTAAATTGATACAATTTCTTTGTGTTCTTAAAGATTCTTTAAATACAATAAATATAACCATAAGTTGTAATTCTTACTTCTTTCAAGGCCGTCAATGTTTTGTGTGTACATGCGGAGTAACATCCCCTTGTCATGTAAGAGTCTTACGAAATAATGTATGTAGTTAGGTCTATATTTCCCAGTGGGATACAGTTCTTTGGCAAGAGTGAAGAAAGGCTTTGGATTGTGATGGAAGAATTCTATATCAAAGATGGCTTCTGGGTAGGGAATTCTGTATTGTTGGAGGTTGTCATAGAGACCAGTACCAGGAGTCCTAGAAAAGATGGAGACAGTAAAGAAATATCTGACATGCACACAAATACTAGTATTTATACTGAAAACATAGATATAAGGAAACTCATGCTTAAGAGAAGAAAATATTCTCAGAAAACGGTGAATATAGAGAGTCAATAACAGGTAATAATCATATACCGGTATATAGTAAAAATGCCAACTGAAAAAGAAGAGAGGTTTTGTACCTGAAGTCGGGAATCCCACTGGGTGTACTGATACCAGCCCCTGCCACCACCACAATGTTCTGGAATACATCACTCTTTATGGCTAGGGCAACATCCTCCAAAGATTTCACTTTGGTCTTGTCACTGTTTCCACTCACTGTAAATATTCCTCTCCTGTAAAAGTGACAGTCATGTTCATTAGAGCTTTCTTGCTGTAATGTTAATTGGGCATTTTACATATAAGCATGTAACTATGTAAATTTGAAAAATTTAGAGTGTACAATAGTATAACAAAACAGAATTAAATACAAGTATCATTTATATTCTTTTTTACTTCAAATATACATGTATACAATTAATGTTACAAATCATCCTGGTACCGTATGGACCTGGGGGTGCAAAAAAATACTTGTACAACAAAAAACCACTTACCTGTCCTTCACCCTGTTGTTGCGGACTCCCCTCATGCCATTGGCAGACTCAGCCTGCACTTTATACACAGGACTGCTCTGTGACTGGAAGGTCCGGAGCTGTGACCTCGGACCCTTAAGTCCCGTGCCACTGCCCAATGGCAGAGGTTTCACTGTAAGAAACAAGGCCCCAGATTCATCAATACATACCAAATATGTACAGGTTTTGTAGCTTATCAATGCAAATGTTTGCTAAAATGTCATGCATGTGGGGGTTATATCTTTTGCAAACATTCTAGTGTCTAGATACATATTTGAATGTACACAAAAGAAAACCAAAATGAAGAATTTATGAGGATACCAACATGTACTTTAACAATAAAATCCAAGCGGCATGTTGACAGAATTAACAGACCTGCAATTAAATGTTATCAAAGAGAATCAATATTCCAGATCCTGTAAGAAGCATTAAACAGTTCGATGGGGAAGGACTGGTACAGTAAATCTATGAATAATCCATGGAGACCAGAAAATGTGTTCATTCAGTAACTCTCATAAAAACCCCATGACAGCATTAGATACCAAAAATCAATCAGGCTCTTCAAAACCTAAACTAAGCAGATGCATAGTCAAGTATAGCTATATATTTAAAGGCAAGTTCAGTTTTTGACCTTTAACTTGACTGTTGACAATTTTTTCTTTGAAATGAATGTGGCTAAGATATTCTTTGAATTCAATGTTGCTTCTTATTTAAACACTGTATTCATAAGTCAAACATGTTTGCAGTTAAAGGGAATGATTTTGCAATTTAAAAGTCTATCTCAATAAAGCCATTACCAGACGAATGTTTAAAGTTGTCTTTAGATTTCAATACACTGTAGTCTGAAATTGAATGTGCATGTATTGTTTACGTCTAAATGTCCAATCTTAAAACTTTAATTAGCATGTGTAGAATTTTCAACACCCCTAAACTGAATCAAAGTTGCAGCACATTAAGCATAATACATATATTGAAAGAAGTTATCATGATCTTATTTGTGTCAGTTTTTGGTAAATCTGACAGAAATTCAAAATTTCAGATTTCTTGTACCACAAAAAAACCTGTCCAATAAAATATGCCGATTCTTAAAATGATCTGACATCTATCAAAAATTGTAGCATTTGTAGGCAGGATAATTTTGACTTTTTATTTGTCATTTTGTCATCTCATTATAGTTTCATCTAGACAAGTTGAAATTGACAAGAGGCCCATGGGCCACATCGCTCACCTGAGCACTAGCTTGGAAAAAAGCAAAAATCAGTTTATTTGAAACTTGAAAAGTTTAAACACAAAAGTGGTCCTAACCAATCCTTAAAAGAGAGAGAGGGTATAATTTGAGCAAATTTGAATCTACACTATCTAAGGATGCTTGCATATTTCTTTGACTACTTGTGGAATTATTGCCCTTTACATTTGAACTAACGTTTTTTTCTACAGGCCATTAGGTGCTTTACCAGAGAATGACAAGTTTTTTGTTTATCAAAGGTAGATGTATATTCAAAATATGATGAATAATTCACAAAATTGGAACTAACACAATTGGTCTTACTTTAAATTTTGAAATAATCGAACTGCTTGACATTTAATGATATCCTGGATCTATATGTTTAAAAATATCGAAAGATAGTAATGTGTAAAACCTGTGAAAAAGAATCTTCCATGATTTATGGTTGGATATGATTTTTATCCAACTTGTTTTGTGTTTTTATCCCCTTGCCAAACCTCGGGATTAAAAGAATATCCAACTGGCAAACACAAAACATGGGAGGTTTTATTCATGCTATTATCCATATTAACGAGGCCCGATCTAGTTGAACTGCGCATACATTTTAATGCAGCGTTGACTCAGGCACGTCACAGTACCCTTGACTGCCGTCACAATTGAACAAAATAACGTCACAATTAAAATGACGTCATATTGCGCTAAAATGTTTTGCTGACCTGGTAACTCTATAGACTGTACATGTTGAAAGCTGGTATTTCTATTATTTACATGGGTTTTTTTTAAAATATTTTTTTAATTGATAAACAACTTTGCAACATGATTTATTTTGAGGTATCAATTTCTTGGTATATATTCATTAATTTTACCTTATTTTATTTCAATTTGTGAGTTAAAAAAACAAACACTGCAACCGAAAGTAAACGATTTTAGTCTTTCTCCTTGAACATGTTGAAGTCTTTATACACACCTTTTTTTTATTGAGGACTTAAATATGCATGAATTAGCTTGGTTTAAAAAAAAAATCAGTCTTTGAATCATTTAAATGCAACCTCCGATATATTTTATTTTTCTATAAATATATAACATGATATTAGTAAAATTCGTCATTTTTCGCCTTTAACCCCCCCCCCTCCCCCTTTTCCACGTATAACAACGTCGTGTATAAAGAAAAAAAAAAGAAAGCATGAAGAGAAAATTATTTCAAAATGTAAGAATTATTTATTTTTTTAGAAACTAATACAGTATTGCAATCGTTTGTTGATGTTATGTACACCCATGGCGACTTATTTCAAGTCTAGTTGGATAAAATAAGTGCTAATTTTGTGTTTTGATATGCCCTCTTTTCACTGCAATAAAGGCTACCTTCAATTTTCTTTTCATTTTTTATAAGAAGAATGAAAATGGCATGATATATGTGAAAAACAAAAATTTTCATCATGTATTTTTTTTAAATTTTCAATTTCTTTGTTTAGTGGAGGATTTTACTATGTTATTGTGTATAAAAACACAAAAAATGGTCCATATCTTGACAGTGCCCCCATTTGACTACAATAAAGGCAAGGTAATAAAATTTCATTCTAATTTTTCTTAGCATAATACACACAAAAATATTTCCATATATTAAAATTTTTTATCATTCCGTTTTCGTAATTTTCAACTAGATCGGGCCTCGTTAATTGTTCCTTGACTGAATTTTTGCTGCTTATGCAGAACTCATCAATCACAAAAGATAAACAACTGGAGTTCTGGATTTATTTCTTTCTTGAAATGGGCAAAATCTTTAATTCAGATAATTTTCAAAAAATCTCAGACCTCTACAGGGTTCGACACTAACGCTAGCCCGCTGGCCCGGGACAACTGAATATTGAGGTCGGGCTACCAAACATGTCTTTAAACTTGCCCTGCAGGGCTACAGTAAATTTTACCAATTACTCATTAAGAGCAAGAAAAATAATTATAATTTACAGACAATATACCTGATAATAGTTAAATTTATTTTCAAATATGTTTTATCAGCATAATTATAATTTTTTAAGTCGAAAATGTAAACTTTAAAGGTGATTCAAAATACCTTAAATGATATAAATATAGAATTTTTCGAACAGTAAAAATGTCTTAGGTACAATCATAGAGTGACATATAATTTACACCCAAAATTCAGCCAAAATGCAGGATTTTTCATCTCTATTTTCAAAATTTTCTGTGTTGGTATTAGAAGTGTGTGACCTTTAAAAACTGCAATGGAAGCTGCAGAACTGAAACTCCCCCTACGAATATTGATAGATCAGAGAATAACAGTGCCATCCCAGCAGCCTTCGGCTACTGGATTTATTTCCTCAAATTCAGGGCTTAAAATTGCAAAATCTTAGCCCTTTAAAACCATGGTTTTAAAAAAATCTCGATCCCTGGCCTCTAACTACTCTTGTAGTTAAACTTGATATCATATTTTTATGAAGCGTATTTACTATTAGGTTGCACTGTATTGCCACCCAAAATGACACTACAAATATGGATAGCTTTAAATGGTCTAAATTTCAGGCCCATTTACAACAGTTATAAGAAAAGTTTTGATGTAGAAATAGTGAAAGAGTATGCTTGGAACACACAGTTACAGTAGTAATATTTTCATACAACTTTTTACACATACTGTCATAAAAACAGATAAACAAATAAAGAAACAGTAAACTTTTTGTGCCCAATAAATATACTTATTTCAATGAATGCATTGTAGCTTTCTGGTCATCCAATCTGCAGGCTACATATCTGCACTACAATGATGGCAATGTTTCAAGCTTTTAAATGCATGCACATTAATAACTAAGCTAGGATTAAACTTAACTCAAAAAGTCAAGCAATTCTGATACTGTTCCCAGAGTCAATACACTAATCATTTATTATATGTTGTAGAAACACTTCCTTTATGTGCTTATGACATATATGCATGCAAAATATTTTATAATTGTTTTTGTAAAAAAAAAAATATTAACATGATTAAATCACAAAAGAAAATTTACCCTTAAAAAATAAAATATGACAATTGAAATATTTGCTCAAGAAGCTAGTCAAATTAAATGAAGAATTTATTCTATCATTAAAGATACTACATTATCAAGTGGAATACATGATTTATTTAATCATCTCAAGTGCACATATGTCAGTAATAACTTTATCTAGGCCAGGAGGACTACCTGGTATTTGTAAAGTTTGTAACAAATGTAGTGAGACCTACCTTTACTAACAGCTGTCATAATGACTTTTAACATCTTATTAACATTTTCACGATTTTTTCATTGTGATATATTGTAAATATTTCAATATATTTACAACTTTTACAAGAAGGACAAAGTTTGTCAAACATTCGCCATGTTTAGCTTGGATACTGACTGAAGTTACCTTCTTTTTGGAAGAGTTCCGAATCGTTGAAAAGGGGTCAAATCAAAACGTGTTATTATTATTTTTTTTAAATCTTTGAAATTTCTACTATTTTTGAAAGTTTTCCTTTTAAATGTATATTTTATATTATATTCTTTTGATTTTTTTAATATATCCTAGGGGATATTTGTCCCACTAGGGCAGCAGTTTTGCTTACTGTTATTTTAAGGCCAATAAGTGTGTAATTTTAAGGAAGCTCTAAACACTGCACACAAAAGAGTTCTACTTGTAAGGTAATTTTATGCTGTTAGAGTGATCTGTCCTTAATGGTTATGCGGTTAATTACACATTCTGTAATAGACCAAAATCTGCTTAGCATTATATATTAAACCAAGAATAAGAAATTTGAATTCAACATTTCCATTAATTTTCCCAATATATGTAAATAATGGTGTTTCTGTTCATACAAAGTCAATTGTATTTCAACATTTTACCTCCAGAATATTAAGACAGGTACCCTATGTTAAAAAAAATAATTGAATAGTCTCAATATGCACACCTTTATATGATAAATTATTCTCGAAGTCCAAAAAGCAATTTTTGTTAGTGTTTAGAGCTTCCTATTCTATATATTTCATTTTATCCGCAAGCTTAGTTTCGTAGAAAATGACATTTTTGAACATTTTGTCCCGAATGCTTACACTTTTTCCAATCAAAATTGGGATAGAAAAAATGGATCATATATAAAGTATATTTGAGATTAGTCTAGGCCTTTCATTCATCGAGATTAATGATATCCTTGTTTCATTGACTTATTTGTTAAAACTAGTAAATTGTATCCCTTTAAAATATGTTTAATATTCATTATGCTTTTAAGTTGAGGGAAAGCTTCCTCTTATATGGTAATTCTTCGTGAGGTCAGTATATATGTTACATTGTATTTTATATAATTATGTAATCTATAAAACCGCCATACAATACCAATGTGTAAACATTTTGTATCATATGTTATTGAAATGCGACAAGATGTATGTCTTAAGCAATACATTAATAATAATAATGTTGTATGTCGAGCATGCTCTAGCGTATTAATACTGTTACATTGTATTTTTATATAATGTAATATGTCGTCGACATATCTACATGTAAAATCGAAGGCCACAACAAGTTTTTTTTCTTCTCATGTGTAAGATTTTTGAATAAACTGTTTCTTCATATGAACACAAAAATAAATTCCTGCTTTTAATGGGGCACTATCATTACGGTCCTATCATTACCCATGAGAAATCCAACAGACTGCCGGAAGACTTTTAATCTCCAAAAACTAAACACAGGCACGTAGCATCGTTTTTCTAAAGTGGGGGGGGGGGGGCAACCAGAGAAAATTTTTTTTTACTTAACCCTGAAAAAGTTGATAAACAAAAAAAACAAAAAACAAAAACAAAAAAAAAACGGAAAATTTTTTTTTTTCAAACTCATGTGTAAACTTTTTCAAAGCCAAGTTACTTTCACTTCCAATTCTTTTCCTACATTGTCCTACAATTCCTTGATATCACTGTACTATGGTTAAAAAGTGGGGGGGACCATCCTTTCAATGAACATTTTCTATAGTAAAGGTAAGGTTGGGGAAAAAAGTAGGGAGGCAATGCCCCCCTGCCCCCCCCCCCTTGCTTCGTCCCTGAAACATATGCATTTAAATCTAAAACTCAAACATTTTAAATATCAGATCCGGAGTATATACATGTGTGTACAAGCAGAATGTTTTTTGACAAAATAATTTTGCAAATGACTTAGTTTATAAGTAACGTGAGGTAAGTAACAATTAAAGTGTGCAATACTCCTAAGTTTCTCATTCACTGCGGTTAATATTTAATCATGGAGTAAAATAGGGCTTAAATGTTTAAAAAAAATAAATATGAGCATTTATAATTGTTATTTTTATGCCCCCGTAATCGAAGATTTGGGGGTATAAAGTTTTTGCCCTGTCCGTTCGTCTATCTGTCTCTTTGTCAACACAAACTTTAAGGAGGCTGGGAGGTCGAAATTAACCATCAGATGTAACATGTAACTTCATAATTTTGGATACGATATCTTAAGCTGTCAACTTTCATTTGGCAACGAAAGAAAAATTTCATACAATTTAGTTTTAAAATTTGGTCATTTTTGTTTCTCTTCATATGGTGTTCTTCTTCTAAAGGAGTTCAATATAGTCTAAAAATGGCCACAACCCCTACCCCTCTTAACCTTGCTCACAACTTTTGAGTAGGTAGGGTATGTTTTTTTTATTTTACAGATGCACCTTTCTTTGGATACCACAAAATTTTACTTCTTGACCTTGGAGTTTGACCCACTTTTACAAAAAAATCATCACACTTTATCCTTGGTCATAACAGTTCTATGGCTTTCATACTTCACAAGTGTATTCATTGTGACAAGCCCTTTCGATTATGGGGTATAACAATTATACAGTACTTTAACCTTTTTACCTCTCCTCTCCGTTTTTGATGTACAATGTAACAGTTTTTATGCCGTATATATGTACTTTTTTAAAGCAATATATATTTGGAATATAAGTAACGATTTTCAAAGATAAGAAAGTAAAACTTTTTTGTTCATATCAACGTTTTTAAAATGTTTTATCTCTAAATTTGTTTAGTGGAGAAAAAATGAAAGAAAAGGAATGCAAAAGAAATTTCGTAGGATTAGCAGAACGTTCTGGGTTTTATTTGACATCTATTCCAGTCAAAGTTAAGATCAACATATAAAAAAAATTGCTCAATTCAAAGGCCTTGCATTGTAGTAGGTTGCATTTTTACCCTCACAGGAATTCTAATATAAATTGCGTTTTCGGAGAAATCGAAAGTTGCATATTGATTGAATTTTTTTTTCCCAATAATTATCACAAAAATAAAAAAAAGGTGCTTTTAGATCAAGGATATATAGTAATACATATAATAGTAATTGTGCAGTTTAGGTGAGCGTTATGGCCCTTTGGACTTGCGTGGTGTCGGAAATGAATCTTGAGAAAGTCCCTTTATCTGTGAAGCATAATGAAAGTAGCAAGGTAACGTTATGTTTTTCAATAAGATAATTTCTTCAATTTTTATTTTGGTGTTATTAGTTAATTATTTATAATCGTGTGTGCAATATTTTAAAGTTCAGTTTCTATATTGTATTTATTTTAACATTAAATGAATGATAAATTTATAACTACCCTTACTTATCTCCCCATGTTCGAACTCTTCTGTGTATTGCAGTGACTTTGTTCAACCATCGCCATATTGCTTTGATGTATTGTTTTGAAGCAATCAAGTGAGATAAATTGACGATATACCCACAAAATAACTTTAGACAACCAAACTGGACAGGCTACCAGAGTATCTTCGTGATACTATGGATTGGTTTATGGGGTAAGTAGAGTCTTTCAATGATAAATTTTGTGTATGCTTTGGGTAAATATATTGTTTGATCGTCTGCATGTGTAAATCAGAAATCGATGAAGCATCCGAGCATTTTTTTATTCTTAAAAAAGACCCTTTTCTCAGTGGATATCAAAATTGTTGATCATGCAATTTTAATATTCGAAATAATACTTTCGACCCCACAGTGTTATGCTCAAAACTTTTGATTACAATCATTGCCCTAGCATAATTAGTTTGTTGTATATTCGCCAAAACCTGAAAAGGTCATGGACATCAACAAATGAATTTTTTTTAAAGTTATAAGTTATTTGAACATTATAATGTTATTTATATCTGCTTTTGTATATAACTATATACCAGATAAATAGTATTTCTTTTTCAATATTTTTTTTTTAAAGGGTTATATGCCACAGTTTGCTACCTTATTTTAAAACAAGTACATGTATCTGTGGCCACGCACTTATAAACATCAATTCCTCTAAATAAATTAAACCGAGATATTGATTAAATTGCAGGTCTTATCATAACATCTCTTGTGCTATTTAAGGTTATGATTCTGTGGTTTAAAAAAAAAGTCATCCCTAAATTTAAACTGAACTTGTCAAATGAATTTGTTTACAGTATATTTTGGTTAATATCCCATGACATCCATAATAAATACATGATATCTACATCCTCAAGAAGCTTTATTGTGAAATTTAAGCATGTTTAATTTGTAAATGATTGAGGTACAAAAATTAATATATTACTTCTTGAAATAAAGAGGTTATAAAAATGCCGATATAAGGACTTTAGTAGATATTTATAACATGTAAGAGGAATATGAATAACAAAAAATACGGATATTGCTGTTGTATTTCTTCCTTATGTGCAGTGATCATTAGTCCACATGATTAAACTAAATTTTAAATATCATTAGCATATTTGCAGTGTATGTTTTCATGCGTAAACAATAGAATCATTCAATGTTGACAATCATCCCAAATTGTTAAAAATGACCTGTGTGGCAGAGAAAATCCTGCTGTGTTTAACTTGACCCCTTTCAAAACATGTGGTTTAATCTATCATTATCTAGGTATGAATATTTTAACTCTACGCAAACCTACAATTATGAAGGCCATGTGGTTACCTAAGCCTATCTTTGAGATATGCAGCCTTTTACTTAGATGATACACACTGGGTTGTGAATTGTATATATTCTTTGTAAACATAGGCATCTCACTTCATCATGTTGGAATAAGTTTCACAATGTTTATTGTATCTATTTTATCTGAGCAATAGGTGAGAGTTTAGAAGTGTTTTGTAACAAGTTTTTATGATGCTGTTCAGGGAAGGTTTATATAAATATTATCAGCACAGGGCTCTCTTTTTACTTACTCAAAACTCTTATGGAGGCACTTTATGTAAATATTTGATAGGTGCATTAAATGTATCTCCTGGTGTATGAAATTACAGATAGATTGCATTTTTGATATATATGCATAAATTAAGTTTCTTCCAGATATTAGAAGTAATGCTTTTAGTATTAAAAAAAAAGAAACATGAGTAGCATCTGCTAAATACAATGAAAAACAAGTTGTGTCTACATGTTCTACCTGGAGTACATATATTACAAATAAAAAAAAATGTTACAGAGAGTTCTTTACAATTTGTGTACAATCAGCATTGATCAGAGGAAAAACTTGTATTAAAGAATAAAGGAAATTATAACAAATTGTGAAAGTGAATTGGTGATATTATCCTTAACAGTCCTTAATAGAACATATAAATTTGAAGGACATATTGTGGTTAGTGTCAAATTGATTTAATTCAAAGTATTTTTGTTATGTGTTCTTGTATATGTTATATGTATCCTGATTATTCTCCTTTTGAACAAGACTTTAATGAAACACTTGTTATTATTGATTAGAAAACATTGGAACCAAATATGAATTGGCAATATGTTATAATATATATATAATAATAATACCATTCATATTTTGAGACATGCAACTCAACACAACTACTATACTACATTTAGCTAGTATATATACTGGTATGTAGGGCTTATCAGTTTTCTTACAAGAAATGAAGGCTGTCTATTCTAGTTGAGGTAGATTATATCAATTTATCAGCCAAATAACAATTGTTCAAACTGGCCAAGGTCCAGAATAGGTTAAAATAGTGTGTGTTTGAAGGTAGGCTTGTTTGTGGTCAAACACAACAGAATTCAATTGATGGAGTTTTTGTTATTGATCCTAACCTTGCCGCCCTTTGTGTAAATATCTGCTCTTTAAATTAGATTTGTTGCGGCAATTTCACTCTCGTTTTTATGAAAGGTTCATAAACCATAAATATTGAAGTGATATGAGACATAAGGTATTTAGGATATTAATTTCAATGATATATTTGTAAGGAATTCCCGCATTTGGTTTTGTTGATCAGACCTTCATTTGTTCTATCAACTTCCTAACCGATGTATTGAATCAAATATTCAATTCAATCTCCAGTCAAATATTGAATTCAATCTCAGTATAATCCTTATTAATTCTTTGTAATAATTGAGATACTGTAACTGAATGGTGTTTTATAGAACATATTCTTGGTTTTGTGCAAGTTCTGTACAAGCATTAGTTGCTGGAGAATAGGAGGCTAGCTTGTTTTAATGTACATGTACATATGTATACATACATGTATTGAATTCATTATACATAGGCATGTTTAAGGAAATTGTCAGAAACAATTGAAACTGCTTTTTCATGTTAGTATTTTGTTTTACCCAGTAAAATAATTGGTCACTCTGTGATTATCTATGAAAAAAGGATACCCCCACCTCCAATATGATTATAAAGGCAAAGTCAATGTTTTGCTCTGGGAGACCTGAAATAATCAAAAAAGTAAAGTAGGAGGTCACTATATATTGAAAATTAAGAATATAACCTCAATATTTACATCTTGATTCAATATAATATTCTCAATGTCAAAAAACATTTTACACTGGTGTAGGGTCTGTAAATTTCATTCAGTGGTATGAGAGGAGTTGGGCCAAAATAAAATTATTGTTTGTTTGGAATTGCCTCCCGCCTCATTGAAATGCCCCCTCCTGAAAAAATTTTATTGACCAAAAGTAGGAAGATTTTTTTTAATTTATTTTTTTTGCCCGTTATCACATGCACATTACAAAACACTGAAATGTAGTGTCAGATCTATGCAAAATTATGTTTCTTTGTTGATGGTAGATACTTTTTAAAAATGAATTTACTATTTACTGAGATTTTTATCAAAAATTTAAAATTTATCTTCGATTTTGAAAAAAAAAAAATAATTTCCCTCCCTCCCTCCCGTGTCAGAAACTCTTCAGGCGGCAAATCCAAACAAACAATTTTTTAAGGGTGGCCTTGTGGATAAGAGATGGGTACCCCAAAAGTGTAACAGACAGACACATAGACAGAACTTTTCAAGTGGGAGGTATTAAAATATGAGTTTGTTGCAAGCATGTCTCCAACCTCAATCTTGGTTGCAATTGACCATTTGCACTATGCATATATTACATGGACATGTGCCTGTCAGATTTATAATCATAAGGAAATATTTTGAAAATGTTTAAAATTGCTTTTTTCATTTTTATAATTTATCCAGAGTTTTTACTGGGAAAATCCATTGTAACTATATTCAGTGTTGGTTAGGAAAAGTTGACAGCAATATCAAAAAATCAGGTCATTTTATATGCCACTGTGGTTGATCTTTGAGTGGAAATTTTAATAAGGAAGTAGGGATACAAACCTAAATTTATTCTTGCTCACAAGCAAATAGGAGTTGAAAAAATTCACATAAATTATCAATGTGTAAAACACAAATAAATATTCATTGAATTTGTGCATGTTTTAGTTAAGATATGGTAACATGTGTAGATAAATCAATTTGCTTTATTTAAACATAGTTTAATTTTCATTTATAAGTGATAGCAAGAATAATTGATTGTGAAGTGTATTAAGGTGAAAACATGGTTAAGTAAAAGGTAATGTTAATCAAGAGAAAGGATGGTTATAAAACTATTGATCAGGGCAACAGGCTAGCACTGTAGCACTATAGTCTCATACTGTCACCTGAGTATTGATTTAGGCTTACTACATGATCAGCTGATTCAGAGGGAGATTATCAAACAGCCACTGAAATACTTAGCTGCTGTGCAAACACTACTTCCATGTGATTAGGGAAATAAACCATGTGATAATGAAATGTACATCAGTTTATGTACTTTTCACATATATTCTGTAGGTATGGTAATAACTACCTCATGTTCAGATCAAACCATGACCCTGTTATTTGTGAACATCTTGTGTGTTCTCTCTGCTCTGGTCAATTTGAAATCTTCAAAGAGTTCCATATTAAATAAATTTTAGCTTTGCAAGAGTAGAATAATGATATTTAAAAGATATTGGGTGACATACACTTTGGATGAAGCCCTGCAAAGCAGCCTCTTTGATGCAGTGTACTTTACATGTAGGAGGGATGTAGAAGATAGCTGAATTGGCAGGCGATCTCGCATCTGGTCTTCACTCCATAATTAATACATATTACACACAGAACCCCTAATTAGATCTGTCAATGATTTGCAAGTGTTCTTTTTTTAAAGCTGGGTTCAGTGTATTTATGCGTTGTACAGGAGTATCAAGATGAATGTTCTGCTGCAGTTTTCAAGGTTGCACTCTAGCTCAAGGTAACTGTGGTCTTGGTATGTTATTAAAAGAGTTAACTTAGGAGAAGTTAAACATGTTAAAAAGGATGTGGAGTTAAAGATTGGGATTCTTATCTTTATAGTAATCTGCTACTGCAGATGTTCTTATGAAACTTTAAGGATATGTATTTTAACAAATTATAAATTAAATGTGCTTGTATTTTACCACTAAAAAATCTTGTTTTTCTATGTGTTGTAAATACCCAAATTCAGAGACCTTTTTATACATGCATTGTTCTCAGCACGGCCTGCCTTGAAATTGTGGTACTCAGGATAAGAAAGTTTAAAAAGTTCATGTTATTTAATTGTAAATAAGACCGAAGAAAGATCCACAAGGAAACAGCTTGAAGTTTATTTTGCTTTCACCTCTTGTTAGTTAGCAAATTGACGATATCTGGAGAAACAGGATTTTTTGCTCCATGTCTGTTTGTCTAATTGTTTTTATCTTATCAACCCTTGCTGAAAGCAGGATATGGCCACTTAACATGGTATGGTGCCTATAAGAAAAGTTTACCTTCATTTGAAGAAGGGATTTTCTTTTGAAAATGTTTAAAATACAGGTAGAAAAGGAAAACTGTGTAAATCTTTTGTGTCAGGTAAACTGATATCACTAGATGCAGGGCCACTTAGCATCATGTGGTACATTGAAAATTTTATATTCAAGTCAAGTTGAGAGATCCTTTTCAAATCATTAAAAATACAGGTAGAAGAGAACATATAGTGTGATTTTATGTGTCACATAAACTGATACCACTAGATGCAGAGTCATTCATGTTCTTCCAAGAATCCTGTTTTTTCATTCATGTGGAATGATATCATGATAAAAAAACGGGTAAATTGCTTTGATAAAAAAATAAAGAACAACATTGCATTGGCAACTAGAGCATGACTTCTCAAATTTTGAAAAAAAATTTAAAAAAAAAAAAAAAATCAACAATTTTAACTGTAATATGAACATTCCTGTACTGCATGAAAAATATAAGATTTATAAACTTTATATTCAAATTTTTAACTTATTTAAAATTCCATTTGCTAGTTTTACATTTATAAGAATATACATGTTTTTAAAGTTTGATGGCAATCAGAAAAGTAATGCATATATTAACCCGTTTGATACATAAATGTATGCAATTTTGCTTGGGCACCATGTAGTTAATCTTACAATAGGCAGGAAATGAGCATAGCAAAGATAAAATGCAGTAGTGTGGTGAAAAAAATTGTGCAACTCTATTATCTTCCTGGAGGACTGCTGAATTACTCTGTTTCTATAAATAAGGATGTTCACTGGCTTTGGACACCTGTCCTCCCGTCTGCCAGAAATAACATAAAATTTGTCACCACTGTAGTCTATTTACAGGCCCAGAGAGGGGGCATTAATTAATTATTCTGTCCCATTATCAATTTATCATGTGAAGCATAAATTGTGCTTCTTTTTGCTGTACAAAGAATTTTCATTTCTTTTCTTTCTTTCTTTTTTTGGGGGTTTGGGGGTTGGTGGGGTTCGGTTGTTTCTGTTTCTTTATGTATGAGAGTATAAATAAAATATAAAGTAGGAGATTTTTTTAAAAAATTAATTCAGGTAAGGTGATCATTATCACTGACGGTGTAATGTAACACAGGCCCTAATTTGTAAACAGGACATATAAAATTTTAAAAGTTTAAGTAGAATTTTAAAAAGAGGTCCTTGGCCACGAGTGAAATATCATAACAAACACCAGCCCACGAAATCCCACCAATCAGAAATTAGCAAACATAGATCTTTAGGCTAATTTACATATCAATCACCACACTGTACACCGCAAGTAGTAAAAGCACGTGTTTCCTAAACCAGGAGGATTTAGTCATATTTATATTTATAAATCTTAGTTTGACACTATCAGGAGTCTAAGTCATCTTGAAGTAAGGCTTTTGACTGTCTTGCCTCACCTATTTACCTATACCTACTTATAAGGAAATAAGTACACAAAGCTGATCAGGTGATATGTGTAACAATCAGCTGTTGTAATGATTGTACAGAGGTGGCCACATTAAATGTACTGACAGTTAAGACGCACGATATGTTATTGGTGTCATGTGTTGCAACTGAAAAGTGATGATGATGCGATGTTTCAAAGACAAGCAAATTAAATTATCAGTTGTAAGTTTCTGTGTATCAAGTTGACTTTTCGCAAGAATTTAAAGACACAAGACAAGTGAATTACTATAGACTTGTAAAACTGTGCCACTGTGATGAATTGTCTTCTGGGTACACTTGGCGTGAAATATGTGTGAAACTAGATGATTTAAGATTAACTTGATTGCTAATTAATTCTGTGACCTTAATTACAAACTTGAATACCATCTGAATGTTGAAGGTTAAATCGACACTAAAGATGACATCAGGAGTGCTGTTTGTTGTCAATTTCTGGTGAGTTGGTGGTTAATATTTACATTATATTTATATGTATCCATAAATTTCTTTGAAAACTCCTTAAATTATAGCTTGTAATACATTGTATTGTCGTATGTACTTGAAACTTCATATTTTACTTTCTGCCGATGTGACAATTATTGCTTGGCCATTTTTCTTTGGTTGCAACTTCACATATATTTAGGTTGTAAATTAATAAAATTGAATGTAGACATCTTCTGTATGTCAAATTTCATTATTGGAAGAGTGAATATTTCATAAAAAGTTTCTTGAATTTAAAATTATACATGTATTTAAGAAATCCAGTTTGTTTGCTTTTATCTTTTAAATTTTCTGTATCTACTTATTTACTCGCAAAATAAACTGTAACAGAAATAATTATTGTACAATCAGTTGTAGTATGTATATTTATCTTGCATGTTGTTAAACATGGAATCTTATATATTTGCATCAGTGATTAGTTTATATTCTCAATAATTCATGACTTCTGTGGTTTTGTTATTTCCTCTTAGTATGAGGTGACTAAAATGTGGCCTGATGTCTATATCTGGTAAAGATAGGAAATTGAGGTTTGATTATCCAGTTATTATGAAGCAGTGGATTAATCATTTTGTTAAAAGATACGTAGAAATGATGAAAAAAATGTTAAAACTTTCTAACATGAAAGAAGTAATTATAGACATAGACACAGTATACACAATTTTGCTTCCATCTATCCGTAAGTTTGCAATGTAATTGAAAGCCGTTGGAAATCTCTTGTAAGCATCAATTTAATATACGCATATTCATCATAATCATGTTTTACTGTGTTTGATTTACTTTTTAAATCCTTATGGTTTTATGATTAAGGAATCTGTCTCCAAGGCTAGAGCCATTCATCATTTCTGTTACCTATTTGTACTAACTGTATTGTTATCTCTGCAGAAGAGAGGTGGGATCATCACAAGGTGTTTTCTCTGGAAAAGTTTCCAGCATCCAGTTCAATAATGGGTGCTGATAAACGTGGGTGTGCCCCTATTGTATTTGTACTAACTGTTGTATTAGTTATAAAGGTATTGGTGACCATCGTTTATCAATCCTACTTGGGAATCAGTAAGGTCATGGTTTTGTACAGTATGTAAACTGAAGGTCATTTGGAGTGGTGAGGGAAGATATGATAAAACTAAGAAGGTTCATTAACTCTAACCAGTAACCACATACATGTATCAAGGCTTTTATAGTAAAGGAAGTTCTCCTGACACCTGTAGTCCATATAACATATGCATTGGCTGGGATAAAAGGAATCAACACTTAATTTGTTTTTCTTTGTTTTGTCTGTTTGCATTATTGCAGACATTTATAGATATAGCATTCATTTTAGTTAAATTGTTGGGGGTTGGTGGGTGAAAGAGGGGGATGGGGTTAAGCTATAACATATTAATAGCTCCTCTAACAATTTTGAAAATTTTGTTTTCTGTTTAAAAATGATGTTTTAAAGGCTTGCCCTCATATATATATATGCCTGTATGCATATACAGGAAAATAATGACAGTATAATATCTGAAGAGGTTTTTTTTAATGATTATAAATAGATTTTTTTAAAAAAGCTATAGAGAGAATAGATTTCCATGATATCCATTTATTTAGAAGTTCACAATAAAAAGGCATGGTCTCAGGATCAAGATGCCATCTTGGGCTACTGTAGGTTGTTCTTTGTATTTGATATTGTTAGAGATAATAAAAATGCAGATGTACTAATTTTGAATTCAGAAGCTAAACTAATTCTGACAACAAGTATCTTAATGGAAAGTAAAAGTACTGCATGATTACACAGTTTCTGCCACATGGATCAATACTAAAATTCTTATTTTTAGAATTTTATTTTTAGAATGTTTGTAATGTTAAATTGCAGACAGTTTAAATGATTGTGTATTAGTCAGTCTGAATTTGGATCCTTTCCATGTTCATATAAAGGCAATAAAAGAATGGATTTCAGAAATTGATTATATGGACTGTAACAAAATAAAATGACATAAAAGAGGCTAAGATTTTGGAGGAAGAAAAAAAAACATCCCAATATATTGTCAGTTTGATTATAATTATGTACTTTCAACAATGAGTAATGCTTCCTTGAAACTTGTAAAGGTTTTGTAACAAGAAATGTTTAACAGTTGTGATTCATCTGTGAACAAAATCTGGAAGGGGTCACCTCTATTTTAAAACGGGGAGACGTCACAGAAAGAACAGGGGCTGGGACTGCAATGTTTTATAAGAACTTCCTAGAACTGAAAAACTTGTTATTGTTCTGTCATATATTCTGTATATTACAGTTACTAATTGTATGTAATATCTGACTAACAACCTACAAATTACTCTTGGCATTCTTCAGAGGACAGAACTTTCAATGATACTGACACACATATGTATTAAATGCATAAAGGTGACTTTAGAATGAAGAAATTAGCTAATTTATAAAGTTTTGAATGTTGAAATAGTGTTTTGCTGGCAGAAATGCTGCAGTAAGGCGAAATTTTTATAATAACTAATTATTCCTGAGGCATTGGTATTAGGGAGAGGTGTGTGTGTGGGGGGGGGGGGGGGGTAAAATGAAGGAAGAAAGACTCTTTAATTTTTATAAAACAAAGTTTACTATTGTTTGATTTAAAATTACAAATATTAACGTAGTGAACATAAAGCTAATTCTGAAGTGACATGCACAGTCATTCTTGTAAGACCACTTGGAATTTATACAGACAGAAATGATTCATATTTTGGTGCAGTTCAAATATTAGTCTACAAAGGTATATCACTATATATTAAAATAAGCTGTTTTTTTTTTTAATCTGATTGGAATGACACACACTTTTCTTGTTAGCTTAGTCACACAGCGACAAGTTACATCGTATTTTGTGTAAGACAGGAAAAGCGTAGGGAATTTTTTTTTTCACACAGTTAAATTTGCAGTACACCCAGTTTATCATAGGGAAAAAAATCGGAAAGAGTTATTCAGACAGTGTACAAAACACATCTAGAGCACTTATATCAAGTCTCGGAAACAGCCCGACATAAGACAGACTACTTCACTTAGAACAATAGATTTAAAAGGCAGGATTATAAGGTCAATACATGTATGTTGCCTTATTGATCAGTCAAAATAGATACCTGATTATTTAATTGATGTGCTGGGATTAGCTGAGGCCTTGTACTGCTTAATTAGTCAAATAATAGTGTTGTTTGTAAAAAAAAAAAAAGGACTGTTGCAGTACAGTCCAAAGGCTAACACAGGGTCAGTTTTCTTCCCTGAGGGGGAAATGGTGTGACGGTCTCCACGGTACAAATTTGTTTCATGGTCAATCAAGTGCAGATTTCAGCTGGAGTCAGCAGATTGGTATAAAGTAAACATAGATATGCCTCATATATCTATTGCATCATCAGTCAAATATATGGCAGAAAGCCATATCAATTATAACAATAGCTCAAGCAATTAAAGGTGTACTGGTCTTGCATCCATTTATGGAGTTGGACCTGTATTTGAAATGTCTGACCATTGTCTAGATGAGATAATGATTATCTAACTTAGGATCATTAAACTCCTATCTGTACATGATATCTGTAGACTGATTAAGATTCAGTGACATTGAACAGGTTATTATATTTACAAGTATGACAGCTAGAATTGGAAACAAAGACTAGATGTAATTACAGACAAGAACAGTGTCAATTATCTACTGTCTTAGATCACCAATACAATTTTTATATCACGATGTAATTTTATATTATAGCAAAGGACATGTTTTTTCAGTTATTATCATATTTAATGATGATAAATGTGGCAGTGTCCTTTTTTCGCTTTGATGGTGAGATAAAATCTTTTGAATTATTGGTTTTCATCACTTTCTTTTTCTTTGTCAAACTCTCGGTCATTAACCTGGGGGGTTAGTTGAACCTCAGTTTGTTCTGATGAATTCCTTTTATCAAGACTTTTATTTTGTAATGCGCTTTATGTAAAAAAAAAAAAATAATAAGTAACTATATTTTTACATGAATTTAAATACTAGCACAAATATTTGCTTTGGGGTCATACATCATTGCATGAGCTTTGTCAAATGTCAAGGCTCATTGTTTCTATATATCTGGTTATTTTTTTTTTATTTGTTAGTGTCTCTGTCCACAACTTTAAAATAGGCTGTATTCCTGATCGACATTTGATCATCTGAGGATGAAAGATTATCTGAATTTATGGTCAAGGTCATGCTTGATTCAAAGAAAGAGGTCATATGATTGATGGTCATTCATTAATCTTGACTCCATGTGTTGGGACTTCATATGCATTGTTTGAAAACCTTATTGCTGCATATGTCAAATATTAACAGATTTCTTGTTTTGAAACTGGTCTTGATAACCTAGTGAGTTGGGGGACAGTTTTGTGATTTGGAGGTCCTCAGGTCCAGTTCTTGGTTCCAGTGTAACATCAGAGCTAAGAAGTGACTCGCAGTTTTTTGCCATGTCTGTAAAAGTGAAAAGTTAAAGGTCTTTCAGATGTGACCTTCAAAACAGAGGTTAAATGTCATAGTAGCTAGGTGTTGGCATATGATACATATCCCTCCCTGCTACAGCCCTTATAGCTCCATGTATAGGTGAAAATTTGTGTCTAAATGAGTGAAAATTTCTCAAATCGACAAATGGGTGTATTGTACGTTTATTACGCTCCATAGTTATTATTACATAAAGTTAATGTGGTAAAACTTGTAAGCATTACAACATTTCCTCCTTGGTTAACCTCTTCTGTATTACACTGTGTTACTTCTCATTCTATCCTCCATTATACTGTTGACTGCAGATGCTGCAGGCCTCACATCCTATACAAAGGAATGTCAAAATAACTCGTTTTCTGGTTCAATATCAGTGACAAAAGGACAGCTGTTATACCCATGATTAGCCATCATTTTGTTGGGTAATCTGCCCAAAGGCTGGGATATAGGAGAGCTAGAATCTCCGAGAAGAAGGGATATTGCGTTCCATTTGCATATTCTACGTTGTTATGGTACATGGTTGATTGGAGGGTATTGGTAATTTGTAATGTGTTTAGATCTGCTGTATTCCATTCTACATCAGATTCCTGTTGAAAGGAGAGGTGAGATGGGATTAAAACACAGGTAAGATTAAGTCAAGTTGTACCAAGGATTCTAGTAGATGGGGGTTTGAGCAGAAATCCCAATTTACTGCAAGGATCATGTCCACTTAAAAAAAAAATTGTGTATTAATTTTCCAGCAGAACTTTGATTGATGAGAGTGATATAACAATTGACACAGTGTTTAAGTGCCTTCTTTCTTTTTTACCCCTCCTCCCTTTTAAATCCATATTGCATTGTGTTTTATTGGGCGATTGTGAACAGAATCCCGAGATGCATATCTATTTCACAATCCTGTTTACGATGTAGTGTGACATACGATTTACTGGCTGTTTATTTGACAATATGCAGAGGGTTAATATTCGTAACTAGTGCACTAGTAGTGCAGGAAAAATGTTTGAGAAGCGACACAGGTAGGATGTTATTCAGTAGTCACCTTTTGATGCATGGTTCTATAAACTGTCTGAATCTGAATATTTAGGATGTGAAATATCCTGTAGGAGCAAGGTCATTCTTAGTACAAGTACAGCTAAGTTCCTTTATTGTTCAACTATTCAACATGTTTCCAAGTACATGTACTGCTTAGTTCCTTGATTATCTCTATCAAACGTTCATGCAAGATTTTATGCATATTATTGTGCAATGTGCATAACTGAGTGACACTGATCAAAATCTTTTTCGTTATTGATTTTCAAAAATATAAAGTTTTTTTGTTTGATGTACATGTCAGTGTTTAGTACTAGGTGAATAATTAAAGCTTAAAATGTTGTGATGTACTTGAATGATTGCTAAATTTATTGATCTATTACTGAGGGACTTGAAATTAGATGTGTATGTGATCTGTTATAATTGATGAAACATCTGTGTCCCCATCTCTCTATGTGTACCCACAGGGAGATCATGTTCTCTATGTAATAATGTTTTATGTAAGAGTTTGCACCTGTATACCAACAAAGTGTAGTTAACAATCATTCGTTAATTGTCTGGCTATTCATAAAAGGACAAACTCCATTAAATCAGCATAAAAGATTCTAACCACTTCACATGTGTGTGATTATATAGGCAATGGTATATTGTGGTCTTTTCATAAAACTACACATCTTCAATTGTTTCCTGATACATATATTTGTTTCTAATTTTACGATAGACCATAATGGCGCAATAGTACATACATGAAGATTTTATTTTTTTGACTGGTAGTTGGGATTTGATTTACTTTTATTATAAAATATGCCAATTTCTGTCTAATATAGATTTAATTTTGGAGGTTTGATTTCTTAGATATAGACATCATGGATCATTATGTAATGCAGTTCACTTTTTATGAGCTATGGTAATTTTTAAAATTGAGCCAATTCCATATTAAAAATATTGTATTTTCTCTTGCCTGCAGGGATTCTATTTATATGTAAAGTGTGAAATGTCAGATTTTAATTGGAATCAGACCTCATTTCTATAAGCCAGGTGAGTTGACAAGAGACCAGTGTTATAAATGTAGCTGACCTAGAATCAGTACAAAAGCTTCTCTATAGGACTAGTACAGCCCACTAAGGCATCACCCCATGACACAGTGATTATTTTAACTTTGGGATATAAATCTTTTTATTTATCAACAGTTGGTCACAGTAAGCAAATAATGGATTAAAACTGGGTTGTCAGATGGTTAGAGAGTAAAATTTCATTTACTTGTTTTTTTTTAATTGAGTAGCAAGAAGGTAAAGGTCACGGCAAACTACATAATATCATCAAGATTGTATCATAAATAGATATTTGAGGCCTACATTATATATAATACTGAGTTTGCAGATTCATGGTGCATGATTTTGCAAAATATTTTTTTATGAATATACATACATACAGGAGCGAATAAAAATGATCTTAAAAGATAAATAAGTATTCTCACTGGTCAAATTGCATTTCATCTATACATGTCATATGAAATTATATAATGGTATTGTCTTTTGTGCAGGAAAGGTAGACGGAAGGATAAAGATTCCCCAACCCCTCCTGCTGCAGAGGAAAGTAAACGATACCTGGAGGACACGTGTATAAAGGAACGAGTGACGGATGCCGACTTCTTCAGACTGGTATCACTTCCACACAGTCTAGATAAAAACGAGTGGCTAGCAACACATGGTATGTAGTGAGCCTACCAATTGATATTTGTAGGTCTATGTATATACATGTACTTAAAAAATATTCAACACCTCAGTAATTCTGACCCCCCCCCCCCCACCCCAACAGAATAAACAAACACAACATTATATTAAGTCCTTGGTCATACTGTCAATTAAATGTGTGCCTTTCATGTAGCCATTAAAGATGTAGAATTAGAAACCAAAGAAATAACTGTGTATCTTGCCTTTCATTTGAATAGTACTTGCAGTGAATCTGCTGTGGCTTAAACCTGTACAGTGGTTCAATACTGACAGAGATGTTTAGCCTCTTCCTTTTTTTCTCTCCTTGCCAGAACACACAACTAACCAGAAATGAATTGTAATGTGTAAAAAATTACTTAAAGCTGTGCAACAAAATTGACTGTACATATATGTAATATAATGCACTGCCTAAATTGTAATGGAAAATTGTGCATTATAGCCTTGAATCATATGCATGTTCAGCCCTTTTTACAAAGTAAATATTGAATAGAATTGTTGATGTTCTGAGAGAAGGAAAGAAAAAATACCCAGCAAATTGCTGCAATGCATTTGAGACAATGTGCTAGCCTACGCACTAAAAACAACATTGTATACTATTAAACACAGGCTGTACCAAAGCATCAAATTGTGTAGAATAGACAAAAGCAGTAAAACAGTTGTGTATAGCTTAAGAAAACTGGATCAGAGGAAAAAAACAATTGTGTAAATTTAGGGCAGATTGTACCAACACATTTAGCTGACATTGCTTGCCTTACATGATTAACATAACATTGCTTCTGATTTTATGTTATATTGTATTATCTAGTTTAACAAATTCATGTATATTTTTATTTTTCAGCAATCTCATTTTTTAATCATGTGAACCTTGTGTATGGTGTGGTGTCCGAGTACTGTAACTCAGAGACATGCAGTACCATGACAGGCCCAGGGAATGTGTAAGTATAGCCAGGCAGGGGAAGCAACTCTTACTGAAAGGGAATCGTAAAGTGTAGAATTATATAGGGAGGGGAGGTAAATCTCACTGACTTTGTATGGGGGAGAGGTATGTCAGTCTGAAAGGAAATTAGTGATGTTGGATGTATTATAATAAGCATTATGTATTAGTGGAATGAAGCAGAATTGAAGAATATAGGTGTGGGTGGATGTAAATAGTTAGATATTCAAAGAAATAAAATATCCAAGGGAAGTTAAAGATAGAATATAAATCAAGGAAATAAATCGGAGGAATACCAGTCATTGAGATGCACTATCTGTGTCTTCCATCTTATTCCCAAATCCTTCTCTTCTTTTTAAACCAGGAAACAGGAATTTTGTACACAGCAGTCCTAATTCTGATTTGTTTAAGGTGATCCACCCCCGTAGTGGATTTCCCGGGAGTAAATTTCCCAACTTATTTTAGTGTTGTCAGGAATACACTATTGATTATAGGGTCATTTCCATAATAGAACAATTAACTTGGCTCTTGTTGTTTAAGGAAAAACAAGTACATATTTAACCATTTTATTTTCAAGTGCCAATATTGAAATTATAAGTTTATTGTAATAGCTTGCAAATTGATGAAATGATTTTGTGCAGTTTTTAATGTACAGAAGTACAAAAGACTTAACTCAATTTGGTAATGATGGTAGCCTGTAGCTGTATATGCATAGGACATTCGAACTTATAATAATAGAATTAGGTAACTGTGATATCAGATGATTTATTTTATAAGGGCTTTGATGTCAAATTTACTAACAGGGTGGGGATTTTGTATGGTGACTTTGATTTGTGTATCATATGTATACACAAGGAAATATGTTCCACATAAATGAGGTTTTATTAAAACAGTGATTTACATCAGACTATTTCTTTCCTGGAAAAGCAGCCGTGATATGTCAAATGTCAAGTATCAATATATAAAATGAGAACTTAAAAGTACATGCAATTAATAGTTCATGTTGTTGGGGAAGTTTGTTTAGTGTTATATATGCAGGTGATCTTTAAAAAGGGACAATAAATTTGTCACAGATTTTAATTTCCAATTACTCAGTACTTGAAAAACCCAAATAAGTAAAGGTAGCATTTATAGGTATCTGAATGCATTGAATGTTTAATGAACAAACTTTGATAGCCCTTGTTTTTCCTTCTGTCCATATGGCATACGTACTCTGTGGAGCTGTATTATTGTAGTTCTGTGGAATTCCCAATCCTTTAAGCTCAGTGTTCTGTCGATGAACTCATCATTATCTCCACTGACATTCCCATCTGATTGTGTACCTACTTACTAATACTTATGTTACAACACATGAGATTATGAAGAAAAACTGTTGTTACAATAATTTCAGAGTAAAAATTTTAGGTATGGAATGTATTATTTGGTTTGACTGCAAAAAATGAAAGCATTTCATTTACAGTTGTTTTTGATATCGGATATTTTTTCGTTATAGGTTGCACAACCTAACTGCAATTAAAATGTCAAATGGTTACCTTTAGAATTTATTTAGGCAAATTAAAGGATGTATATTGCATTGGGTTTGTCAAGTGTGAGCAAGGGTTTAGGGTTGACACAATCAGTAGCATTGATTTCTTATTATTGAGCACACATTTAACAGCTGTTTGCTTCTAAGTTTCTAATCATATTGATTACTTCTCTTATTTATTATACAGGTTACATTTTCTATGTGTTCAGAAATCAAGTATAATCAAGTGCAAAAAAACCCTACCCCCAAACACCCCATCCCCTTTTTATAGAGGGGTGAAACATATTAAAAACTATGGTACTCTGAAAGGTTACACTAAGCAGTGTAAATCTGTTCTTTGAAAGAAATGATTATCCCAGGAAAATGGCTGCACTTAGTTCAGGAGTCCAATTTGTTTTTGTTTGGGGGGGGGAGAAATTTTTGATCTTTTCATTGAGTATACAGCTTAAACAAGAGTTATATGATTTAAAAACTTGTAAACCAAAAGGTTCATGTCTGTATAGTCACTCCTCAATTCTGTAGTGTATGTTTGATAAATGATGATCTTCACTTCCAGGCAATTTCTGTGGTATGATGACAAAGGCAAGAAATACAAGTACAGTGCTCCTCAATATGTAGACATTGTCACCACAAACATTCAGAGAGAAATCTCCAATGAAACTGTCTTTCCTACAAAGTTTGGTAAGTCTTATCATGTGAAATTTAATTTTCTGGAAATAATTCAAGATTTTAAATGTGTGATGTTGCGACATTGCTTATGTAGATTTAGACAGGTATTTATTTTACTTAATGGTGAACTTGTAAACTTTACTATCTTTATCTTTACCCTACACTTTGTTACCACTATGAAGAGTAAATAATTGATAAGATATACTAGTAGTTAAAATTGGGAATGTGTCACATTCCAGGTTAAATAATAAATGTCATTGTATTTTTTATCAAAAGGGTGTAGTTTCTAGGAATCATTATATCTATTCATTATTGATGGAATAGGATAAAAATATCTATGATGTTATTTGAAGCTAAATGACTAATATGAAAGTGAAAATTTTAAATATCATGTTATTCAGTCAAAGGGAGGCAACCCATTGCTAAAAACCTTATCTTTTTCTTGTAGGTCAAACTTTTCCAAGCACATTTGAGTCCACAGTGAAGAAGATTCACAAATATTTGTTCCACATTCTAGCCCATATATATCATGTACACTACAGTGACTTTGTAACACTACAGATGCACGGGCATCTAAACAGCCTGTTTACTCATTTCATGGTGTTCAATATCAAATTTGACCTTCTTGAGGAGAAAGACTACGAAGTAGTGCAGGACTTACTGAAGGGACTAATTCAGCTTCTTCCAGATCCCAATCAAAATGAGGGCAAAGAGAACACAGCGCCATCTTCAGACAAGGACAATAACTGTGTCAGTATGGAAGTTTCTCCGACACACATATAAAACAATGTGATATGTAGTTATTATACATCGTAATATTTTGTGATGTGTACTTGGGATCGTTGTATGTTACAATTATTGTTTTTGATATTTTTCGACATCAAATCGGGTGGGTGTTTTGTTAGGACAGAGATGTGATGGTTGTCCAATAAACTGGACAGATGGAAACTTTTCATTAGGAAATGAATGCTTGAAAGCAACCTTTTTATTTTCATCGTTAACATCCTGCAGTATTTTTGGTTCATGATTTTTGAAGTAGCTTGGCCTTAGACTAAATAGGAATGATAATTCTCTTTCATTATTTAATAATTTTAGTTATTTTTTTAACTAAAAACAGCTAAAATGGCTTTCAGTTTTCAGAATTTGGCTGGGATTGGTTTGGGTGGTGAGGCCAGCTGGTAGGACAGTATATATTTGACAAGTGCTTTCCGTCCATTTTAGCAGTAATGGCTTACATCAGTTAACACAAATAATCTTACATCAGAGCTTTTACTTAGCAAGCAGGAATCTTACTTCATTATAAATACCTCATGAATGAAATGGATATTTATTTTCGTTTGTTTTAGGAATGGATTATACTCCAGGTTTCTCCCATCACATTTGTTTTGTGAGGAAAATAACCTGCATCCTATAAGCTGCCTTGTTTCTTAAAATACTCAAACTCTTCTCAAAATAGACACATTTTTTCGCAGTCTTGAAAGTTGGTAACAGAGTTTTTGCTAAAAACTTCTTATAATTACAACAAAATTTTTTTTTTGATTCTTGAAAATCAATTATTGATGCCAAAACATGTCTAGAAATGGTAAAAATTGTGTTGCATGCACTAATAATGATTAACACTGTAATCTTGCATCACTGTCTTTCTCCAAGGATCTCATGCAGTTGTTTTTTTGTGATGTAGATAGGAATCTGTACATAGCTGTATAAAAGTGTACATAGAATGACATGATGTATATGAATGTTAAACAGTTGACCTTATGTTGCAAGCTGGCCTTCGTAAGCTGTATATCTATGAGACTTTGGGAATTGCTGATTCTGACAAACTTCATTGTTAATGTTTATAGGTGACAAATAGCAAGTTAAAAATGTTGGACAGCAATTTTTTTATTTATTTGTATTTTTTTAATGGTATATATATACAATAGTTTTTGTTGATTATGTACCGCACATGCCTATTCTGATGTTTGTTCATTGTTGTGATAAGTTTCTATGGAAATGATATGTTCTGCTGGTGTCCAATGGTCATGAAATTTAATAAAATAAGTTTTTTTGCAAGCTTTGAAAATCAGTTTAATTCAGGCTACATTATTCAACAACAAGTCAGCAGATACAGAAATTGAACTATGCTTGCTTCTGATCCTTTAAGTTCAGATCATTTGGCCAGCAGAAAATATCCATTTCAAGGTATACATATCCTACAAAGTGCTTGAAATATGAAAGCTGATAGACCAAGGAAAGTGAGGAGGAACATTGTACAAACAAAATATTTTCCTGATAAAGTTTGAAAGTTTCTGTTGGGGGATGGTTAGTCAAATGTTAGTGCTTTTTGAAAAGGAATTATTGCAACAGATTCTCTTACATTTGTACCAGTATTTATTGTGAAAACTCAAAATATTACTAAGCTCTCTGTATTTCAACTACATTATATTGTAGTTTTTAGTGAATGTGCTATTCAAATAGCTTACCATAGAACTGATTGCACAAAGATAATAATTGAGCAGTTTTGCCTATAGCAGAAAAGAGCTGTCTTCAACAGAAAGTGTGCATTTGATACTGCATGCACATTTCTGTTGAAAGATTGCCTTTCAGAAATTTATGTGAAGAAATTCGAGATAGGAAAAAAATATTTGTTATTGTTGTAACTTAAATATAGTTCTAAATAATCAAGAAGATATAAATGTATATTAATTTAATGTGTATATTCTAAGGGTTAGTGGGTAATTTTCAGTGTTAGTGTGTATTTTTATTTTTTGCCCACTTGCTTAACCCATGCAGTAACATTCCTTAAGTGACACCAGGCTTTCCATAACAAACTAGATTTACTGAAACATTAATAATTGTTAAAATTATCGGTAACTCATTTGGTAACCTTCTAAGACAAATGATTTTTTCAGATAACATTTTTTATGGATGATTTAATTAACAAGTAGAAACTGGCACATGTTATATTTGCATTACTCTGATCCACAAGAATGTTTTGAAACAGCTAGTCTTTGTCCAGAATTGACCAAAGTTATAACATGTTTATTTTAAACTGATGAACTTTATGTTGAATGCAAGGCTAGATAATTTTTGTTAACTTGTAAAAGTAATGCAGAGATTCAGAGTGAAAGCTAGGGAAGACAGATATTGGCTTAAAAACAAAAACAAAAAATAATAATTAAAAATAGTGAAATCTGTTGTGATGTATAATTATCACAATTCACAGATATGGAGAGTAATGCATGTTTAAGTTAGAAATGTCCCCAGTGTTAAACACAATGTGTCGAGTTTGATGCCAAAATCATTGAATTTGTAGAATTGTTTTATTAATGTTATCAATAGTGGAATCACTTGAGATAAAGTGATATAGCATAGCATATACCCTATATGTTTGACATCCACTGTTCTGCAAATATTGTTCCATAAGATACCTAGTTAATACATGTAAGTGTGATATGTTTTATATGTAATATACTAATGAGGTTAGCAAAACAAAAGTGCATACTGATCATTACTATATGTAGTATATAAAACATGATTTTCAAAGATAACTATCCTAAGAATTGGTTTCTCCCATTACCAAAGAATTGTATTCTGTTTAAATTTTAAATTTTTCATCGAGGCAAAATGTTGAAGGTGCCAAATATTATCAATATTTTGATTTACAAGTTAATTTTCTTTTGTAAATGAAAAATGGATGAAATTTTGAGTGAAAACATTTCTAAAACTGGGAAGGGTTTCCTCCTAAAAATTAAAAAAGCTGTTTAACTGTTTAACAAGATTTTTTTGTTAGTTCAAAATTACATGTTCACCAGAAGGAAGTTAGTAGGGTTATTACTGTAGTGAAAATGACTGTGTAGGTTCATTACTTTAGGTAAGATCAAGTTTGTACATGCACAAAGATGAGTGGGTGTCTTAGAATTTTTTATTTAGGATCAATAGTCATGAATAAGGCTTTGGTGAAAGTTAGCGTTGTATATTCCTTAATGATAAAATGATATTAAGAAATCCAACAGTTATGCACTCATCCACTCTCAATTGTTTTTTTTTTCTTCATGGAGGTTAGAATGAATATTTTTCTTCAAAAACATGACATTTTCTTAAATAGAAAGTTTTTTTCTTACCATACATTATTATTAATCAAAATAAACGGACATTTTTCCCCTTGTTTTAATCAATGTAATATCAAATATAAATGTTTTGTTCTAGTCTACATTATTTTCATTTACATAGTTTTTTATGCTTTGATTGTGCTTATTGGAGTTTAGTATGTTTTAAATTTGCACTATAACAGCATTGATAAGAAACATATTTCTGTTCACATTTAGTAATGGCCATAGTAAGATACTGACATTTGAAGTCAGTAGTGAATTGTTAAAATTACATACCCCTGCAAATATCAAGCAAATGATGGAGTTGTTGTATAGAACAATTTGTGTGCAATAAACTGTTACATTTGATGCTAAATAGCTGGTAGAAGTTATCTACCCAATAAATGTGAAATATCGTGTTGCATTGTGTTGAAGTCTTGTTTATTGCTAAGATAAATACCCGGGTAATGTATTGATGTTAAAATCAGGGATTCCTGATTTGCTTGAAGGCTAGTGATATACAGTAGAACTTAGTTATCTCATTTATGGATATCGAGAGTTAGTTGGAAGTTCCAACCAGTCATTCCTTGGGTGTTTTACCCTCAATATCTCAAAACCTTAGATATCTCAAAGTCGTTTCTAACCTTCATTCATTTGTCAACAATGTGGTTGGACTCAAAAGAGAATCAAGACATCAGAGCTTGTTAGGTATTCCATGAAGTAATTTTCATATAAAATTCATAACAGGCATCAAAAAGTGCAGGTTTACTTAACATTCCATGCTATTGGAAATTCAAATTTTCATTTTACCAATATGTCTACATTTTATGAGATTTACAACTTGGACTTGAATGCAGTAGTATAATTAACACAGTTGTCAAGTTTTGGCCAAAAATCCAATTTTTTTGCAAAATTTTTTTATGTACAGTTATTTGGCCAGTTCCGAATAAGAAATCGATTCGGCGGTGCTATAAATATACTAGGCATTATTTCAAAATCTAAGTGTTTTGTCAAGGTAGTTCGTTGACTTGTGGAATTAAATATTGTTTCAAAAAAGTTCAGCCTTCCCTCCAAAAAAAATTATTTCGCAAGTTACCATAGGTGTCTATTTTACCAGTTACGAATAAGCCGACGAGTTCCGGATAGGCTAGAGATTCTTTTTCAATTCAACCCTAAATCAAAGAATATACGTCCCAGACGTTATCCATTGGCATTCCTAAGAAAAGTTAAATTAATTACTTACCAAAAATTATTTGTATTTCCGAACGTTGAAGAGAAACTAGAGGTACTGTGGGCAATGCGCTCATTTTAATGATACCCCACACCTCCTTTATGATTATTTATGACAAAGTCCATGTTTTGCTCTGGGAGACCCGAAATAAGTGTCAGATCAAAAAGTAAAATAGAGGGTAACAATGTCACAATATGATAAAGAATCTGTGAAAGTATTATTAAATCTTATTCAGTGGTATAGGAGGAATTGCGGATAAGAGATGGATATACCTTTCAATATTACAAAGAATGGCAGTATATCTATGTTTTTCTCAGGGAGCCCGAATTATGTGCCTGATCCAAAAATATATTATGTGCACTTTGGTACTGTTAAACAAAGATTCTGTGAAAGACTCATTAAATTCTGTGAAGCCTCATTAAACTTCATTCAGTGGTAGAAGAGGGGTTGCGGATAAGAAATGGATACCCCAGAGTATATCAGACGGGCGGACGTACAGACAGACGGGCGGGCGGGCGGACGTAGAGACGGATGGATGGACAAACATCCCATTACTATACACCCCTTCTTCCTGTTTTTCCAGCGAGGGTATAATAAGTCACGTTTACAATGAAGAAAACAACGAAGAGTGAATTTATAATAGTGTTTAAAATGGGTATTCGGAACTGGTAAAAAAAGAGCACGAAAATATTTCAATATCTTACAGTGTTCTAAATATTTATTTTTGACAAGTTTTTAGTATATGTTACAGTACATATCAAACTAACTTTTGATACCTGGAACGTGGTTTTATGTGAAAAATTAATGTATCTACAGAGGTTTTTCTGCAGACTTACGCGTTGCGGTGATTCAGATTTGTTGCGTTGTAAAAGTATGTCGACTGTTTCAAGTACGATAACGAAACCAAACCGAGGGCAAAAAATCAAAACTTCTTATAATTCAAACAATCATAAATAAGCCTTCTTACCATAGAAATCAATTTATTTTTACACCGTTGAATTTATTAATTACCAGTCCTTAAATTACTAATTATTCGGAACTGGCCAAACGACTGTATTAAGAAAGAGATAATACAGAATTTTATATATGCATGTATATTATTGAATATGACATGAAATGCATTTCATTCAGGATTCTACAGTAAGGTTGAAGAGAGACTTGAAAAATTCACCCACTATTGGATAACTTAAATTTTGATTTAAAGGAATAAATTCCTTCAGATTTTATCCTAAGCACATTAAGGAACATACTCCTTTGGATTAGATAGCTATTCATCTTGGTGACCATCTTCAAAGCCCCTTTAAACAAATGTAATTAAAGAGAAAGGCCATTTAACCATGCAAGAGTACTTATTGAAAGAAGCATGAACCAGGTGATTTCAGAGAAAGGAAAATGCTCAGGAAAAGAATATACAGAAATTTAATATAGCCCTGACCACTAACATAGAAACTGGCTCAAAGACACTATACACACGTTCTTTTCATATAGCACAAAGTGGAAGAAATCTGAGGGGAGGGGGGCTATGGGGGGGGGGTATGCTTCTTAAAGGAATATTTTGCAAGTAGGTTTTCCAGTCATGACCTTTCATTTAATAAAAAGAAAATTGTTCAAAGTCACTGCACTCCCTCTGCACATAGGTTCTCAGTTAATGTAGAAAGAGCTCAACTGTGCTAAGGGGAGATAAAATGTGCTCTGGATGCGAGTTTTACAGAGAGCTTTCTTGGCCTAGACTTTTCATTTTAAAAAATTGTTCAAGGCTACTTCACACCTTTTACCCTCTTGCTTATTTGGGGTGATGTTGAGTTCAACTGATTCAAGGGGAGAGAAAATTAGCTCTTGAAAATGATTTTACAAAGAGATTTTTTTTTACCTTAACAGCTTATCTAAAAGCTTGTTCAAATCATTGCACAATCTCTACCAACAAGCACATTCTGCTTGACATTTTAGCCAAAATGAGCCAAGAAAAGTGAAAATATACACAGAATAAGGATGTTTTCTCACATTGACCTTTCATATAGAAAATTGGCCCAAGGTCACTGCACATCTTGTATACACAGGCACCCTATTTTTAAGTATGAGCCCTACTGGGCCATGGAAAAAGACAATACCGATATGATCAGATGGAATTTACAGAGGTTTTTGGACCTTGACCTTAAAAATTTGGTTCAAGTTCACTGCACAGTCTTTACTCAATAGGGAAAGCCTGAGCTTGACTGGGCCAAAGTGAGAGAAAATATGCTCCAGACAAATGTTGGTGTCAAGTGCCCAGGATCAGGGACCAGGATTGCACAGGGTCTAGATAATTAATTTTCTGAATTCTTCCAATGAAGATGACTGTTTCAGTAGAAGTTTCAGCAGAAATGTTCTGGTAGATAGTTCTTGGAAAGAATGGATGATGGTAGACTTTCTTTGAAAGTCATATGGCACATGCTATCACAATATCTATTGGGCAAATTCCTCGAAACTTTTAACTTTTTTGAAATTCATTATCACAAATACGAAAATGTAAGTTTCAGTCATACCTAAAAACACTAGTAAACTGAAAATTAAATATTAAACAAGTTGGCAGCCAGTGCAATACCATTACCAGGTATATTACACCTAGGGAAAAGAAAAAAAATGTTGGATCAGTTTATCATGTTTATTGCAATGAAAACATATGTAATTCAATGAAAACCAACTACATATACATAATAAATTATGTTCCTTAAATGTGAAAAAGTCTAATTATCAGAACAATACATATACATGTATAGCAGTGAAAAAAGGTTATTGTTCCTAATACACACAAATTCTAAATACAAATAAACAGCACAGGACAATGGAGCTCAAATATGAGTCGTTAATATCACTTTCTCTTTTGTTTATACAGGTCTATGTTTCATGACCAATATCATCTTGTTCGACCACTGTACTAACCGAGTCCAGTGATATATTATCATCTGAGTCAGACATTTTAGATAAGTCCTCAGTTTGGATGGCTTTGCTGTCCATATCTTTGGAAACACTCTCCAGAATTTTCTGCTTGGCTGTGGTGCAGACCTCTAAGATTTCACGTAGGCCATTGTTTTCGTACTGAAGCTGAACTAGTTTCTCTTTGTCTTTTGCGGAGTTTTCATCATCAGTCGTAACTGCTTTCTGCATCACTGCTGCCATTTCACTGATTTTATCAATTAACTTTTCTAAATGCTGAAAGAGAAAAAATAATACTTTTTGTATTAAAAAAAAGAAATTAAGCCACATGAAAATAAAAATTTCAAACATAACCCATCAAAGATCTTTGTATGCTTGCATCAGTATTTAAAGGAATATAAAATTGATAATGTATGAAATACAAAACAGATCATAAAAATTTACATCCTTGCTAGACAAGGGTTTCTGATCCGAAATGTACTCTACAACCATTGTAAAGTAGATTCGGATCAGAAACCCTTGGCTGGTGAACATGATGTATACACTGAAATAAATTCCTTTGTTTACTAATAAGTTGGCAATAACTACATTTGATTTCTCTATTTTGTACCTGAGACTGGTCCTTTCTTTGTGTGATGGCTTTCTCCTGTTTATTGCTCTGGATCAGTTTCATCATTTGTTCCCTGTACTTCTGCATGATCAGAGCCAGGGCTTGCTGGTGTTCCTCCAGAGACAGACGAAGCTCCCTGTTCTCCTGCTGTAACTCTCGTATCTGTCGGTTCTCCTGGGCAATACCCAGCACCAGGGTCGACCGAGGACGATGCTTAGCTATCTCATTCAGCTCGTTAATGTCTTCTTGATACTAAGAGGAAAAGATTATTAAATAATTGAGAATTTTACAAAAAAAGTAAAATAAGTGAATTATGTAATGTGTTTATCATAACAAATACAAGGTTTGTGTATTAAAAATACTGAAAAATGAACAAATAACATGATACAGTAAGACGTGTTATACCAAACCTGTTTCATGGCCTCTAGCCTTTTGTGCAGTGTCTGTGTATGCGCTATAAGAATGTCAGCTGTGGAGTCATGATCTCTAAGTCTGGCTACCAGAATCTGGGCATCTCCCAATAATTTCTCTATATTTAACGCCATCTGTCAAAGACAATATCTCAATCTGGATTAATTGTATTTCATTCAGGAAACTATATACTTTAGTATAGGTTCCTGATTTCATTACACTCAATATATTGTGTGGTGTAAAATAAAAGTTGTTATATTACCTAGTGTCTTGAAAATCATTTGGATAAAATAGAGTTACTAAAACTATTTGACAAGGTTAGTTAAAAACATCAGTATTTCATATCGATTGCATCTTCCTAGTATATGCGGCTTATTTTAATCATAAAATTAACAATAGAATAAAACATGGAAATGTTCTTCTTCTAAAATTAAACAAATTAATGAGAATCATTGTCTTACATGTTTTAGGGGCTGTAATCACGATAATATCTTATGATAAAATATGATAAATAATACTGAGGCAATTCGAGATAAACAGAAGTATTCATCATCATTTTTCAAGAGTAAAGTATCACCTTTGTTTAAGAAGGTAATTGATTGAGCTCCTTTTCATCTGTAAACTTATAAATTAATGTAACAGACGCAATAAAACAAATTCTCTTTCCCCATAATTTGCGGAACTACACCGGATGTAATCAAGCTCCAGGAAAATTGTAAATGGTAAAACCGTATCACCGTTAATTCCGGAATTTCTGTTTTTATCGATCATGGGCAAAGAGCAATAACTTTTTTCGAAAAAAAAAATTAACTAATAAATAAATAAAAACTAACTCGAATAAATAATTAAATAAAATTTATATTAAATCTACTTTGGATACACTTTAAAAAATTGTATCAATTATTTTAGTTTGACACTTTCGGACAAGAAATACCATGTTGTAAAAGATAAAGATATCCAACAGTGATCAATCTAAAAAAAAAAATCTATAAAGCATACAATTTGAAAAGGGCATGGAGCATGGTATTCTTTATTGTTGATCTCAACTTTCTCTACACACAAGGACTAATAATGGCAGTTCAGGGGAAGTATTAAAATAAAATGAGACATCAACTTCTCAATAGAGAATAGAAACATGGATCCCTGGAAATTCCAAAGGCAAGATCAGATGCCTATAGGTACTCCAGCATGCTAAAGGATCACGACAAGATACTTTTGACTTGGCGCCGAGGTAGATAAGGTGCCTAGGCACGTTAACCGAGGCTCTTACTTGTAGGATTAGTGCCTAGGAAGAGTCAGCATCCCCTGTTGACCCGGTCAGTGGCGGTCACATTAGCCGTGAAGCCAATGGACAACAGGTAGACGGAACTATCCATTGTCAATTCAGTATAAAAACAAAGTCGAAAAATACGATCCAATGATAGCTTTTATTTGCTAACAAGGTCATTATAACGATCGAACATAAAATTTACAAAATGCTGATCTATATATATAACGAGGCCGTTAAAATCACAAGGTTTAAGGTGAGCAGGCTGCCTCGCTTTAAAATTTGATCATGCTCAGAACAAGCTCTTGAAAAGTTCACTAAAATAAGTTGGGAGACAAAAGCACCATCTTCGCTAACCAAGAGTTTCTGATACGCTACTCAAATACGATATGATACGACTAGCGGCGTATCAGATACCCTTGGCTAGCAAAGATGGTTATGATGGAATATTACTACAACAATAAGAAATGTTGACGATGAAAAGCCTGAAGTCATTTCGTTTGTCTACAATTTAGTTGTTAATTGGCCTTAATTTTCGTCTATAGTCAGTAAAACATCCAAATATGCGAAAACAGATGTGACAGACTCTGTGATGGCTTTCATTTCAGGTTCACTGCATACCGCTATTTTATATTGTGTCATGGTGCGGTACTTTTTCTTTTGATGTTGGCCATACTTTAAATCAGATAGAAAACCTTTGGTTGAATTCCAACGTACTATAACTTCTAGGGGGCGGAGCTTCGCCGTACAATAACTTACAATTTTCCGTACAATAACTTCCGACAGAATTCGATGGTTTTTATATATTTTTTTTTTACTTCAATTTCTGTAAGCTTATACACAATATCTAGAGGAAACGTGAGAAATCTCACAGAATCTAACCCACCCACCCCCCTTTCACTCTATAAATGCATACGTGACCATGGTGACAGGGATGGGGTAATTGAACAAAAAAGTAATACACAGAATTTCACGAAAATATTCTATGAAAACAGATAATTTAAACCTGACAATATTGAAAACACGCGCAGTTGGATGATTTTCTTAAAAGTACCTGTTTCCTGGATTCCTTGAGTTACATGCACACTGATACATGTTCGTATAATATACAAGTATGCATTCGGACTTTTTCACAATGCATTCCATAATTTTGACACCTGTGTCTACGGTACTCCATTAGGATTTCCTCCGGACATGCAGCCATATCCGTAGTAACAGTAACGAAGCGGATCATTTTGCGGACGGATCCAGGTTTCCAGTACCTTATGGTTTTTTGAAATATTCATACTGCTAAAATTGATCCATTAAATACAATTGCACACTCGTTTTAACATGATTTGACTTTCCAATGCAACCATCTCCTTCGTACTTTCTGATTTGTTTGATCCGTCTACAATGGACCTAGGCCTGTGACGTAATGTGGGGTGCACTTTGATGTCGAGGGAGTGGCTATGCAAATGACCATGACACAAGACATTTACAGACACTTTCTTTCGTTTGTAAGGAATTTATTATACAGAGAGGCGTGGCTGTCTCGTCGCTACGCGACTCGACTGCCACGCCTCTCTGTACAATAAATTCCTTACAAACGAAAGAAAATACTGTAAATATAACTTGAGTCGACATTCGAATCGAAATAATTATTGTTAATGAATAAAACACCGTCGATATATCTGAATGTCGAAAACGGATAAGCAATTTCTGAAATTGTAAGACACCGCTCACTCCTTTCTTCTTTGCAACATATAGACTTTCGAATTGAAGGTCACAGCTAGTGTTTTCTTCTTTGAATAAATTTTGCTGAACATAGAAGTATAAAAACGGGTCAGCTGATAAAGGAGCACAATTTGTTCACATCGGAATTCCAACAGCTTGTTAATGGAAAACTTGGCCTTCGATAACAACATAAATGTTGTCAATTAGGAACTCCAACATCATTTTAATATCAACGTCAGAGTACTATGTGTACAATGAGAGTTATTTATTAACTAGGCTAAGTAATTTCCCCAAGAAGTAAACAAATCCGAGTTCCCTATTTATTTAAGAACCAGTTGTCTAAGGTATCACTAATTCTAGCTTAATTTTTCGTGTATAAAACGTAGAAAAGTCGTTGAGTTTTGATGTTTTGAAAAAAAGAGGCAATTTTAAGGCTTCTAAAATATTTTGTTTAATTTTTTTTTTGAGTGTTTGAGGATCCAGATCTGGTACCACTTCTAGCATAAGCTGTACCTCAGTAAGTCTAGAGTTTCTGTTTTACGTAAACAAAGAATCATAACAACCGAATTTATTGGTACGTCCGTAGAGACGACTATAAAGGGGTTAGGAGGTGGATGAAATATACAGTTCGGTATATGTTTAGTATAAGGAAATGAAATAATAAATGAATTTTTAAATAAAACGTTAATTGTACTCTTAAGAAATGTGAAAAGTTAACCAGAAAGATATGGATGGACGGACAGGAAACTTAAATCGGCTGTAAATTCACCTTTTTTATAGTTCATGTAGGACTTTTAAATGAAAAGTGTATCATATGGCAAAAATGTTATTACAAGATAATTGCATGCGTCGATTAAATTGTTTTCACTTGAAGCTGGGTAGGACTTTAAAAATATTTTCTTTGAAAGTTTTTATACATTAAATGACCATCCCAACTTGTGATGACCTCACCCGTTTTAAACTGGCATCGACTGACTAAATAAATGTTTTTAAAAATACAATGGGGTGCCGACAAGGGGAATAAATACATCTAATATTATGTAATCATTACAAAGAATGCAAATGAAGTTTATAGACTTTTTTCCTAAGATCACTTTAATTTTAACGCAATACTCCAACAGTTAAGCCCTTTAAATCCCACCCACTAATTATTCCATATTACTTCTCTCGGACCACGAAAACCCCCTGAAAAAGTCACACTTGGATCACTATCTACAAATATCTGGTATTCATGCTCGGATAAAATTTAACTGCTTCGTCGCGTCAACATGGTTTAGGGCCACATCTCCATACACACGGAGAATACCTTACAAGGAAGAAAGCCACCATTATGTGTACCCGTTTTGTTATAGCCTGTTACGTAATGATGATAAACTTGGAATTTTTACATCCCCAGTCGCTGTTCCTCCCAGAAGATTTCCGATGTGAGGAGAGGAGAGATATGAAGATTGCCGAAAAGTTAATTTTTTTCGAAAACAAAATTAAAGTGCTAGAGAACCAAATCAGAAGGATTAATGCAAAGAAGGTGGAAGGTATGTTATCGAAATTATTTTATTTCATTTGAAATTAAAGTTTAGAAGAGTTTAAAAAATATTAGTAAGAAAATCTCCAATAACTAAATGGATAAAGTTTGTTCACACATGTGATAACAATTTCCATTTTATATGTAAATAAATTTTCTAGACCATTTTATTTTTACCCATTATATATACGAGACATACAACATACTCTTCGGGTGAAACACAATAAAGGGGACAGTAAGGTTGCACTTGAGGGTAAAAAATTAATGTCTTTATTTTGACCCAAAATCGTTTTTTCTAAAAAGTAGATTATCTCAAGGATCTGAAACATAAACGGTTTTGTGAAATTCACATTAGAACTTTTTTTTACAAGCTGATAATAACCTCATTTACACAGGTTACGGACACTACAAGTGTTTTTCACAGGCTTGAGGATGAAGTTTTTGTTTTTCAGCCCTTTTCCTAACTTTTTTCAGGATTTTATTTGTCGTTTCTGTTTCTCCCGATTTTTTTTATTCTTAAGATCTCAACTTCATCTGATAAAAGCATACCATAACCAATATACTTTGAATAAATATATACACATGAAACTTTATACAGGTGTTATGTGCAAGTAGAAAAGTCAAACCTTGAAGAATAAAGCTCACTTATATTTCTTTAATTTATTTTTTTTATTCTATGAAGCATTCTATTTTTCTTAAAACAGTTAAATATACAATAATTTATCTGAAATTGGTGTAATTTTAGTTGTTTTCTTTTTTGAATTTTTTTGCAGTGTCCATAACCAAATTACTTCCCTACTGTTTAACATTTTGAATGCAAATTTACTTGCATTTAACACATTTTATGATATTACCTATTTAGCAACTAGACAATGAAGCAATATATTACAAGAAATATGGGTTATGTAACTCATGATAATAAATTTTAACTATTTTTATGTCATTTTGGGTGTCCAGTCATTATTTAAAGTACTAGCAGTAAAGAAAAAAACCACCTAATCTAAAAGAATTCCAGCCAATAAACACCTTTTTATCTCTAAATTTAATAATACACTGGTTCAAAAATTTATCTGTAAATTTTATGGAGAAAAAAATAAAGATATTCATTTTTCAACTTTTGGGTTACGGACACTACACTATACAAGGTATTTAAAATAGGATGAAACTTAACCTTAAATAGAGGAATTCTAACAAGATTTTCTTAAATGTAACACCAATTGACTTAAACAATGAAAAAATAATGAAATGCTATTTGATTTAAATCCTAGGATGTCAATAGCATCTGCCAATATCAAGGTGATGTAACACCAAGGATCTTGTATATGGAATGGTGCAATCTGGGTTTCCCAAATTAGTTGCATTATCAAAATGATGAAGAAAATAAAGAACATTGATTAACTTGTTAAACAAACCTCTGACCTTTGTGAATATACTAGCATTAGTGTTTTAACACAGCCTGTTTCAAACTGCCTCAAGTACAGGTTACGGACACTACAGGATTTTGTAGTGTCCGTAACCACATTTGTGATCATAACAGAGAAACAGTGGTGATGATCAGGAAAATTACAACACAGCTCAGCATCTATATGAAATGCTTCTGTAGGAAATTTGTTAAGATATTTATAGAGCCTTCCAATTTCACAGAATTTAAGTGGTTACGGACACTACAGTTTTTTGTAAAAACTTAATTTTCCACATTAAAACATTAAAACATGATGTAACAATGGTTACATAACCCAACTTTTTTTCTGTAAGTAACAGAGCATTAATACTGTGTTTTTAGACAGAAATCTGAAGAATTAAGTAAAATGGACATTATTTTTATTTGGCACAATGAGAGGGGTAAAATTATGTGAAAAATGTATAACATTGCACCCCTGTTACATTTTCTTTCATATTTTCAAAAGTTGGTATTCAATTCTGAAAATTCAAGCACCAAAATAATTTGTAAAATAAATTCTAAAGTCTGATTATGATCATTGGCATGAAAATGTATGATATTTAACAATTATTTCAATTGAAAAATGCTGTAATTTCAAAGCGCAACCGCATAACGCTGTAAAATAGTCATTTTTGGGATACATTTTTTGCATTTACTTAAATTCTGTTAAGGCTAGATCAACAAAATTTTGCACACAAGTCCTTTATAAGTATTCCTATAAATGAATTACAGTAAATTGCAAGTAAAGAAAATAACATTTCTTAAAATCATGTATAACAATGTGGTATTCTAAATGCGCCCTATATTGTGTTTCACCCGTCTTGGGTTTACGTTGGTTGTTTGTTAATGTAATTTACACTGCAAATAAAAAGGTAATGATTTATGAATTCAAAACTTGGATGCATTTTACCCAAATGGAAAAACGAATTATATCAATACAACAAAAACTTCACTTTGGGAGAAAGGCTAATATTTTTGTCAACCGCTAGACTTATAAAATTAATATTTTAATCACTGACTTTAAATTTGTTTTCAGATCCTGTCAGGTTGATGGGTAGGGAGTTTTACATGGTTTTCCCGCCTCTGTTTGCTGATGATGGACGTAGCTACTGTGTTTTGTACATCGTGTCCACTAGCCCTGGTACCTGTACGGTGGCACTACCGCTGCTGACTATACGATACACCCTAGAACTTAAACAAGGTGAAAATCATCTCTTTCTGCCATCTTCCTACATGGCCCTTGAAAATCAAGTGGAGAAAAAAGGAGTCCACATTGAATGCGATGTTTTCGTTAATGTTTATGCTGTTAAACATGATAAGTTCACCACAACGGCGTTTTTAGTTTTACCTATGCATTCTAGATTTCATTATAAATACAGATACATCCCTTCTATTCAACCAAATCCTGTGTCTGTGGCATATTCTCATCTTTACAATAGTACAATATCTATTGTGTCAAGTGGTGATAACAATGTAGTGAAAATTCAGCTAAACTTGACAGAAGGTGAATCAATTCACATCGACGATCAAGAATATGCCTATAATGAAAGTATTCATCTTATTCTGAACAAATATGAATCATTAGTAATATCACAAAGTGCAGATTTAACCGGAAGTACGATATCTTCCATAGACCCCATATTTGTTGCAACTGGAAACAAATGTGCGCGACTTCATGATGATAATGCCTGTAGTGGAATGAACTTCATGATTCCATCGGATAATTCTGACCAGGAAGTAAATTATGATTCTGAACACGTGTTTATTACACCTCTCTTTCATCCATTCTTAAGAGGATATAAAATCAGGATATTATCCAGGAAAAATGACTGTCGGATACAATATAATATAGGGCAAGAAAATAAAACCCAGACCCTCTTTGTTCAAAATAATTATGTGGATATAGACGTGGATTCAAATGTTCCCGTTTACATCCGGACGAGCCGATTTGTGTCGGTGACTGTGATCACGCCAGGAAAGAACAATACGGACGGAATAGGAACAGCCTTTATGTTGTATATTCCGGAAGAGGGCGCCCTTCTGTCAGAGTACCACTTCACTGTACCTGATCTCAATACAACAAGTTATATAACTGTTATAAGTAGAAACGTATCAAATATAAGACTGGACGAAAATATTATAGATGTTAATCGAACACTTATTTATGACATCAATGAAAAATCATATGACGTAATATCCTTACCAATTCAGCCGGGTTATCACGTGGCAAGAAATGTTTTGAAAGAAACTTTTTCTTTGTACGTTTATGGAAAACAGAAACCAAATCTTGGATACGGTTTTCCAGCAGGATTTGATTTGAGTAATAAATTATGAAAAACTTTTTTCTTAAACTTAATTATTTTCTCCAATTAAAGTAACCACTCTTACTGCAAACTTAAGTGAGAACTGATTAGAGATATAGAATTACAGTTACGAATGGTGCTATATTTATATTTGTACATACAAGCAAGTTATTTTCCTAGGGATTATATCGATATACAGCAGAAATACGGGCATGTCAACATACACCATAATTAAGTTGAAATATACGAATTGATAAGAATAAGAAAAAATTCTATTTAATATAAAACTATAGACCACAGACGAGATGCAGTTCTTAATGTTGACATTACACTCATTCATGTTGGCATAATTTTAAAGAATTTTGAAGATTGCCTCACTTTAGTTACTGGTTTTGAACAAGGCAGACGGGGAATTCGAAATTCCTATTTAGGCCCTTTATTACATCAAGATTGGTTGAAAATGGCACCGCCTTTCTGAAGAAGCTAAAATCTAATTTATTATTGGCCAACACGACCTGAGTGACTCACGAGACTTAGGAATAGACTTCGGAATACGAATTAGCAATTATTGTATAACTATCAAAGTCTGACCATTATATTTCTGCTGTAATTCTCGATGTAAATCTTTGACCAATCTTGGACTGGATTTGAAAATCGATTCAAGAATAGATGGCAATACGCTACATTGTAAAAATATTTTGCATCATAAAAATTTATAATCATTGATGACACATGGATAAAAACTGAAAAATGTATTCAGTATACCAATATAAATTCTTCTTTTATCAAAATAATTACATTTTCCGTGTTTTAACATGAATTTAAGTTGTAAACATTGCAAATGACCCCCAAAACTTACACTTGTGCAGATACAAGAATGAATAAATTGTTGAATTCTTTATAAATGTACGTCATGTAAAAACAAATCATAACACCTTAGGCATCGATCCTATCGCAGAATTTCGACGGAAAACAAAGAAATACATAGATATACATTGTACGTAAGCGCTGATTCATTGTGAATTAAAATGCGTATATAACATCCTAAGGTACATTTTACGGAGAGAGGTTATTGCATTCTTCGTATGCTTCTCCACTTGGTCCAAAGGGCAGTTAATTTGAAGTTAAGTAAATATCTTTCTTGATAATTGGAGATTTCAAGCCTTATTTTTTTTTCCATGGAAAATTGTTATAAAATGACGTCTGTAAGGAAAAAATCTATTTAAACAGTCCTGCCTTTTAAAAAAAAATGTCACTTCTATATCCCACCAATTTTAATGTTTTCAAGAACTGCAGAGACAATTTCTTGGTGGTGGTTCAAAAACATCTACACGAAAAGAAAAAATCATTTGCCATGGTCCCCAACTCAACTTTTCGATGATGTTTTATCAATTAACAATCGCATCTATCTAGCTCTGTAAGGAGAATAAAGATTTTTTCAATTCTTTCTGTATATCACTGTAAACATGTTGCTGTCTCTCTTCCAGTCGCAGCTTTTGCAATATCCATGCAGTTGTACGTGTTACTCCTTTGCTTATGATGCATTCTTACATATATACTTTTCACAAGTAATAGATCTTGATGATCTTTCCCCACTTCTCGCCGACTGATATTTTTTGTAATCCTTCATTTCGCAACATGTCAAGCGCTTTTTAAGTGCAATTTTGAAATCATGACGTATCTTGCCGTCTTTAAGTTTGACCACGTTATTTTTTACTTTCTTCTCGTATTTCCCAATGTGACACGAAGTTAAAGATTGATAGAAGCTTGTACTAGATGGTGATAATAGTCAACTTCGGTACCTCATCCAGGATTGGAAAATCATGAAGATGGTTTTGTAAATACTAAATAAGAAGATGACCATGTTTATTTCTTCTGTCAGACTTCATGGACTTCAAACCAGTTTGTGTAGACCCGAGGGAATATTCTACGCGAACAAATTACACCATCTTGTTCTTGAAGACTGGCGAGTTTTCTGTTTGATACTTTCAATGAAAAAAATAAAACCTCATCACAGGTATGATGCAAGTAAAAATATCTGCATTGCTTCAGAATGTCCGCAATCATAATCGACAATCTGCAGTATTGACGTAATGAGAATATTAAAAGATTTTTACCGAAAATCATTATGTTTAAATCTGAAACCATTATTTCGTCTTATCCTGTTAACGATGACGACCAGGCTTTGAAAAAAAAAGAATCATAAATCAAAGAAATCTTGACCACATACATGTACGTGGTTGTTTTTTCCTTATATAGATTTTTGAACTAGCCTCAAACTGCTTTCACCTGTTTTTGAAAATTACATCATATGGAAAAGCTCATGCTGTCCAGTAATCCTTAAATCCAAGGATGCCGTTTTGTTAATGTTCGGACAATTTCAAATTCTTTTCTAGAAAGTCTGGACCAAAGTCTACCCTTTTTGTACATATTAAACCTCATATGAACATAAAATGTGAAATGCATAGTTCTCGTCTCCCGGTGCTTGAGACAAAACCATCAAAATCTTTTTTCTGTTTGCAAAATGATAATGTGGCTAGCCAACTATTTAAATTGTTATGTTTAATATTACCTTGACCCTTTTGTTGTGATCCTTGAATGGATCAAGTGGGTTATGCATTGAATAGTTTTGATGATAAGCAAGAGAGTACGCGTTTTCGAAGAGTGCATGTATTCATCAAGAGTGTATGCGTGATATGACATTCCACATTTTGCCAATAAATGTAGAACACGAATTATATATTTTTTGCATATAAAGAAGACACAGTTGTCCCGGGCCTTTTTGGCCATAAGCGCCTCCAATAATCATTCAATTATCCCTAAGTCCCGCTGGTAGATCAGCCTTTCAAGAATACCTGGTCCATTGTGTAAGAGGAAAATATTAAAACGCATGGTCATTTGTAGCTTTTTATATATCATTCAGATTAAGGCTTATGAATCCAAACTTGTTTTCGTGCCTTTCTATAGGAACAGATTAGGCGGTACTTGGTTATCCCTGATTACGGGCGACAGGCAGTGACGGGTGTGGGTATCCACCCTACATTTATTCAGCCTGCAAATTAATCACTGCATTGCAAAAATGCAGGCTACAGAATTTATATTCCTTTTGCTGATGCCCATAGTTATCTGTAGTGAATTCAAAGGCGGAACTATTTCTTGGAGGCCTACATCCTCACCGCAACAGGTTGGATGTTTTTCATATCTATATTTATTTTACAAGTAAAACAAAGCTACATGACAGTTTGGACTTTTTGCAAAAATGATATGAATGTTTGAGCAGTAGAATATTAAGAAAAATGAAATGCATTCTTTGCTTTTAAAATGGAAATAATGTTGCAACTGTTGCAGAAAAAAACGTAACCCGCGAAAATGGGTTATATACATGCAAATGTTGCAATCTAGAACAAATTCTCTAACCACTGCACCACGGGTGAGACTTCCATTATCAGTAAAGTAAAACAGATGTTCACTGCCTAATATTTCTTTTTAATTTCGAGCTCACTGGAATATATCGAGTCGACATGAAAGTAATAATAATTTTTGTCAATTCATAAAACGATTTCGATATACAAATAAAAAGTCTAATTGATGGCCAAAGGAATACTTTTCTTCTCTTGTATAAGTTTTCAAATAAATTTTTTGCTTCACGAGAATTTAAGAAAATGTTTGAGAACACAACGAAATATCATTTTAAATTGTAATTGTATATCTTAAATGTAATTTAACTATATATGTTGTTACATTGGGGTGTGTGAAATTGAAAAAAAATAATAGCGATAAGGAACAAAATTCAATCTCAAAATTCTATTCCAACTATATATTGAAATCAAGAGCAGAGAAAAAGGGATATCTAAAGCTCAGGTGGGATGAGGTGCCATGGTGGAGTTATTAAGCATTAAATGTCATTGTATCGACCATAGAACTCGCAATGGAATATCTTCAAAGGTAACGGTTCGTTCATATTCTTGTTTCATAAACTTAATAAACTTGGTGTAATCATTACAGATAGAAATTTCCTATCGTATGGTTTGGAGTCGTTCGAATATTGGAGCCAGTTGTGACGACAGCAAAATATCTTCCCAAGGACTGATAACAGTTGATGGTAACCTCTATTGCAGGATGGGCTGCGACAAGCAGATCAGCTCAATGCATGGGAAATGTATTGCTTACAGTTCCAGGGAAGACTGGTCCTTAGGAGAAGGGTCCTTCATGTTTACCCTTCCTACTCCGGAGATCAACTATGTATTTAGGTATAGACTGAGCATAAGATTATTTCTATGATGTGTTACACCTTAAAGGAATGGAATAAGCCAGATTAAATACAGACTTAGATGATATATCTAATAAATAAAAAATACACTTAATATATTTTATTTTATTACTGAATCAAGGATTGATTTATTCAAACAATTTGTACCATGATAATTTCGTGCACAAATGTCATCCTTATATTATGAATTCACGACAACAAACTTTATCTATAAATATTTAAATTATAATACAAAAACTAAAAGTTGCCTCTTCTTTTCCAGGATGGAGCAGTGTTGTTGGCAGACTTTGGCTACTGGTGTTCCATCAAAGGATATAAGAATGACAATGACAGTTAACACAGCACCGAGGACCGACACAGGGGTCCTCAACTCCTCCCCTGTTGTTACCATGGCGCCAATAATTCGGCTCCTCAATAATTGTCCACATACATTCAGAATTCCAGGTATTGTGCTAATACCTTAAAATATCTTGCTGGAATATAAATCTAATTCACATCGAAGATCCGCTTTGATTTAAGAAATTAAAATAGGAATTTATATTTTTAAAACTTCTCCAACTTTGCGGTGAATTATCCCATTCTCGTCAATTGAATATTGAAAACATACTGAACATTACATTGGTTACCATACACCATATTTCGAAGGCAACAAATTCTCTAATCAAGCTTTCAATAAGTTTAAAACTGGCTCCTACGTTTTATCCTTGTGTAGTCGTTTCTAGTTCTGATGCATTGCATGGTATAAAAGTGTACGTTTTGTTGCAGTACTCGATCCTGATGGGGATATTGTCCGCTGTCGTTTTCCCAACAAAAGCAACACAGATGAATGTGGGTATCTTTGTAATGGACTTTTGGAAACTGCAATAGATAACTTAAAGGTTGGTAAAGATTTTTTTTTCAAAAAAACATTGAACATTTCGTATTAAAGGGTTTGCCATAAAAATACTATTTAAGAAAAAATCATCCTCTGTTTACAAGCATTTAGTTTCAATTTGTTGGCAGAATTTCTTATGAAATTTTATCCTAATTTTATCCTCAATATTTAAAAATATTCCAGTAGACCAACTTGTTAATGCTGACTTTACTTTGTTGAAAAAAAGAAAATGGTTATAGATGTGGTCTTCTCTGTGACAAGATAAAGAAGAAATACTCCTAGTTCGCGCTAATGGCATGGTCCTTCTTAATAAAGTGATATGCCCTTTAATTTCGCATAATTTCGACTATGATAATTAAGTTGTATACATGTTTCAATAAATTTCAAGAAAAGAGTCTCAAAAGAAAATATCCATTCATTTAAACACAAGCTGGGAAATGTTCGTACGTGGATTAGAAGGTGTACACAAAGATTTCACATGTGATTGTCTTCGGTTTTCATGAAGTGTGTGATGAGAGGTTATTTAGATTCCTTTCTCATTGATCAAAATGATTTTTGAATCATTATCTTTTCTCTGATATCAGAAAAAAATATACATCAAAATATACAGTCATGTATTTCGTGATATCAAAAATAAGTTTGATATATTGAATTATTGATATTAAAACAATTCTGATATCAAAATTTCGATTTTTGAAATCAGGAATTTTTGATAGAGGAAAAAAAAAGAAATATTTCTTTATTTTTTATATATCAAAAATTAATTACCTGAAATCAAAATTTCGAATTTCTGGTTTCAAAATTTCGATAGCAGAAAATATTTTTGATATAAGAAAGTTATTATAACGGCGCCTCATGGTAATACTTATCTGAAGTATCATTTCAACAACAATTCTGTAATTGGGAAAGCTGGTATCTATGCATGCAATTTTTCAAGTTAAACAATCCTTGATTTTTTTCTTTTTACAACCTAATCAGTCATTGTTCTTTGAAATTATTTCTGTAGGACACATGCATGTTTTCTTATAACCCGACCAAAACCGGAACTTTTGGTGTCCACGTACAAATCGAAGACTTTTCGACCAGGCCTGCGGCAGCTGTCCTCAGCTCGGTTCCACTTCAGTTTTTGATAGAAGTGTTTGACGACGACCTACTGACGTGTACTGACGCTCCTGTCTTTGTTGCTCCTACTCCTATGGATGGCAGTTGTTACGTAGTTTCTAATACGTTCACAAAGGTGCTTGTGGCCAGGACTGCAAGTGCCTCTCAGACGTAAGATTATTAGACATTTTTTAAAGAGAGGTATCTCGTTATGAATGCAGAGGGGTTTTTAAAAACAATGTATTTGTATTAAAAGACATTCACAGATCTAGATTTACCTTATAGACCTAAAAAGTAGGAAACAATAAAATGGGTTTGTAATGTATATGAAATATTGAGTCAAATGCTGACTGACGTTTTTCTTACTATAGTTGTTAGTCCATTATTTATACACTGAATTGACGAAAGATTTTTCTGTTATTTCCCGACCATGACGAAGAGCACACGGCGGGTGTGACCGGTCAGCAGGGGATTTTCACTCTTCCATTGCACCTGATCCCACCTCTGATGGTTTTGAGGTCCATGTTTGCTCTGCTCCTATTTTGTATTGTTTTATGAACTTTTGATCTTGAATACTGTATGTTATCTCCATATGTTTCATACAAAACCAGAAAGGAAATTTAAGACAAAAAGCGAAAGGGCTGGTGGAATAAGATGAAATTACCACCAAAATACTTGTACACCAATCCATGTTGCATCCATACATTTGTTTGGAGCATCTGTCCTAAGGAGGAATTTATAATAAGGTTTCTTTCGTCTTGCTTTTATGTTATAACTTTTTTTTAAAGTCGCCCGTGTGGCGCAGTGGTAAGAACGTCTGCTCTAGAGTCGCAAAGTAAGGAGTTGATCCTTACGTCGAGGGTTTGAATCCCACTGTGGGACGTAGAGACTCTTCGAATGAGACCGTATAAGCCGAGGTCACGTGTCGCAGTACATGTAGGTGCTAGCATGCCCAAAAAGATCCTTTAAACAACTTACAAACAAACATTTAAAATTGGGGATCAGAATTTCCTGCTTTCCTGCTATCATTATTTTTTTCTTTTATATTAACAGTTAGTCTTTTACTTTTATTATCATATGGTTTGAATATTGTTTATTTAAAGGATAACAAAAATATCCACAATTGGACCGGTAGGGACTACGAAGACCAGTCTGTCCCGCTATGGTAGTTCTGGTAGAGAATGGTCAATAACAGTCACTTGGACACCAACACAGAGCCAACATGGCCTTCATCAGCTTTGTTTCAGTGCAGAAGTTAATAATAAGTAAGCATTGTTTGTTTGTTTTTTGATAGAGGATATATTCAAAGTACTTATGGACCAACTTATTAGCCAACGAAACAATTGGATGTGTATTCTTTTGAATGAATATCTCTAAACCGTACAGTGTTTTATCTTTAGTGTATATCATAGTTCAACATGTCAAATGGCACCTGAATCAACCTCTGATTTTTCACAGTCCGTATTTGTTATACTAAAATAATTTGTTGCAGAAGAGATTTTTTTTTTAAAATTGACTACTGTTCGATATCTTCACAACTCTTATGTTAAATCATTTCACTTTAAAATGTTTTAAATTGTTATTAACTTCGTTTAATTTCAGATTAACTTCAAGCATGAACTGTGTTGAACTTCTGAAAGGAAGTACGTGGAAAGGATGAAATTTCAAAAAAAAATAAATAAATAAATAAATAATGACAAAAGATTGAATATTCATTTATACATAATAGTATATACGTAACTCTCATTTCTTTTTTTCACCGTCTGCCTGAGTAGAAATTTTACGATTCATACTTTTATATTATTTTTAAAAATATTTATACATATAATTAAGAAGAATTATAATATTCCTGAATATTATTTTACATTTTCTATATATTATTTCTTTCATATTCACAACTGATTATTTATAATTAATTTCTAGCCCCACCCGCAGTAGAGCTCGTTAAAGGATGCTTAACGCCTTTTGGTAAAACTTGGGATAAAATCACTACTACGTTAAAGATGTGCTTTAACAGAAAGGTAAGCTATTGTTTTGAACATAGTTTATTGATATTAATCAAAAGGATTGGAAACAAATTCTAAATAACTTAGTTAATTCCTCTCCTTGCATGTAAGCTACGAGTATGTAACTGGGATCAAGGTACATATTACTTGCAAAAGCAAAGTTTATAGGTTTATGTTACAAATATTTCCTTTTGTAGTTTGTTCGACCAAAAACAGACAAGTTTCTTACAATACATCATACCAATGGAACCGTGGTACACAGACTGAATCTGGCGGATCCAGCAGTGGCCTCCTTCCCGGACTCAGGCGGGAGGGAAGTCACCATCACATTAAAGGGAGCACCTGGTAACTCTGATTTTTAAGTTGTTTAAAACAGTTCTTCTGTTTAAGGACAAACAAACGTATGTCAAAAATTTTGAATATAACAACTTGGGTCATGTTTTAATGAATAAAATGAATAAGTATTTTTTAATTTTTTTTTCAAAGTTCCACAAAAATGATATTTAAAGTAAAAAAATACTTGAATAGAATAATGAATGTGGTTTCAGAAAGGTAGAATTTTTAACACCACAGGCTTACAATTTCTTTAAACACTGTACAACTGTATTCTAGAAATTTATCATTTGCAATGAAATAAGGTTAAAAAAAATACCAATCCAGCAATCCATTTTTTGTTGAATCATTATTCCTTAAGTTAAAAGATTTCTTTGCAGAGTCCAGTAATTTACCTGCTGGAGAATACTATGTTCTCGTGGAGTCAGGTAAGACGCCATTTGTTTATATACATATACCATTATTCAATTCTTGCCATTCGTTCTTTTCATTCCAAGAATTAAAAAAAAAATTGCAAAACATCAATATTGCCCTATTGGAAAGAACTGTATTGTTTTCTAAATCAAACAGGTTGATTAAAGTAATCAATTCATTTGATTTCCGAAATTTTGTGCGAAAGCTTAATCACTACTAACCTGCAGTTTGTCATTATCAGGAGCAGTTGCGGCGGACTCTTTGAGCTGTACCACAGACTGGTCTGGAATCGCACAGCCTTTCTTCTGGAATTTTACTGTCGGTAAGAACCTTCAAACACTTTGTTAAACTTAAACAGAACCATTAAAATCTAAGGTAAATTTATATTTTTTAAATACACTGCAAATTAGTAGATTGTTATCAAACATAACTGTCTTTTACCTGATATTTTGTCTTTTTTCGGTTTGGTGGGTTCAGTTCACTGGGAGACAGCAGCTGGGTCTGTTCCTTTTGACCCTGGTTTTAACCCTGAATTTGACCCTGGTTTCTTTGATGTGGAACCGCCAACTCTCACTTTTACCTCTAATCCTTCGGAGACCAAAGGCAACGCCTCTATCACGTGGAGTGTCAGCGAACCTCTTGCAGTTTCCTCCTGTGCCATTACATATCCAAACAAAACCGAGTCAGATGAACTATGCTTTGGTCAGTGGGAGTTACAGGACTTACCCCCTGGTCCGTATCAGATCAGCATCACCTTAGTGGATCAGGCTGGTCTTCAAGGAGGACCCTTTCTTCACATTTGGACTAACAGTATATAATTATTCTTACATATGTTGCGATTGAATCACTATTATTAATGCAAATGTATCTATGTTGTCGATAAAAAGGCAATTTCTTAGGTACTGCAGAAAAAATCGCTAAATTGTAACGTGTTTGCCTGACACGTATATGTCCTCTGGGTCTAGGACTCCCCTCAGATAACTTGCTGAGGTATTTATTATTTTGATAGGAACTTATTTACATTTACATGTACATTGTATACAAATATCGGGTTCTTCTCTAGCATACAAATAGATAAAGTGATTTAATCAACTGTCTCGTCCTCAAGGGGACTTAATACTAAAGAGACTTCCCGAAACGCCTTCAGAAACAACCAAAGCGCTGGCACGTCACATAAGCTTCTACCAGAAGCGACCGGTTACTTCTACTGATAATTCATACAAGGACTGCATGCAACGCTCAGGTAGACTGTTGCACAGGTAACATACTGTTCTGCAAATCGCTGAACAATGTTGAACTACGAACAGATTTACCAAATTACCAAAATCTCGCTTGCCGTCTTCTTTTTCTGCCTAAAACACTGGCACTCTTTTAGTGACTGACTCAAATGAGTAAAGAAAACTTACATATACTCTGAGTTTGTCATATACGACATATTATAGACAAATTCTCATTTACAATGATTCAAATACCGCCAATTTCTTCTTCAAAGTTAGCTGCATACTCATGTATAACATCAATAACAAAACAATTTACAATTCTTTAGTCTACAAATCGTCTAACTAATTTTAAAACTCCGCTTTCTTACAATAATTTTGATTTTAACCCCATTCTCCTACTTAATAAAATAAATAACCCCCATTAACTCTTTTCTCGTCACCCAGTATTGCATTTCAGACTTCGTAAATGTTTTGCTAACGTAGGCAATCGCTCTTTTTTACCATCATGCACTTGCGACGATACTGCTTTCATGGCAAAATTACTTGCGTCCGTGTTCATTATGAATGTCTTACTTAAGTCGGGTTGTGCAAGAATGGGGGCACTTGTCAATGGAGTCTCTAACTTATCGAAAGAACTTTGGCATTCCGCACTCCAAACAAAGAATTTGCTTTATTCTTGACTATTTGTGAAGGGGTTTTGCTATACTCGCAAAGTCCTTCACAAACTTCCTGTAGTAGCTACATATATCAAGGAAAAGTGTACATATACAAAATTTGTGTCTCACATTGGCTGGCAGGATTTGTCTGTATCCCTAGATCTGCTTCAGGAATCTTCCTTGAAGGGTAGAAATACCTGTGTTCTCAGATATGGAATGTGTGCTCATGTACGACATTGGCAAAACCAGGAACACTTCTTGCTCTTCAATTTTTACCCTGCGCGTGTCTTACTAATGATATCTTCCAAACCAAAGTTTCATACAGGAAGATGTAGGAGAATATTTTCTAGAGTGACTGAGTCAGTGATCGATTCATTGAATGATTGATTTTGTTTTACGTCCCTCTCGAGAACTTTTCACTCATATGGAGACGCCATCACTTACCAGCGGAGAGCTACAAATTCAGTTACAAATATGCACGACACTCAGAGCCATTGAGCAGTGAGGAGTCTTTTTATTGCCAGCACCTACTGTGACACGGGACATCGGTTTATACGGTCTCATTTCCTAGGACCGGTCTCCTTAACCTAGCTGCGTGCACACTAAATCAACCAAAAATATTCCAAGTTTTGAAGATCCAAGCATGTGTCACACGGGTTACTAGTAATTTCTAGAGTCGGAGATGTGCAGCTAGGTTTACTCCCATACTTAAGTAAAATAAACTTTTCAAACAATTCTTGATATAAGTAAGATCACGTGTGACATACCTTATTAAATAAGTTAAGTATGTCATGAAATTTTAACGTGAATGAAAATAAAATTATGTGCCCTTATGAGGAGTATCAGGTTAAGTTTACTCAGGTTAGGTTTTGGACTCATTGGCCATTTCTTACAATTATATAGCTAATGCATTTATTTCAGTTGACGTTACACCTCCAACACTTACTTTTAGGCGGAAACCAAGAAGGTCTCTCAGCAAAGCTAACATCACATGGGTCACTAGCGAGGTCGCTACTGGGGTTTGTGAGATTTCAGGTCCCTCCTTCTACCGCTCAGTGGTCTGTGATCAAGCTTGGAGCGAGGACTATCTACCACAAGGAAACTTTGTCCTGAAAGTCCTAATCTATGACGAGTCTTTAAACATGGCAGGCCCTTTCCAACATACGTGGTATAACAGTAAGTTATTGGTAATGTACTTAGTTTAGAAATGAAGAATCAAGGTCCAAACACGTTAATTTCTTTCAATAATTGTCATATTTAGCCACTAAGTCAAGAAAATGCATTTTTCTTTAAAAAATTATTTCAGACATACCTCGAATCTCCCTTTCGTGGAATACTTGTGAACTCTCAAACTTGGGTGAAAATTCTTTTAATCCTATTTATACCTGAAATATATTTCTTTAATTTGGAATATCGTTCGGCTTAAAAGTGCTTAATATTCCACTTCTAGATGAAAAGAAAACAAAAGAAGAACGATGTTCTTTTATTAGGAAATATACAAGTACTTCTGTTATCATTGTCAATTATAATGATTATGCAGTAATTGTTTTATAAAATAATGATTTTTTTTGTTATTATAGGGGACGTTAAACCCCCAGAATTGAAGTTTACAAATACACCAAACTGTCATAAATCAACGGATAATGCAACGATTACGTGGACATTCAACGAATTTGCTATCGCAACGTGCATTATCGAAACATCATTTGAACGTCAGATACTTCCTAGCTGTAACGGTAGTTGGACCGGGACTTTTTTGCCAGAGGGAAATGTAACGTTAGAGATTTCAGCAAGGGATAATGCAAGAAATTCCGCCCCAAATTACAAATACACGTGGTACAACAGTAGGTTATTTTATTTTTTTTCTGCTATCGTTGACTTGAGATTCATTTGCATGGAACTGCATTGGAATATTTGTCATAGCTGAATTCTTTGACTGCGTAGATTGGAGTTAAGTTTGCTTTGATATCTTTAATTAAAATGCATCTTTAGAATAATAAAATAAAATACATGTATTTAAGAATATCACTCTTAACACAAAGGTTTGTATATTATTAATGGATGTTTGGGAAATCACAGCTGACAGGTTTTTTTTTTTATCCATTTCAATAGAGGACGCCACTCCCCCTGCTCTTACCTTTACACAAAGCAGTCTCCTTACAATAAATGACGCAAAAATCACTTGGTATGTCAATGAGCCAGTATCTGCAACGTGTACATTAACCACGCCCGACAACGAAAAGAAGGAGTTCTTGTGTAATTCTGGTACCTGGTCTGGTAGCAGTTTGCAGGGAGGAACTCACAAACTCAGCATTCGTGTAGTGGATCTAGGGAACAACACAGCTGGACCTTTTATACATAGCTGGCAAAATGGTATGTCTTTATGTAGGCAATAATTAAGTAAGGTGACATATTATTACAATATCTCTCTTTTCAAAGTCTGAAATTTATCACTCTTAAATAATTATTGAAACAAAGCAGTTTGAAATATTCTTTAACAGTTTTCTCGGTTATTCAAATCTTTGTAAAAACAAGTTAACCAAGAACACAAAAAGTGAAATGAAAAAAAAAGTAAAATGCCATACAATTTTGGAAATTTAAAAAAATAAAAATTGGATAATTCCTTTAGGTTTAACTAAAAATTTTTTCTAAAGTAGAAGTTTTGATAAACTTTTTATTCAGACTAATAATTATGTTTAGTTGATACTATCCGACCAAGGCTGGCATTTTCTAAAGAACCTTCTAGAACCTACAGTAATGCCACAATAACCTGGACTGTCACAGAACCTGTAAAGGCCAGCTGCGTCGTGAGTGGTCCCTCCAACTTCTACCGAAAACTGTCATGTGATGGAGAATGGAGGGGCGTGTTACTTCCGCCAGGATCGTTTAAACTCGTGATCACGGTCACAGACTCTTCAGGAAACTTTGGAGGGCCATATGTACACACATGGATTAATGGTATACTTAGTATTATAAAGCATATTTTCAATGCCCCTGCTTTTCAATGAGTGAAAGTATCGTTGTTTTAGCTGGGACATTGGATATGCAATGCGTAATTAGCTATTCCTATTCAATAAAAATTATACCTGGAACTTACTACTACAAATGTACTTGTATATAGTATACATAAGCCGACAAAGTTCATGCAAGTGTAGTTACAACATTATCATACAATACTATATGTATAATGTAATTTTCATTATTTTACATGAAAAAATTCATTATCGAATTGTGGAAAATGCGAAACTTAATTAAGTATTATTCACAATTGAACTCTGAAGACGAAAGTATATCAAATTAGAATATCATTTTTCAGAGGATGTGTCACCTCCCTCTCTCCAATGGATTGGTATACCGCCATTAACAACTGCCGGAAGTATGATGCTGTCCTGGACAACAAACGAGGAAGTGACGTCAGTTTGTTCGGTTCGGTCTCCGGTACAGTCGAAAGAGGTGTCTTGTAATAACAAATGGGTCGGAACAGAACTTCGGAATGGAGAGTATTCTCTAACGGTCAATATGGTGGACGGATCCGGAAATAAAGCACAAGCTGTACATCGGTGGATTAACAGTACATACATTTTATCTTGCACCTTTGCATTTTATACACAATACAGATCAAGTATAATGAAGATCAGTTTTGAAATGAATCACTAAAACAATTTGGCTGTTTTTGTCATTTATCAAGTTTTTTTCCTATTGTTAAGCACAATAATTTAAATAAACAGTAATTAAATTTGCTGTGTATTTTCAGTTGTTAAGGAGTTAGTGTATGAAATCATGTTAACCTTGTCCAATGTTAACGTGGATGATGTTGCCAACAAGGCATCACCAGAGTATACTAAATTACTGGCGGAGAGTCAATTGGCGGTAAATAGTGTATTGAACAAACATCGTACTCTCGCGAAGAAAATTTTATTTTAGTTTTGAATGCAAATTGAAATGACGAAGTATATTAAAATTCAATGTAGTTTGCTGTAAATGTTGTTTCTTTATGCTTACACAGAACAGATTGTTTAAATTCATCAGAATTTATTTATTAATCATTCAACTTTAATGTAAATATAATAGAAACTTTGTTTTAATAATTTCAGTTAGAAAACTTCTACAGATCAAAAGTCAACAATTTCAAAGCCATTCATATTAGAGACATTATCGTAATGTAAGTAAAATGCAATTGGATATGGTAATACTCAATTTATGTTGATGGCAACATATTTCTATCTCCATAATTAAATGATTTCTCGTAGAATTCGTTGTTTGAATCCAATTGTATCAAATTTAGAGCAAAAGCATCTAGAAGAAAACGCAGCACCCACTCTTTGACCGACATCTCTGTAGAACACGACGTGGTGATAGATGGGGACAATAAAACTGCGGGTACAGCTGCACTCTCCAAGACACTGTCCACCCTGTCCAGAGGGGGAGCCTCTATAACTATCGGAGGGTCAACCACGTCATTTTCTAACATTATCCTAATGACCAACGACAGAACGGGGAATGGTGCGTTCTTCTTCTTCAACTTAAATTATTCAACCTAATCATGCTCCTGGGGTTAAAAAGCTATTTTCTAGCAATATTCTACTTGATTTTTCTAGAGATAGTTAATACTCAGTGTGTTCTTAAGTTCTTTTTTGAATTATAAATTATAATTAAGATAATTTTAAATGACAAAATTCACTGATATATATTTTTAAATGGATATTAGATGATTTACACACAAATGTTTAAATATGATAGTGTACAAAAACTCACTATCTGGACTTTTTGTCAGAAAGAAGCAGTGGGCATTGGCTAATTTGGCTTTATAAACACATTTAATGAATTTTTGTTTTAGTGACTTTTACGCAACAAACTAGTGCCTGCGAAATAGTCCAGTTATATGTTACGTGTTCTGTAAGGGAGTACTGCGATGAAGATCTTGGAATGTGTGTGTAAGTATATGTTATACATTATAACTGAAATAATATTACTTTATAAATTTGAAATAAAAAAATAAATCGAGAGAATAAAAAATTTCATGATGAACGTTTGTAATGACTTCTCTCTTGTCTTCCAGAACCAACGTCGCTAGACAAGGTAAGTACGATGGCGGGTTTTGAAAGATAGTTTGATCCATGATCAGGTATTAAATATTAGTAAAGTCAAGATTATTGCGCATTTTTAAATATTGGTAGTTGGTACCAAAGGAAAATTCTTGTCACAAGGAATACAAAAAAATATAAACTCATTAGCACATGAGCCGTTTGAAAGATATTTACAAATTTAATTTAACCTGGAATGTTAAGGTTGGGAGGTCTGAAAATGTTGGTACAGAAAGAAGGTCTTGTTACAAGAAATATAAAGTATGAGGGAATAATGAACAAGATAACCGTGTTATTTCTTTTCTATATGGTTAAATGAAATGGTAATCTTTGGGAAAATGTGTATCCGGTCCCATCTCTCACTAAAAGAGGCTTTGGAACGCATAAAAACTTCTGAGCTTCAACCAACCTAAAGATTGTAATCTGTTTTGGATGAAAATCAGATAATCATTGACCATGATCTTGTTTTGGATTATTCTTTTCTTTTTTTTAAATCGTGTACATTTTCTGTGTTTGCGTAACCTCCTTTCGAGATTTTTTTTCATTTAACCCACATTCACACAGAGCTGCGACTTTACGACGATCATCCGGATCAAGCTTCGATCTGAAATAGTTTTGGATCGGGACTGATCGGCATCCAAAAACGAACAATTCGGCAAATTATGGTTTTCATTACGACCGTACTACGATGCCCCTACCTCGAACGCGCTGCTAACACGCTTCTACTACGATGTTACGCGACCGTTACAGACCAGTGGCCGCGTTTACTCTGTTTACATTACGCTGCCGCCACGACATTCATACGATGGCCGACATGAGCCTTCAAAATATAAATTACTGCGTTTTGCCATGAACAAAGCTGCACATATACAAAATGATACTGTTAATACTATTTAAGTCAAATAATTCTGCGTATATAATAGAGCTATTCTTTCATGTATTTTAACGGCTCATATCGACCATCGTATATTCAAGATCATACTACAACCCTACGCAGACCTAGATGACTGAACCACGATATCGCTGCGGTGGTGCAAATCATATTACGATTGTAATACGCTTCTAGTACGATTTTGGCGATTATGTATACGTACCTTTGGTTTGAAACATATTTTAGTAGCGTAGTTGATAAGTTGCCGTCTGTGCTACACTTTTACTGCGCTTTTCCTACGATCACGAAGATCAAGAAGATCTCTCCACGATGTTTTAGCGCTGCTTGTACGATTACGGCGCTTCTACTACGCTCTTTTTACGACTTTAACCCGATTTTTTGCTTGCCACGATCCTGCTAAGCTTGTTTTGAGCATCTTCAAAATAATTTTGGCGGAAAGCGTAAAGCTCCCTGATCCTGAAGACCCTACCGCGATCATACTGCGCTTATGAAGACTCCACTACGTTTCTCCAGCGATTTGTCACGATCAGCCACGTTTTCGGTCACGCTTTGATCGTAGTAGAAGCGGCGTTTATATGTGAACGGGGGCTTAATGCCGATTATTCCAATCAAGCCACGATCTGAAAAAAGTTTTGGATCGGGGCAGATTGGAGCCGATTGGCGTCTTTATCGAGTTGTATAACAAATAATGGTCTTCATTACGACCATACTACGATGCTCCTAAGTCAAACGTGCTGCAAACACGCTTCTACTACAATGTTATGTAGACCATTGCCACCAGTGGCCGCGTTTACTGCGTTTAGGCTACGCTGCCGCTACGACATTCAAGATCATACTACGACGCTTAGCAGACCTAGATGAATGTGCGATATTGCTACGGTGGTGCCGATCATATTACGATTGTAATACGCTTCTAGTAAGATTTTGGCGATGATGTATATACATCTTGGGTTTGAAACATATTTTGCACTTCTGTCCAAACTCCATGGTCTTTACAACGGGGTTTACGGGGCATTTTCAATTGTAACTACCAGTATAACAGGATGTGAAAAGTTGGAAATCTCAACTGCAAAATGGTCGTCAAGTATAGTGTCAACCTTTACGAGTATTTGACAAATGATGATTGGTTAGATATCAGCACTATAAAAACAAACTGCTGCCTGAGATCGTAGTAGGACCGTAGTAGGAACGTTGTAGGAGCGTACTTGATAAGTTCCCGACTGTACTACTTGAACATGCTAAAAACAAGCTTAGCAGGATCGTGGCTGGCAAAAATCGGAGTAAAGTCGTAAAAAACGCGTAGTAGAAACGCCGTAAGCGGACAAGCAGTGTGGAAGCATCTTTGTGATCGCAGGAAAAGCGCAGTAAAAGCGTAGTACAGTCGGCAACTTATCAAGTACGCTCATACAAACCTCCCACTACGTTCTTACTGCGTTACTAAATACTCGTATGTTTCAAACCCAAGGTATAAATACATTATCGCCAAAATTGTACTAGAAGCATAATACAATTCTAACAAGATCAGCACCAGCGTAGCAATATCGTACAGTCATCTAGGTCTGCTAAGCGTCGTAGTATGATCCTGAATGTCTTTGAGGCAGCGTAGAGTAAACGCAGTAAACGCGACCGCTGTTCCACAACGGTCTGTGTAACATTGTAGTAGAAGCATGTTAGCAGCGCAGGACGTAGGAGCATCGTAGTACGGTCGTAATGAAGTCCGTAATTTGCGAAATTGCTCGATTTAAACGCCGATCGGCCTCGATCCAAAACTTTGTTCAAATAGTTGCTTGATCGGGATGATCGTCGTAAAGTCGCAGCTCTGTGTCAACGGGGGTAACGATCCCGCTACGCTTATTTTGAGCATGTTCAAAATAAGCTACGCTTCTTTTAAGCATGTTAAAAATAAGCGTGGTGAGAGAGTAGAGCTCTTCGATCATGAAGACTCTCCTGCGATCATAAGTTATATTTACAGTACTTTCTTTCGTTTGTAAGGAATTTATTGTACAGAGAGGCGTGGCAGTCGATGTCGCGCAGCGACGAGACATTGCCACGCCTCTCTGTATAATAAATTCCTTACAAACGAAAGAAAGTGTCTGTAAATGTCTTGTGTCATGGTCATTTGCATAGCCACTCCCTCGACTTCAAACTGCACGCGACATTACGTCACAGGCCTACGTCCATCGTAGACGGTTCAAACTAATGAGAAAGTACGAAGGAGATGGTTGCATTGGAAAGTAAAGCGATGTTAAAAGAGTGTGCAATTGTATTTGATGGATTAATTTAAGCAGTTTGAATATTTAAAAAAACCCATAAGGTACTGGAAACCTGGATCCGTCCGCAAAATGATCCGCTTCATTACTGTTACTACGGATATGGTTGCATGTCCGGAGGAAATCCGAATAGAGTACCGTAGCCACAGGTGTCAAAATTATGGAAGGTATTGTGAAAAAGTCCGAATGCATACTTGTATATTATACGAACATGTATCAGTGTGCATGTAACTCAAGGAACCCAGGAAACAGGTATTTTTAAGAAAATCATCGAACTGCGCGTGTTTTCAATATTGTCAGATTTAAATTATCTTGTTTTCATTTGAATATACGTGTTTTTAGTGAAGTTCTGTGTATTGTTTTTATTTTTTGTTTAAAGCAGTTAACTAATGAGTTTACGTACGTATTTCTCTTGAAAATGGTTTTCACGTAATTCAGGGATGGAGTCGATTAAAATAAAAAGAAATTAATAAAATTAAAATTACTTTGACTTTCTCTCCAATTAAATTACAGCTAGGCTTTATAAATCATGTAATTAATTGCTTTATAATTACTTTACAAAAACTGTAATTAATTAATTACAGTCAAGTACAATTACTTTTTTGTTCAATTACCCCATCCCTGTGACGTATGCATTTATAGAGTGAAGGGGGGGAGGTAGATTCTGTGAGATTTCTCATTTTTCCTCTAGATATTGTGTATAAGCTTACAGAAATTGAAAAAAAAAATTTAAAAACCATCGAATTCCGTCGGAAGTTATTGTACGGTAAATTGGAAGTTATTGTACGGCGAAGCTCCGCCCCCTAGAAGTTATATAGTACGTTGGAATTCAGCCAAAGGTTTTCTATCTGATTTAAAGTATGGCCAACATAAAAAAAAAAAGTACCGCACCATGACACAATGCGCTTATGAAGACTCCTATTTATACGTTTCTCCTATGATTTGTTACGTTTTCGGCCACGCTTTGATCGTAGTAGAAGCGGCATCTATGTGTGAACGGGGGCTAACATTGTATATTGAGACCACCACTTGCTGGTGGAGGCAAATAAAGACATGTTCTCAAAACTTTGAGCAGTGAAGGAACTTTTTTCGTTCCAGCAGATACCTGACACATTTTATACGGTCTCGTCAAACTCCTTTCTCCGCGATTCTAGAGCAACCTCTGTGCTGCGTAGACGATCATATACAATGTAGAATTATTAAGTCTTGCCAGTTGTTATAACATGGCTACATCTGTCAAATAATTTATAATATTCTTATTATTGTGTTATCCTGGCTTGCATATTATATGCGTAATATTGAATCTAATTACTTTATATCTTTGAATTTTCCAGATAATAACGGCATGATATTAAGCATCGGACTCGGCGTGTCGGCGGCTGTCGTTTTTATTCTGGTAACAGTCATCATCAGCCTCTTTTATCTACGCAAGAAACAAGAAAAGGAAAGGGCCAGAAAGAAAATGGCAAATGAAAAGAAAATTAAGTTAGTCTATCTTACATTTAAAAAAATTTATTTTTTTCTATCTTTTAAAAACAGTTATTTATTTCAGCAAGTTTTATTGAGACAGTTATTTTTTTCTTATATTTTTTCCAGGTTTGATCAATCAATAGCAGCATTTGCATACACTCCTCAAATAATCCACAAACCTTTCAAGTACTGGAAATGAAACGTTCACATGGTATCCGTTCTAACAGTTAACATCCCTTGTGGTCTTGTTTTCCTTTACCTCATCGTATGCGAATTAATAATATACATGTACGAGGGGTGTTAGAAAAGTTCGCGGACAAGTTCTATTTCCATGAAACCAGTCAAACTTTCCGGATAAAACCTTAACCTATTTTCCAATAAATATACAAAAATTTGGTGCTCTCCAGTGATCATTGAAAAATATACAGCTTCTTTATTTTGATAAAACTTGCTTCACGGAGCATGCTACATTTTGGCACGTTTACATCTCATAGACTCTTTATTAAAAATAAAAATTGCACAATTGTAGCGAAAAGAGATTTATGATATTTTACCTGTCGCTAAAGGATTCATGAAACGTCACTGGGAGAAATTTTGAATAAAATTGGAGGGTATATGAAAGTTTTATAGCCATTTATAAATGTTCAACGCGTAAAAACACAGCCAAAATTCGGAACGTCATCAAGCGTCATGGAGCATTGCACTACGTAAAAATTATGTGTACAGGCAGGAAAATGTCTAAAATGAGATTAAAATGTTCAAGATGCTGCCGGGAATTTCCTACACATATAATCGACAAAGTTTTCAAATGATTGTAGCTTTATAAGAATGGAAGGATTAACATTTTTAATGAATAACCCCATCGATACTTCAATAACCCTATCGCACGGACGTTGTGCCTGTATGGTTTTGCATAGTTTCCATTCCTGATCGATTAACTGCATAGACTTTTTTTTAAAGATCTCAATAATATCTGAATCAGAACAATCCGAATCATTACCTATTTTCCAATAAATATACAAAAATTTGGTGCTCTCCAGTGATCATTGAAAAATATACAGCTTCTTTATTTTGATAAAACTTGCTTCACGGAGCATGCTACATTTTGGCACGTTTACATCTCATAGACTCTTTATTAAAAATAAAAATTGCACAATTGTAGCGAAAAGAGATTTATGATATTTTACCTGTCGCTAAAGGATTCATGAAACGTCACTGGAAGAAATTTTGAATAAAATTGGAGGGTATATGAAAGTTTTATAGCCATTTATAAATGTTCAACGCGTAAAAACACAGCCAAAATTCGGAACGTCATCAAGCGTCATGGAGCATTGCACTACGTAAAAATTATGTGTACAGGCAGGAAAATGTCTAAAATGAGATTAAAATGTTCAAAATGCTGCCGGGAATTTCCTACACATATAATCGACAAAGTTTTCAAATGATTGTAGCTTTACAAGAATGGAAGGATTAACATTTTTAATGAATAACCCCATCGATACTTCAATAACCCTATCGCACGGACGTTGTGCCTATATGGTTTTGCATAGTTTCCATTCCTGATCGATTAACTGCATAGACTTTTTTTAAAGATCTCGATAATATCTGAATCAGAACAATCCGAATCAGTACAAAAGACATTATAGTAGAAAAGTAACATGTCTTGAGATATTTAATTTTAAAGTGAAAAAAGATGAGAAAAGTCTGAAGAAATGAAAGATTTATAGAACTGGACAAAGCTTAACGGGAAAAAAAATCTGGTTGTCACGTCGCCAAACGTCAAGTGATTGCTCCGTGAATCCCATGTATTATAGTAAAAATCTTTGTTAATTTTCAAGATTTAAGTAAATGGACCTGATATTTTACATACTCATAAATAAAATATAGGAATCTATTCAGACATAGGTCATACTTCACAGTACACAATAGATTTTCCGTTATTCGATGTGTCCATGAACTTTTCTAACAACTCTCGTATATGATGTATGTACAGTGTCAAAAAGTAACATAAAATGTTCTTAACAATTACTGCAAGAAAGGAGCAAAAGATGTTGAAAACGGACTGGGATGAATAAGCAAGAACACGGGTGCACATTTCTTGAAATTTCTTTTTGTCCATCAAAATTTCATCATGGATATGTTTCATGCCACATTACAAAATAAATTAAGTTTTATTATCTAAATCAAAAATTGTTAAAAGGTTGAATTTGAAATAAAATATATGAAAGAATATAATAACATCCTCTTGAATTCATCGTCGAAAGTACTACTGTGAGTATGTGTCATCCATGAGAAGAAATATTCGTGAAAATAAACTAGTATCACTTTAATCAAATCTGGAATTTGATGAGGGGCTATTCCATGCATAAAGTACAAACGTAGCTCTTATTTTGTATGACATTCTAATCTGCCTATAATACCTATACTAAAGTATTAGTATATATAGCTTGAGATAAAAGATACCACAGAGTCTGACACATCTGTTTCATACTTGGATATTTTACTTGAAAAAGACGTTAATGGTAATCTAACAACCAAGCTGTATGATAAACGTGATGACTTTAACTTTTTAAGCACACGGTGGGTGTGACCGGTCAGCAGGGGATGCTCACGCCTCCAAGGCACCCACCTCTGATGTTTCGGAGGTCGTGTTTTCTATACTCCTATTTTGTATTGTTTTTATGGACTTTAATATTGAATACTGTTCATTATCTCCATATCCTTCTTCATGCATTTATCTTTTTCTGATGGGAAGATTTCACATGCGTCCCATACAGTTATATCTGTTAGCAATGTGGAGACCAAAGTTTCACCCTCTTACTCATATAATAGTGATTGTATGACATATTACTTGCCTATCCAATTCCAACTCAGTACCTTTAACAGGTCTGGACGATTTCCAAATATGGAAATCAAGAACGATAACCGAAAGTTGCTATAAATGTACATCAAGTACACGCAATTATTTTTCTGACCAATCAGACAACAGCATTTTTACACACCCCTAAACATATATTAAAAGAACAAAAAGATAACACGTGCTTTCATTTTTTTCCTCAAAAAGATTTTTTTAGCCAAAAATCTGTAGAAGTAAAATGGAAACTTTTGAAGAATAAGGTATTCCCCACATATCTACCGTGAACAACCTTGACATTTTTATCTCGGTAAAGAAAAAAAATAATGCACGATAGAATGTAATCGTTTACGGAGGTATAGATGGCACCAGCAAGTTCTTAACAAGTTCAATTATAACATTTACCAGAATATATTATATGTTAGTAAATATAATTTTGCTTAGCCGTCTGATTTTCATCGATAATGCTTAAGATCAACTCACACAAGTCTGTATCGTATAGGCTATACACATATTATAGTTTTAAATTATCACGGGTTTCATGAACGCCGAATACTAAGCTATGCAGACTTTAAATGGACATAAGCAAAGGCGTATAACGTGGAGAAGAGAATCCTGTGATTATATATGAATGCATACGTTTTATCTCAATATCTTACCTCGCATATCAGAAACTGCATGGACTATTAAAAAAAAAACACTCAAAAAATAATAAAGACTGATATCTATTCTATAAGATTTTTATGTCAGGTTCTAAAAACTGAAAAATTACCGTATTTATATCAAATTTTTAACGTAAGTTAAACTTTCGGAATTGCTATCTCCTAGTGACAGATTTTTTTATCCCACTTAAAACGTATTCTAAGCTTTCAAGTCGTGTTTGTTCACGGTAGAATTGTCATAAATATTATATTATTCCCAAATGCACATAAAGTTTACAAAAAGTTTGTTCTAAAAAAATCTTTTGAGCACAAAACTTAAAAACCACGTGTGGTATTTATTTTCTCATGGGTTTGTCTAAATGCTGTTATCTGATTGGTCAGAAGGACCAGTGCCTTGTTTATTCTGTGTATTAATAGTAATTGACGGTTATCGTTCTTGACTTCCTTATTTAGAAATCGTCCAGACCTGTTTAATGGTTGTTGAATCGGGAAAGCTTTTTTTCAAGGGAATGCCATTGCAAGATCTATCAAGTCAACTGACACTGATAAAAAATGCATCAGAACAAGGTTGGAAAGCACATCTAGAGAACTTGGAGACGTCCGGGGTCTGACTTCAGCAATATCAACAGAACCGCATAAATTGGCTGGAGCTAAAAGCTGTACAGTTAGCTCTTCAAAAAGCTCTTTTTTTTAATAAAAGGAAAAAGTGATCCTCATGAGATCAGACAACGCAACAGCGATCAGCTATATCAACAAGCAAAGAGGGGGGACACACTCAACAGAACTGCATTATCTAACTTGGGAGTTCTTTCAGTGGTGTATTATGTACAAAATTGCAATACGAGCTGTTCACATTCCAGGGAAAAGGAATTTCCTTGCAGATGCACTTTCCCGTGGGAGAACAGTACGACTGATGGAATTGTCTCCCAACAACACTGTTGTTAATCTGTTGTTTCAAAAATTTGGAACTCCGTGCATAGATTTGTTTGCAACTGGCCCGGTCTCCACGTCCCGCAGTGGTTGGTATTCGAACCCGAGACGTAAGGATCAACTTCTTATTTCGCGACTTTAGAGCAGACACTCTAACCACTGCGCCATGCGGGCGACTCAAATCTGTCAACAAGGCACAAAGCATGAACCACTGAAATTCCGAGAAAGAGCCAGGTGCCTAGAAGAGTATGCATGTCCTGTTAACCGGTCACACTAGCTAAGAGCCGTTGATTGTATATTGTAGATCAAACATTCTACAGTCAAACTCGGTACAAATACAAAGACTTAATTGGTATGGAACACGTCAGCCAATTGCAAATTACGACCCAATAATAGGCTTTATAAGCTATCAACGCCATTATGACGATCACAAAATTTCAAAAACTTTAAATGAGGTTGTTTAAAATCCTTGAAACATCATTATATTGGTCAGAGGCTTCATCGGTTTAAAAACCGATAGTATTCTAAGCATGCTTTCGAGTATGGAATACTGTATGTTGGGAGTTGTAAATAACAAATGCAGTGATAGCAGGATACTGCCACGTAAATAAGAAAATTTCAAATTGGAAAAGCTGAAGTCATCGTGTTGGACATAAGTTAGGTAAACACCCAAATAAGAAACAGATGTGGCAGGCTTTATGTTTTCTTATTTCAAGTTCCCTCGGATATATTTATATCCACTGAATACCAGTATAATCTCAAAACCATTGTCGTATATAAATCAGTAAACAAGTTTGTTGTACCTTGAAAAAATTGTTCCTATACAAATCTAT